CTAATCTAAAGGAGAGACAAAGGTTGAATAGACTTCTTTTGTACACAACGATTAGAGTTCTTCCAGTAGATTCTCATAGCTCTGGTTATGTGCAAAAGACAAGTTCTTATTCTGTTCTAGAGGTCAGATGGGATTTGACAGATAACACCCAGAGAGCTTCTTCTCTTTACTTGGAGATCACTATCAATCAAATGTGGTAATGTGGAGCTTCCTATAAATTTAGCTTGAACTTTATCGAACTGAGAAAGAAGGTGGGTAGCAATGCCCTTGTTTATCTTCCTAGCTATTTAACCGATGTAGCTTTCTACACAGCAGCAGCGAAATTTTTAAATGCACATAAAAGTGGAACAGACAGACAGTCTATCTATATTTCACTTGATCGACGATAATTGGTCGATTGAAAAATAATAAATAAGAGGTTAAAGGTCATCAAAATAAATAACTAATAGATGTTAGTGACAAGATATCTAAATTTTAAAAGAGGGGTGAAAATTAAGTTATATCTCCAAACCTGAAGATTTCACATATCCTGTTGGACCCCACTCTGCTACACTCTGTAAGTCATCTACCATTTGTTTACTCTTCAATTATCTACAGCATGAATGACTGTGTTCGATTGACTGGGGTATGCATATTGTAGTAACCACAACGGATTGAAATATTTATATACATAAGGATGCTATTTCTAAGCTTTCAAAACAGATTAATAGCACAGATATCAGTTAGAAAAACGCTGAACAATAAGATTTACTTTTTACGGATAGAGTTAAGTCTGCACTGAACGAAGGACTAGATTTCAGATATTAGTTACTGCCTTGTGTCGGTGGCACAGTGACAGAGTTATCACCAACCACGACGCAGGTGGTTCGAAGTTCGATCACCGGACGTTGATAAGAGAGTCTTCTCTTCAAAAATTTAAAGCAATTACTCCCCTTTATGAATTTCGACAACACAATAAGAAGACACAGATGATTTGAAACGTGTTGTTTATTTTCACCACACACACGTGCTTGTCATACACAGTATTATAGAAGGCATGAGTCATTTCAATACAGGTCAGATTGTGTACAGGTCAAGGTCACAAATAATGGGTAGGGAGATGATGCAAAGGTGTGGGTAAGATGGAAAAAACAAAGCAAAGAAGGGGTTGAAAATATTCTGGAGTTAATTGGATTACCAAGGCAAGTTAAAAGTAATAACTCATAATTTTTGGACACATAAGACAGGTTTAAGTCTTTTTACGGCCAAGGCTTCAACGAATTTAAGTGTGTTATCTAACCTTGTTTTATATATGGGCTTACAGACATTGGTGAAATCAACCTTATGAACCGTTTCTATAATGCCCTAAAGTTATGTGTTATTACTCTTAATCTGCCGTGGTAATCCAATTTAGAACTAAGGACCAATTCACTTCATAATATTTTCACCCCTTTCTTTGCTTAGTTTTTTCCTTCTCACCCACAACTTTGCGTTATCTCCCTACCCATTATTTGTGACCTTGACCTGTACTGTAATGACCCATGCCTTCTACAACACTGTGTATGACAAGTAATTGTGTGTGTGATCAAAATGTCCGAAATGTGTTGTGAAAGTAAACAACACGTTTCAGATAAATTACGTCTTCTTATTGTTGTCAAAAAAATTATTTTAAAAAAAACTTAGTGTCCAGTGGTAACGTCTCTGACTGTAGGACTAGATAGTGACCCTAGTTCGCATCTCAGAAGAGACATGAGTTCCTTGAAGGTTACAGATACGCCTTACAGACTCGTGAGTGAGTGCCGACTAGCACGACACCTAGGTCTGTGCAGAGGTTCCTTTCGACCGCGCCCAACCATCTAACAGAACAAAAATTCACTAGAAGCCGAAGTATGTCGGTTGACATCAGTTAGAGAAAAAGTGGAAAACCAACAGGAAGTACCGGACAGTGGTTTCTTTCTAGTTAGTGCTTGGGACTCTTCAGCAGTAAGCACCCACCACCAGTTCTAGAGAACTCCGGACCTTCCGGTTACAAGGCGAGCTCGTAGACCATCCAGCCACTAAGACCCGATCCAATGGCCAGCGCATGAGTTATCTGTTATTACTGGAGATTTCAACTCCTCAGATTCCTCCTTCCTTGGTCATAGAAACAGTCAAATTTCCCACTCGACTTGACAAAACACTCGATTTAGTTTCCACAAACGGCGGAGGAATATATGAAACACGCAAACGTACACCGATACTTAACTCTGATCACTATATTGTACACGTTTTACTAAAAATATACAGCAAAACGCAAATTAAAGTCTTCTCATACCTGTCTATGAAAGCCCAACAAAGATGCTACACATCTGGCAACTTACTCAATCTCAGGTGCATGTTAAAAAAAATACTAACTGGGATTTATTTAATGAAAGTACATTAGATGACACAATCGCCGATATAACGGACTATATTAAGTTCTGCCTCGATATATATGCTGTCCCAAACAAATACTATTCAAACGCATCGACCGCTTCTCGTCTCCTCGTCCCAAACAACTATGTAAGCAAAAGAAAACATTATATAAATCCAAAGATAAGTTAGTGCTTAAAAAGATTAATGCTCTAATCAAATCTGAAATCAAAAATCTCAATGCTATGTATAACCATACACTTTCGTCATGCAAATCTCCAATCAACATGTGGAAACTACTCAATGAAATCACTGGCAATAGTAAGCGATGCAGTGTTTTTCCCTCTTATGATGTTAACGCTCTTAATCAGTCTTTTATACGCTCCCCTTCTACTATAATTACTTCTAACGCTACAAATCATGTAGCTGATAACTTTCATGACAACATCAAGAGTATTAAGACTCTTGATGTTCTAAAATGTTTCACGTAGCCTTGGCCCTGATGGTGTACCTGCTTATGTTCTAAAACAATGTGCAGATGCTTTATGTTCTCCTCTAACTAACATCCCAAATGCTTCTTTCTCCGAAAACGCTGTACCTGTTTCATGGAAAGACATTAAAATAGTCCCTGTCCCTAAATCTGGCGATAACAAAAGCGTAAAGTTTAGACCCATTGCCATCACTTCCCCGTCTCTAAAGCTTATGGAAAAACTAGTACTTCTTAAACTCGAACCCTCCCTTAAAAGTTTTGAAGACCGCAAACAATTTGCATATAGACAGGGTAGGAGTACTTTAGATGCTGCAGCCATCTTACACAACAGTATCGTCTCATCATTAGATAAAGGCGCCAAATACGTTCGTCGAGCGTTTCTCGACTTCACTTCTGCTTTTGACTCTGTACCTAGATGTCTCTTGCTAAATAAGCTCTCTATGACACAAACCGAGTCCTGGGTCACAAACTGGTTGCATTCCCATTTCTCTAACAGAATGCAGTACACTGTGTACAAAGGTAAATCCTCCTCTGCTGTGCTCACTGAAGCTGGTGTCCCCCAAAGTGCTGTACTCTCCCCACTTCTCTTTTCTTTCTTTCTACATGACCTATCATCTTCAAATGACATCAATTTTGTCAAATATGCTGATGACCTAACTGTACCTTCGCCTGTCAAATGTCAAAGTGACTGCACTAAACTAAATGGCATTTTATCAGAAGTCAGCCAATGGTCCAGGGCAAAAGGTCTCACCTTAAACCCCTCCAAATGCCAAATAGTCAACTTCACATTTAGGTACAAATCTGACCTAAACAAACTGGTTAGCACTCATGAGGTGTGCAACATTGATGGCACTGAAATAGAAACCAAGTCAGATATTAAATATCTTGGCGTCATTCTATCTCATGATCTTTCCTGGTCGTCTCATATATTGATGATTTCTAAGAAAATATTCCGTCTTGCCTTCTACATCAAGAAGTTAAGACATTCTGGTGTAGCCCAACCCTTACTCCTACAATTCGTTAACTCTCGCATCCTGCCTATTATACTCTATTGTTCCCCCTTAGTTCTTCCTGGGCTACTGAAGAAAGACTATACCTTATTACGTAGGATGTTAAAAGATGTCAGCAGGGTAAGCAATGTGCCACTTAACCAGCTTGTTAATATTCTGGTCGACAGGCACATGGACTCATGTGAAAAATGGTCTAAATCCATTTTATCTAACTCACACCACCCTCTTCATTCACAACTCTCCCCTTGTATCTCATCAGGCAAAACCAGAAGCCTATAGAGAAAACTATATGCTCGAACTAGTAAGTACAAAACCTCAACCATACCCTACTTAGCTCGTGTTCTGAGCGATAAAGAAAGCATTAGGCGTGACACCTATAACTTATTAAGTAGTCAGTAGAACAACTGGATATCGTGTTTCCAACTCGTATCATTTATAGGTACAACGTTTTCTTTCGTTCTTGTCCTTTTCTCTCTCTCTCTCTCTTTTCTGTTATGTGCAGCTTTGTTTCTTTCTTCTGCTTACGCCAGTAAATATGCTGGAACCTACTTTTCTAGCACCCCCAAACACTCTGTTTAATTTTGGCTTTGCTACTGACATGCCAATATGTTGTTGTTATAAATAACTGAGATTACCTTAATCTATGTAGAATTTTATTTATTGTTAATGTACGAACTGGAAGCAATACTGTAGTAAAAAAACGCTGAAAATTCCATTCCGTATCACAAGTACTGTTTTGGAATCACTGACGACTGGCCCTATTCAGGTAGGTAGTTACCTGGATTCCAGTGAGAAGTCGTGACCAGTAGGGTGCAGCGGGTCGGGTGTGAGGACAAATACTCGCCGAAGACATTGGCTAGCGGTCGCGCTATGTCGTGAATTGGCAGAAGTTAGAATTCAAGGACCATTGGATCGGGTCCCAGTGGTATATGAGCTCGCCTTGTAACCGGAAGGTCCTGGGTTCGAATCCCGGTGGGTGCGTACTGATGAAGAGTCCCAAAATAGGACGAAACAGTTGTCATATTATAGCGAGACCAATGGTTCTCTAACCGACGGCAACTCATCATGAAATCCTGAAACTAATCAAATCAGTCAAATCCCTGTAAACCAACACTTGAGAATGTCAAAGTGCAACAATGATTAGACAATATTATATTTATATTAAGTCTTTAAATCAAGTTATCTAATTTTTTTTGTTTATAAATCGCCAGGAAATCTTCACAAAATAGAACAGAACAAAAATGGAGGAAAAGGGTTAAGAAAGGCGAATAATAATAGTAGTAAGAAGAAGACATTAATTAGATTAGAACAGAGGAATACATTTTGCCGAGGGAATGAACATCTTTTGAAGAATAGCAATAATAATAATAATAATAGTAGTAGTATGAGTAATATTAGTAATAAATAATTACAAGAGGAATATAATGACAATGGTCAATGGAACATGATATACATGAAAAAACGTGTATGTGGAGACCTCTCCTGCAAATACAGACTTAACACTCCAATACCCACGGACACCCCCCACCCCATCCTGTCGAACTCCAGCGACGCAACATTTAACAACATGAGTAGAGATAGACAGTAAGTGATGAAATAACAATAATGATGAACATGTCAACACACACACACATATACAAACAATCAAAGGATAAAGAAGACAACATCAAATGACAAGATGAGGAAAGTAGTTATATTATAAGTAGTGTAGTAAATAACAATCTACAACTTGTATGTATGTATGTATTCAATCAACGTTTAAGATGTTATATACTAGGGAATAATAAGGAAATGTATGTATATACGAATAATAATAGTAACAATAACACAAGTGAATGATTGAGTGGGTGAGTGTGTGAATAACACTCGTGATAAATAACAAGAATAATAGCAACATCTTATCAAGCATAAAATATACAGCTAATTCGATCACAGATAAATAAACAAAATAATTGAAATTATGAATAGTGATAGTAAGAACTATATAGATAGATATCTGTATACATAGTGGATACAACCCTGAAGGAAGGAAGGAACGAACGAAGGAAGGAGGGTAGGAGGGTATGGAGACAATCAGATAGATAGAGGATGCTCAGGGGACATACACCAGGGCAGTAGTTAGTAGTGTAGCAGCCGATAATCACCGAAACACAAACACACACACACACTAACTACTGATGATGATGTAATTCGATAGTCTAGACATAATTCAAAATTTATCATCAAGAATAATTGACAGAGGGTATTCAATGAAGGTTGGAAACACACTGAAAAAAATCCAAATCTAAAACAACAAACAGTTGAGTAGAAAGGATGATATACACACAGATATAGGAGGACTTCTCCCTCTCTACCTCCCACTCTCTCTCTCTCTCTCTCACTGTGTCGCTGTTTCTCTTCCTCTCCAATTTTAATAAGGAATTTGATTTTGCATATATTGGATTACATCGTAAGATTTATCCCTCCAATGAGCAAGACATGTACGCATAATACGTAGATAGGAGGCAGCAGCTTCACGATCGGATAATTGTGGTGCAAATCGTTGTCTTAACAGTTTGATAGTTTGTCCACGAAAACACGGTAGACCAGAGTCTAACATCAGTGAGATCAAAGCGACAATCGCCTCTTGATATGGTCGTAAAGCTAGATAAGCTTGTACAGATAAATGTTCAAACCATAAGTATGGTGGACTATCCATACGTCCACCCATAATCATAAACATTTCTTTGGTTAATTTCATATCACTTTCCCAGCCTAAATTTCCACCGGGGCTACTTTCTAGCATGTAACCGAAATCTGTAGGAGAGGTGAAAAGAGAAACAACAGGTAAAAAAAAGACGTAGAAAGATTAAGTCGATAAACATTGGAGAAGAACGATAAGAAATTGTTATAATAAAAGCGACCTTCTTTCCGATACTCTAAAGTAGAGGACGCTCATTTCATCAACAACAAGATGGGTAGTATTCACTTGTCGTCCAGTATTGATTTTATTTATTTTATTCCTTTGCGTTCGGAGTGGAACATAGGGCTTTAAGGCTTGAGCTGTGAAGTTTCAGTACAGGTGGTGCTACTAGCCTCACGCCTAATCTTTCCTCTTTAACCTGGCTTGCTAACGGATAACTGGGGTTTAGGAGTACGTCGGCCAGGGGTCGAACTCTAGACCATGTGTGTAGCTGGCGTGTTTTCCAATCCTGAACCAATGACACACACCGCTATCGCAGTTTACCATTTCTCTGTACATCTACCAATTCATTTACTCCTGTGGAGTGAGATGTGTAGGCCGCTTAATGTTATTTTATCTAACACAGTCAAGGAACATTGTCTGACATGGCTACAAGCAAGTAATAATAGGTTAAATACATTGTGTTATAAATTGAGCACATTTGTAACACTGGTCATTCAATCTCTGAAGAATCCAAAGAAGAGTCACTAATCCGTTGGGCATTTTGGTATTCCATGCGTTGTTTAGACCTTAGCCATTTGTATGGAAAATGGCAAGATTTGGGTGAAGAGCAGAAACTTATATCTGTGACCAGTGCTTCTACCTTAGACATAATTGCCAACTTAACACTGTTGCCAGCATCTTTTAGCCATTTACAATTAATTGTGTTCCCTGTGCTGGTTGGTTTAATTGAGGAGTTTTCGTCGTCCCCTCCTCTAGACAACATCTTCAGCGCAAGTTTGAGCATTAAATGAACTGAATTAAATTCTCCATGAATGATAAGAGAATTGTGTCTTCTGGTAACCATCTTTGTGACTGGTAGTCGATTTACATCTATATTGATCACTTTTTTATTAACTTGGATTTTGAAATTTCCTGTAGATTTCATCTATATTAACATGTTCGTTAAACGCTGACTGATTCACTTGAGTACCAACAAGGACTCTAGGAATTCCCTGGCACTTTTGGTTCCCCCCCCTGTTTAAAACTTCGAAATAATTATCTACATGCATTGATAGGAAAGAATATATATATCATGTCTTTTCACAGCTAATTTGTGTTCTTGGATTCTGATTCGAAGGGGACGCCCATTTTGGGTGATGTAATATCTGTTACAATTCATACAACTTATTTTGTAAATGGTAATAATTTGATCTTCTTTTCCTGTTGGATCGGTCTTTCGATTTGCACAATATCGAATGAAGTGATTGCGCTGGCTGGCTGGCTGGCTTGTGTGCCATATCTATTTCAAACGGTTTCAGTATTCTAGCTGTTATTTCTGCGATTAAACTAACCAGCTCAGAGAACAGAACTAATTGCAAATCATCCACATGAGCTACAAAATCTTCTCTATCTTTTTAACATTCCAACTGGACAGCTGTTTCATATATATGAGCTCGTATTGTAACCAAACTTTGGTGGATGTGTGCTGTTGAAGATTCTTTAACTAGGACGACACAGGTGTTTAGTACTCCCTGGTTTTTGAGTGGTTGTCTAACTGATATCAACTTGTGATCGAAACTGTAGCCAATCAACACTTGAAAATTCCTATTTTCGTTATTGTGGTTTTTCTTTTTGTATTGTGACTATCAGCATCATACACCCTTTTCTTCACTCTGATTTTCTGTTATACTGCAGCATATCGCGGTACATGTTTCGACACTCTTTCTATTGTAATATAATTTCTCGAAAAGCTATCGCTCAAACTCATTAATCATCGCAAACCTTAGTTACCATATGAATAATCTTCACTAACCAGGAAACCATTAAATGAAGAGTTGATCTTCAGTAGTGAGCGCGATCTAACTGAAATTTGACTAACAGAATTCAGTCAATTACTCTCCAAGGACCAATATCAATGTTTTCATTAAGGTAATCAAGGAGATCAGTCATAAGCTCGTATAATTCGGTGGTGATGCTTCTCTCTCCCTCTCTCTCTCTCTCTCTGACAGAAGCTCTGGATGACATGGGTTCAAACCAGTCCCTTCAAGACTGCAAATACGCCTTGTAGATGGATATCAGGGGGTATGAAATCTATTTCTAAAGGCCTCCTACCAACCACCCCTAGCCAATTCACACCAGAAATAACAGCTATATCAAGTAGGCCAGCAAATAAAAAGAACGATAAAGGCAGTATCATCTCAGAGGACCATCAAGGCTACATTATATATATATATATATATATATATATATGATATGCGCGTAAAACCAAGTATAGGAACTCAACGATACCATATTTGGCCCGTGTTGCTCAGTGACAGAGACAAGGTCAAGCGCTAAACCTATGACTTGCTTTGTTATTAATAACATAATTTTGGCTTTTTTATTTCTCTCTTATTTGTATTCTATAGTGAACACCTTCTTAAACATACTTAGCTACCTAAATTACTAACATTGGCTTAATTTCTTCTGGACTTTACTCTATTCCTTCTTTTGTGGTTCCGACTAAATTAGCACTATGAGTATTACAAAATTGTCCTGTCATTAACCATCATGTAATATTAGTTTTGTGATTGTTTTTTTTTGGTTCGACAAATATTAAACTGACAATCTTGGTTGTGAACACCATTATCACCATCTTAAAAATTTTGTATTATGCCGGATTACTCACACACTACCACTACAAACCCCGCATTAGAGCTGACAATAAAAAAACAAACAAACCTGAAATGTTTATTTTATGATTGTTTAGTGTTGTTCAATCAAATTAACTGATCATCTTGGCTATAAACATTCTTAAATATCATTTCATAACTTCTTGTATGATTACAGCTGTGACCGTTCACCACGCATAAACATATCATCGCTTCCACTACCCAATACTGAGACATTATTTATTATATTGTTTATTTTCCTTTCTACTTCTTGGTATTTTGTCCCAATTTTTTTGCTATTTTGTGTTGTTTTTTATATTTATTTTTTGAAATACTCCTTTTAAGTGTTTGATAAAATTAGATGCAATATTGTTGATAAGTGCTTAAAATTCCATACTGTACCACTAGTACTGTTTCTGGATTAAAGCAATTTATATATATATATATATATATATATATTATATTAATGTGCATCGGTGGCATAGTGGTTATGACGCTCCCCGACCATGCACATGGTCCAGGGTTCGATCCCCGGCCACCGGACGCACTCCTTTACCTCGCTAAGGCAGAAATAAAAGCTGGTAAAGAGGAAAGGTTGGACATGAGGCTAGCAACTCCATCCTGTAAAAAATAAACACTGCTACAGAAACTTTAAGCCACTAGCTTGAAGCCCTATGTTCCACTGGGGAATGTGAAGGAAAAAAAACTTTATATCAAAAGTGTTATAATACTTGCGTTACTCACCAATATGTATAATATGCCCACTTTTATCGACCATAATATTTCCATTATGACGATCTTTAATTTGTATTAAATAACAGAAGACACTATAAGCAGCCAAACTTAATACAAAATTTCGACGAGCCTTAAATAAAGAAAGAATGAAAAAAAGGAAGAATTACGCCAACTTTATTGTAGCTGTAGTCAAATTGAGTAAGTCTCATTTTACAGATTTGTAATTGAGATGGAGGGAAAAACATCAAAGGATATGAAATGGCATTATGAAACGTAAATGTCCATGTAAATTTTGTCGAGGTACCAACATCAATTACAGAATTACTGGGAACTATGCAGCACTGGAGGGCTATTGCTTCCTAATTTCGGTCTCTTAACATCCATAATCCTATCGCGTGTCGAGTGAGGTCAACACGTTGACCACTCAGCCGCTGGTTTGGAATTCATTACTATTATTATTTTTCCCTTAGGTTCCGAGTGGAACATAAGGCTTCAACAGCACGCCTTCACTCTGTTCAATTTTCTGCTGTCCTCTTTAAGTAAGTCGTCCATGATTGTCAATAGTCTCTCATCCCCTCTTTACACTATCTCCTTCATATCACCCTCACACTGATGACCTACTCGTTGTTTCTCAATCGGGCTCCACTCTAGGGCATTACCTGGCATGCGATTCCATTCGACGGTCTCCTCAGCGTGTGTTCAATCCATCTCCAGAGTTTCTTGACGCTAATTCTTTCTGGCCATCTAGTATTCAGTGTGGAATCAGCGAAGGCAGCTAAAAGTTGCAAATTTAATGACCTTAAACAACTTCAAAACATTAATTTCGCGGTGACGAGCACTAACGAAGAAGCTTGTGATTAAAAATTGTGCAAAAGTGTTTAGTAGTGAGATTGCTCATCACTCTTGTGCATGGCTGCTATGCAAATGACGTTTTAAAAATCACTTGAGATAATTACACCTTGGAAGTTGGACGTGGTATACTATATAACACAGAAATGGTGGAGACTAGGCGGTAACAACCTAACTTGTGTATTATGAAAGCAAATGTGATCACTCTTTATTTTATTTGGTGGTGTCTGACAGTGGAATCCAGGATGAACATTTCAGCCTACTTTGGACTCATCACCCAGGTTTACCTCGGTGAGTGGTGGTGTTTTCACTGAGACTCACACCCACCTCTCACCATTTGAAACACACATAAGAAGTGGCTGTCGTAACCCATTTAATGTGTCAGATTAAGCTTTGGCTTTTGAAACAGTGACTGCAGGGTTGCAGTCTCAATTGGGGATAGCATCACCATCCCGATGCAGACAGCAGATACGTCCAACTAACGAGTCACAAATAAGACGACATGTGCATCCTGGATTCTGCTGCCAGTTATCATCCGCCACATAACATCATGTTAATTCCTCATAGGTTGTAGAACCGTACATATCAAGGGCTGTCATATCAACAACAAATCAGATGGCTATATTGTGAACGTGTCATTGTCCTTCTAGACAAAATCTTTAGCTTGAGTAAAATATGATGTAGAGGATTTGAATTCCGCGCGGATATATTTTTGTGTAAACAATGAAAAGATTGGTCTGATAGGAAAATGAGAGCTTCGCGAACAAACTATCCAAATGAAATCACAGAAATCCCGATTAAAAAAAAACTGCCTAAGTTACAAAATTTTCCCATCAATTCAGTAGTCGAAGTTCACAAAAACTTCAAACATAATCCCACTGATATTGGTGTAGCTGCGATTAATGATCTGGTTGACGAAGCTTTCATTGTCATTGTTAAATTCAATAGGAATTGACATTCTAAAATCCTTCATGAGTGTAATAACCGTATATTCTTACTATGTTGAACGTGATTCATTGTCTCCGAGAATTTTATTACTCGCTTATTAATCTGTATTGGTACTGAGTATTGTTTTTCACCTAAAACTTAGGGGAGGGGTGGGGCTGGATAACTGTTTCGTCCTCGTTCAGGACTCATCATTAATATGTACCCTTAGAGGTTCAAACCCAAGATTTTCCGGGTACCTAATCTGTCAAATGCTCTAATGGTGTTTTCGTGACTTTCTTTGTCAGATCTATCAAGGGTGATAGGAAAGTACACCACCTAACGGTTTTGTGCAAGGTTTGAAGAAGGCTGTACGCCATATGCATGTACCTCGCCCTCATAATGTTTTCTTCGTAGCTAGAAGGTCCTAGACTCGAACCCCAGTGGGTACGTACTGCCGATGATTCCCAAACTAGGATGAAATAGCTGTCTAAAACTCCCTATCGGTTTTCAAATGGTTCTGTAACTGATGTCAATACATGATGAAATCAAATCCCTGAAAACCAACATTTGAACTTGATCTTCTGTTCATGTAACCTTTTCAACCCTTGATAAATCTGATCCAATATCAGCGTGTCTGCTGAATAAATAATCAACATGAAAAAATGTAAATGAATAAGGGGGGAGGGGGTAAGAAAATCTCCTACAATAATGAATGACATTCAACAACATACGAAGAGATGCTTGTTACACTCATAAGGAAGCTTAAAAGTTCGCATAGCATTAAAGTTTCCAGCGAAGGTGTATAAGTTAAGAAAGACAACACTGTGAACTTTGCAACCGAACCATCCATCTGTCTGTCTGGATTCAACATAGAACTTGGCACCGAAGTGCAGCAGTTCGAGTTGCCACGTTCCAAATAGCACACAGAGGTAGACAAGAAGATGAGTGAAGAGAATCAATAGAGTTTGACAAGTATAAGAGTGAAACAGAATGGGTAATGGTAGAGAGGAATATGAAAGATTACAGAGATTGAATACATCTGCGCCATTGACAACGATTTTGAGCCATGTCACCTATAGTCTCCAGCCATTGATTCCTAGAGTCCCGAGGGCCCCAACCCGGGAGTCTGCATCTCCCTACCTGACTCAGTTTAACTGTCAAGGATTTCATGGATTGATGCCACGTTTTTGTTTGGCCACCACTGGCTCTTTTCCAACCTGAACCTATATCAGCTAACAATGCCCGTTGGGGGAGGCGGTGGTTAGGCATGCGCAGCACGTGACCTAGCCATCTTAGTCTATGTAACTTTATAACCTCGTCGATTGATTTTCCCTCTTTGCCCAACACTCTACGCCTAACGTCAACATTACTTATCTTGTGAAACCACCTAACGTGAGACAGAGATCGCAGACATCTATGATCGAAAGCAGTCATCCAATACCATGATCCAAACCATCCATCTGACACAGAGTGAGACAGAGATATGACACAACAGCACGAGTAGCATCCACTTGGGCTACAAGCCTTTTCTATCAATTCCTCATGAAAACTGATAATCGAAAAACAACAACCAATCACAGCAGTCAATAGTCAGACAATCTAAAAAGTAGTTATGGGTTGATACAGGATGATGATGATGATGACAGAAGTAAAACGAGAATCCAAATCGCGAGTCCCGCGCTCCACCTGCTGATAGTTACCAGATTTACAGTTAGACTTAGTAGCTTATCGGCTGATAGACTCGTGGAGGGAGGTTGTTTTTGCTGAATGGAGTCCTACAGTCATGACTCAGATTTCCATCTTACACTTTCAAAATCATTACCAACTCTACATAAATTTTTTTTTAAAAAAAAGATATATTTATTTGCATACCAATTGATAACTGGGTGTCGTCTCATCTCCGTATATGCTCAAAAAGTATTCATATAATTTGCCATCAGTTTGACGTCCAATTTGATCACGTGATTTACTGTCTGGTACACATTCAATGACACCACGCTAAGAAAGAAAAAAAAACGGGCAAGCAACAGGAGAACAATAACACCAGCATCAAGAATAAGAGGAAGAAGAACAATTAAATTGGTAATGAAAAGAGACAGATTACAGATGACAGTCATTATTATATTACTTATTAAAGTGGGAAAGTAAACAATGACAGCTCCATTATGGATAAGATTTATAAAAAAACCAACGCGTTCCAATAGATATTTAGACTTTAATTCGTCTTATCCGTTAACTGCTAAGGCAGGTTAAGTGAAGTGTCTAACAAACCGAGCCATAGCACTAAGTAGCACAAGAAAAGACCTAAATGATGAAATAAAACAAATAGAAGAAACGTTGGAGTATCAAAAAAGGTCTAAAGTAAAATAGAAATCATGGTGAAACCAGTAATGATAACATAAATAGGAGACAATATAAGGCATCTACTGTTATATCAAATAGGCAGGAGACATCTGAGGCCGTACGTAGGATTCTCAATAAAGCATTATAATTAGGGTGGCATTCAAACGTATAAACTCACTCAGGTAGGACAAGCTCTGTACGTTAAAGGACCTTGTGACTTGACCCAATTAAACAAAATAATATAATTTACAAAATACCTTGCAATGACTGTGAATATGGTCGACTACATAGGTCAAACTAGTAGGTCGAGGGGAGTCAGATTGTCAGAGCATAAGAATTTAGCTAAGGTAAGAATGAATGACCCCGAGAAGATAAGTAATTTAGAAAAAAGCTCAGCAAATCCACTTCACACATGAACACACAACCACAAAATAGGGTGGGATAGGGTTAAAATTCTAAAAAGTAATCTAGGTAGGTGGAGAGAGAGGTTGATTACGGAATCATTGTTCATCGAGTCTACAAACGGGTCAGGCAAAAAGGAAAGGATGGACGTGGGGTTAGGAACCCCACCTATAGAGAAGGTTTGTGTTCCATTTGGATAGCAGAGGAATGAAAATGAAGTACTGAAGCATGATTTCAGGGAGATTATATAATAAAGTGTAGTCTATAAATCTCAATCAGATATAATATGACAGGAAAAACCATGAATGTTGAATCGATATTATTATTATCAAATATTTCCATAGTAAAATTGAGAACAACACATTTAAGCAAACACCTTTGCGCTTTCAATTAGATCTCATCAGACTTAACTCTAATATACAAAACTTTACAAATAAATATTAAAATATAAAGCAATCAAGGTGTTTTGTCAATAGGCTTATAATACAATTGTGCATATAAATTGTGCATTTAGTCATAAAAACAATAACAATAATGATTCTATCAAATGAAAATGCGGAGCGATCTGTGGCAACAAAAAGTTTTGCCACATCTATATGTATTTATCAATTTAAACAGTTATGTTTGGCATACTACTAGACAGCTTAGTCAGACAACGTGTCATTACTGAACATCTCCCATCTCTCATAGTTTGGCAAAGAACAGATAGAAACAATCTGTAGCTCGATTTTGTCACATTTAGTGGATAGTGGTCGTTTAGTGGGGAAAACGATAGTATTCAAGGTGATCAATCATCATTGTATCCCATCGAATCTTTCCAATAGACTTTGTAATCATTTAATTGAATTTTAGACGTTCCCGTCGATTGATTGGACCGAAGTGGCTCTAGTGGCCCAGGTGGTCTAGTGGATATCGCGTTGACGTTTGAAACTATGGGCACTGGGCTCCAGCCTCGGTGGGAACACGCTCACCGACTCACTGGGGAATCCAGGTACATCCACCCGACGGGTCCCAAATGCGACGAAATCTGCATCCTGGATTCCACTGCCAGTCACCACCGTCCACCTATTAAAGACTTTGTAGTCGTCTGCTGCACATAGCACATAGGCATTCGAACTATTTAGCCCAAGGTATGCATTCAAAAGAGGTTCGTACAGTCACTATCCATCCATCCATCCATCCAATGGTCTAACAACATCTAATCAACTGATGACGTCTCCACCACTCGTTATTTATATTTTCAACCCTTATCTTATCATCCCTTAGTCTTATCACATCTTTATTAAAACATTTAATTTACTTCCCTTACAATCTAGCATTACGTAATTACGTCCGTTTGTTTTTCTTATCCTTTATTTGTTTATTCATGTTGTTTTTCATTATTCCTGTTATCACAGATCGCCTCACCATTTTAATCTATGCTACTGATACAATCATCATTATTATTAGGATTAGTGTTATCATGACTAATGGCACAACTGATATGCACAATCTTAATATTTATTATCTTACAGACAAAACACCATGATTGGTGGGCATTTGAATATTTATTTGCAAAATTATGTTTAATAGAGTTAAGCGTGATAAGACCTAAGTGAAAGGAAAATATTATTTATCATAATAATAAAAGATATTGTATTTCCCAATGAATAAAAAACAAAACGATATTACTGTTTTTACTGACGTTTCGCAAATTTAATGCTGCTGCTGATAACTTTATCAAGGTAGTATTATTAAACCAGAATTGTATGGAGGATTTCATCATGAGCTGATATCAGTTAGAGAACTGCTGGAAAATCTGGGAGTACTGGACTGCTATTTCGTCCTAGTTCTGGACTCTTCATCAGTACGAACCCCAGTGAATGCGTACCGATGTCAGCTCATGGTGAAATCCTTCATCCGATCAAACTAAATCCCTAGAAAACCAAAAATTGAAAATTAATCTGATGCTCACTAGCGACTGGCCCTATTCAGGCAGTTAACATGGAGTTCTAGTGGGAAGCCGTGACCAGTAGGGTACAGCAGGTTGAAGATGAGGCAGTGACTCATAGAAGAAGACATTGCGAAGTGGTCGTGTTATGTTGTGAATTGGCAGGTCCCAGTGGCTTAATGGTTTATGAGCTAGCCTTCCAACCAGAATGTCCTGGGTTCGAACCCCGGTGGGCCCGTGCTGATGAAGAGTCCCAAACTACGATGAAACAGCTGTCCAGTAATCCCAGGTTTTCCAGTGGTTCTTTAACTGATGTCAGCTCATGATGAAATCCTCCATCCAATCAAACTAAATCCCTACAAAACCAATACTTAAACGAGAATTTACAAAATCTCAGCTTGTATATAACAACTTAATCATCGTTACTAAGTATGGGGTCATTTTTCGTTGTCATATTGGGCAATTGGTAGATATAACAAAACCAGGTGTAGATTGTTGTAAAATTGTAAAAGCAGCATGAGTTTACATAATGAAATTCCTTATCAAATACGTGTTTATTTTGTCATTTCATGGGGGAAAGGGGTGTTGTAACCAGGTCAAATTCTGTTTTAGTCTCTTACTCCTATTAAGACAATTTGGATTCCATTTGATGATATGAAGTGCTTCTGATGATGTGAGACGTTCTTTGTGATTTCTGAAATTTTTCTGAATGATGATTTCAATATTGTCAAAATAAATTTTGTGACTTCATTCTATAGCGTGTAGACAGATTTATGGCTGATGATTTTTCAAGCTTTTCTAGTTCAACCGGATTTCTCGGTGGTCACGCAGATGCTATACGGTGTTCACTTCTTCTGATCTTGATTTCTTGAGATGTTTTTGTCTGATGCATATTGCATCACATTCCAAGAATTTTATTTTATAGAGACAATTAGATAGAGAATCTTTAGAGATTTGGTCTTTTATATGGACAAGGTTGTTTCGTAGTGTGTCTGGTGTTTTGAAGAAAACTCTGATGTCGAGCTGATTGAGTACTCTTCTAATGTCGTCTGACGTCTCTGCTCTATGTGGGATGACAACTGTTGATGTCCATGTTTTTGGAATACGTTTTTGACCATACTTAATGTCAGTGTTGATTTTGTTGATGAAGTTCTTTGGGTAGTTGTTTTGCTTGAGAGTTTCAGTAATGTTTGATATTTCTTTCTCTTTTTTTTGCTTTCTTATCCGTTAACGTCAAAGAGTGTGGTCGTCTAAGAAGACTTGAAACAACTGATACCTTTACGCTGAAGGGGGGTGATGATTTGAAGTCTAAATATTTATTGGAGTGGGTTTTCTTCTTGAATAAATACATATTAAAACATCTGTTATCCCTCCTCTTAACTAGGCAGTCTAGAAATGGTAGTTCACCGACATCTGATTCTGCCTCCGAAGTAAACTGGATTTTGGGTGATAGATTGTTTAGTTTCTTCAAGAATGAACTGTGTAGATCTCGTTTTAGAACTACAAAAGTATCATCTATGTATCTTAACCATATTTTAGGAGTGAGTATACTTGAAAAGATGTTATCTTCGAATCTATTAGGGAACCTGGTGACCCCATGCTGAGGAACAATGATTAAGTTGTTATATATAAAGCTGAGATTTTGTCAATTTCGGTTTAATAATACTTTCATAAAGCTATTAGCAGCAGCATTGAATAGCAAAACGTTAGTAAACACAACAATATCGTTCTACATTTCATTTATAGGGAAACACAAGAAAACCTTTATTATAATGAATATCATATACCCAATGCCCAAATTGTTTCAAACTGTTAAAAGTGAACTTGGTTTAGACATATATATATAACGCAATATTATTCGTTAATAAAATGTGTTGTTCCATTATTATTTTTAACATTCCCCTTAATATAACTGTGACATCTGAACGATTCTCCTAGTGGATTTATACATTCGACCCCCTAATCATCTCTATTTAATGAAATTCTATCCTTTTCTCCTATTTTTCGGTACACATGACATGGTTAAAAATGAAAGAAGATGACCTCATTAAAAATAGTATAAACGAAATGAATTAAAAGTCTATCTGAACGAACAATATTCTTTTCAAAAATTTCTCCTCTTCAGGTCTTTACAACTATAAAATATAATATTTGTAAAACACAAAATGATCGAGCAAAGAATATTCTTTTCGATAAACTCCTCTTCTGGCTCTACAGTTATATATATATATATATATATATATATATATATATATATATATAAGGTTATAATTGAAGTAAAAACAGTGTATACTACTACAAATATTAGTACTACTAAAAGTAGACAGACTTACCCCCGGTGACGTTGCTACCACTCTATACGGATAGACAAATAACTCTAATCCACATCTTTCAAATATATTTTTGAACAACTGAAGAATTTGCAGTGCTAATATATCCTAATAATAAATGGGGGTGGTGAGGGAGAAAAATAGGGTGCAAAAAGAGAAGAACATTAGTCATAGAACGAAGAAAGAAAAAAAATAATAATACACTGGAAAGATTTATTGAATGAAATTAACAGCATTATAGATTTGATAGGTTGGAGGGTTTCATCTTGAGCTGACATCGTTTAGAGAAACATTGGAAAACCACCAAAGGGTACTTGACAGCTGTTTCTCTAGATCTAGTCTGGAACTTTTTAGAAGTACGCACTCACCGCCACGTTCGAACTCAGGACCTTCTGGTTTCAAGGTGAGCTCGTAGACCATTAAGGCACTCGGACCCGATCCAAAAGCCAGTCCATGAATTCTAACTTATGCCAATTCATGACATAGCGCGACCATTTCGCAATATCTTCTTCGATGAGTTACTGCCTCACCTTGAGCCTGCTGTACCCTACTGGTCACAGCTTCCCAGTAGAACGCTAAGGTAGCTGTCTAAATAGGACCAATCGCTAGTGAGCATCAGATTAATTCTTTGTACGCGGGAAGTTAACCTGGGGTTTCTAGTGGGAAGCCTTGACCACCAGTAGGGACCATATAAACACAATGCCTACAAAAAAGCCATTACTTTCGATTTGATTGCAATCTCCAGACTGAAGGCTGGTTGTATTATGAAGCAGCTTTTATTGTCGGAAGGAAGGCCTTGGGACATAGGGTTTAGTGTTAGTTGGTACATTCGTCAGCAAGGCGTCCCAGAATACTGAAACTATCTCCAACTTACCATGGCCAGATCAATATTTTTTAGCATAATTATAACCTATTATCTCAGTATCATTGCTACTATTGTTATTGTCGCTGATCATCATGGACCGTAATGTTCATTAGCTGTTGACAAGTCAGCTCCTAATATGGACACTTGTATGTGACACACTTTTCGTCCTCTATATGGGGAACTCAGTAGTTGGATATCCCAATGGGAGCATTGTCACTACTCATTTAGGGGGAGGGCGGATATTCCCACGACTAACTTACTATCAACCAAGTGCATAAATCGTGTATAATTTAGTGCTAATATGATCGAAAAGTTTTTCGAAACAGGATTCTTCCATCAAGTAGAGTTTCTCATAGTGTAACAACAGAAGACAAGGGCTGGCAACAGATCGTTTTATTACGAAAATCAACACGTATTTATATATATTTTATGTGCATTAATAAGGCTTATGCAAGCAGAAAAAGGCAGTCTTCTGATTGGTTGTTTTCGATATCTCTCGGAAAGTAGAGCCATCTATCTGCGAATCATATTTGTCCACATTTAAGTTTGCTGTGATTGGTTGTTGAAACAGCCTTGTTCATATTTTCTCACGGCCCATATTAGTGACCTAGACATTAACGTAGATTAGTGTCAACCAATCGGCTAGCAGCTTGCTCTCACCACAATAGTAATCTGTCCATCATACTACTCAGTATGACTACAATGTCACTAGAATAGAGCATCCTTTATAACAGCAAAACAATAATTTGAAGAACACCTCCAATTCCGACCTTATTTGAGATTGTGCGTCAGCTGTATTGGACTAATAGAGCTGACAAAATCTCTGGATGTACACAATAGGCTTGTGTGACACTTACCAATTTATGTCATCTTTGGAGTAGACCAGATATATCCGGCTATCAAGCAAAAAGCGAGCATACTTCACAATAGTTCGTTCTGTCTTCTTTTATGACTGTGAGACGTGGTTGTTGAAAGTGGAGGGAAAATCTGAGGATGATTGTGTTCTATCTCCCATTTTATATGGTACAATAACAGGGTGGATAATATTGAGAGTGTCAGGTAAGGAGAATAAGTCATAATCAATGACGTTGTGGAATCAGTATTGATTCAGACGGTTAAGACAGGTGGGAAACATGCCAAAATGATAACATTCCTTGTAGGACAGTCTTAGCTAACATAGGATCGAATTGAGAAAGGCTTACAGGCGGTCAAAGCAAAGCCTGACATCAATCTATGAAGTCATTGACAAGTGATTTGAGCCATGTAGGGAAGTGTGTATACTGGCGGATTGAAGTTCTCAGGATGGTAAGAATCAATAGCTGGTTCGAAATCGTTCTGAATGAAGCAGATGCATTCACTCTTTGTAATCTACCAGGTGCATTAATTAAATCTTCAAGTCTCTCCATGTGATTATTCCTTCACCCCCCCCCCCCCAGTACATATCTGCTCATTACAAGTGAACTGTTGTACTTCTGTGTAAAGTTAAGCGTTGAAACTCAGTCACCTTAACCAGTCAGTCAGCTAAACACTCTGAGCTTCATAAATATTCTCCATCAGCATATTACAGGCATATAAAGACATCGTCAAGAATGACACTGAAAGGTTGAAAACTCAGCTCATCTTATCGATAAAAACAAGAGAGGAAATATACGGTGGCGAATTGGATTAGATTGAATCAAACCAAAGACTAAGGACTGCCTATTATTACCGATGATATTTCTAGTTGCAGTGGATTGGATTATGTGTCAGACTGTGTATGGACAGGGAGAAGACAGGAATATACTGGACTGATAAGAAGACTCTAGAAGATTTGGATTCCGCGCGTGGATGATTTTTGTTTATTGTCAAACAAATGTCACTCGAAGACACTTGTAGGCAAAAACCAACAAACTGGCTGAAGAAACTGACAGCGAAGACAGTGCATTAGGTGAAAATACAGAAGACCTAGGTGATGGAGGATGTCAAATCGAGCGAGAATCGGGAAGGTGGGAAACACATTCATCATCAACCTGAAACCAATCTGGAAATCTTTGTCACTCAGACAGTATCAACAACAAAATTCCGTCGGATTTTCAATACAAACAATGTCAAGTCAGTCAGTTCTTCTATAAGGAACAGATCAGAAACTTGGCGGGCGGGTCACAAAGAATATTTCCAACAGCCTGTTGCAGACTTTCACCAATCAACAACTGTCTTCGCTGGCTCTATACTGAAAATCAGATAGCCGGGCCGGAAAGAATCACCAACAAGAAACTAGGGGAACAAGCAAACAAAACAAGAACCAATCGCCAACCAACAAATATGCAGGAGAAAGTGGAGATGGATTAGGAACTCGCTGAGGAGGCCGCTGGGTGACATCGCGCGCGCATCAAGTCATTGCTCGAGTGGAACCAGGCCGAAAGGGAAGCAAGCAGCGAGTGGGACGTCAGTGCAAGGGTGACATGGAGAAGATCGTGTGAAGAGGAGGAGTTGAAATAGTATGGACTAACATGGATGCAGGTGAAAAGTACAGTAGAAGGAAGACAGAAGAAAGTGGAGACGTGCATTTGGAGCCCTATGATCCACTAGGAACCCAAGGGAACAACAATAATAATAGGTGATGGAGATAACCAACCAACCGAACAACTAACAGCAACAACAGACAACACTAGTCACTATCAACTGGAGAAATTTGAAAGAGGTTGGTTCCTTCACTTATCTAGTAAGCATCTTTTCAACTACAGACGACAGTATGGTTGATAATTTCGAAGCTAGAATCGGAGATGCAAGATACGCCTTCATCAATCTGAAATCTTTTTGAAAATCATCTGCACTCTGCAGTATAGTAAACAAAATTCAGATTTTCATTACAAATGTTAAGTCAGTTAGCGTTTCTATGTGATTCAGAAACTTGGAGTGTGAGTTACGAAAAGGATTTCCAATGGGTTACAGACGTTTATCAACAAGTTCCTTCGCTGGTTTCATACTGAAGATCAAATGGCCGGCCAAAATGAATCAGCAACTAGAAACTCGGGGAACAAGCCAACCAAGAACCGATTGCTCAACAAATATGCAGAAGAAAATGGAGATTTAGCATACGCCAAGTCATCGCGAACGGCAAACGACGAGTTGGGAATGCAGCCGAGGGTAACATGGAGGAGATCATGAGAGAAAGAGATGCAAAACTATGAGTAACCGTTTGGCTGGCTAAACAGGACCGCAGAGAATAAGATAGAGTGGAGACGTGCTGTTGAAGTCCTATGTTCCACTCGGAACCCAAAGGAAGAACAATAACAATAATACAATAATAAACCAAAGACTAGTAATCTCTACTTACTTGTCTAACATCATCACCCACTTTAAAAATACACGCTTGCATAAATACATGACCTAATTTTGATGTAGTCGGCTGTTTATCGTCAGAGGCTAGTTGGCTACTTGTACCTGTTTGTGCTTGACTACCTCCTCCTCCTCCTCCAGTGACAGGCTGACGCGATTTGACACGTGAACCAACTGTACCATGTTTACCGGAAACAGTTGTAGACAAGGCTTGTCTACTTGGACTACTCGATGGGTTTTCTTGATGACTATTACGTCGTCGTGATTTTATTCCTGCTTGTGAAAACATTTTCCTGTTTATCGTGAAAAGTGGTAGTAAAGGAAAAAAAACAATAGGTAAAGAAACCGGAAGTGAATTCATCCAACAGAAACAAAAAAGAACTTGAATATAAAACTGCCTCTATTTCGAATACAACTTAAATAATGAGTAAAGTTTAAAATTGAGGGTGTTATTGTGTTTACTATCTGTTTACTATCTCTATTTTGCGTTTTCTTTTTACTTTCTTCTCTGGCTTTGTGTGCTGAGTGAAGTGTGGCGGCTCGAACTGCTGCACACCGGTGAAAATTTCTATGTTGAAATCAGACAGAAAGTCAAACCGATAAGTCTTATTAGTAGCATACGTCACATACGCCACGTCAGTGAAAACTTTGTGGCGATATCACTGTACTAAGCTCCAGGCATTCAGTCTGGGATTCAAATGTCGTCCTTTAAGTAACTTAACTTACTAATCAGCACCTCAATAGTGGCGTGTTTAACAGCTATGGGGTTCAAAAATAATCAACACGTACTGTTCCGTACTACATTGTAGCGGAAGCAATAACTAAGAAGACTTTCTGAACATATTCATACTTGTTTCAAAAGTTCACTTCTAGTCTGTTCAGCTCGCAAGGCCTTTATCTTATCTGCCAAAGTGTATTACTGTGATTCATTCCTTGGGTTCTGAGTCGAACACAGGAATTTAGCAGCACATCGTCACTTCACTCTGTTCTCTTTTTGAGTCGATTTCACGATTAGCTATAAGCCACTATTTTCATCACCTTCACAATCTCCTCCAATTCATCCTCAGATCCACACCCAACTTATCGTTTCTCATTGAGGTTCCGTTCGACTGCCAGGCTTGTGATATTACACAACAGTCTTCTCAGTGTATGCCAGATCCATACTCACTTCTTTCTGCGTATTCTTTTTTGACAGTAGGCTCTTGGTTGGTTTACTGAGAGATTTCCTTTTCCTCTATACCCCAAATACAACTCCTATTCAAATTATTATAGCTTTAAACATTGTCATATTAATATTAAACATACTTTTAGCTAATTCCTTAAGCTTTAGTTTCACTTTCAGTTTGCCTAGAACTTCTAGAGAAACAATCCTACTTTGTCTATATGAATAGTACAGAATCTACCGAAGTCACTCGGCATACTGTTTGCCAGCTAGATAACCTACATATTAACATTTGTGTAAAACTTGGGCACTGCGGTGATGGTGAGTAATTCCATATTAGTTTGTTTATCAAATGTATCACACAGTGATGAAACAGTATTGTATACTGGATGACATAGTATCGAACAAAATTTATTACTGTTCATAATCATATCAATCAATTATAATCACACGATTTTGAAACTTGAGTTTTATAGTTTTCTTTGTCTTCTCCTATTTGTCGTCATTGGGATAGTAGTAGAATTTTCCAGATATCTGGGTGGACAGGTGTTGAATCATTCCTATTACATGTGTTGATTCGCAGTTGATTCGATAAGCAAAGCTTCCGCTGTTATCAATCTCTCCCTCCACCCTGTGACATGAGATTGTAAAACTGTCATCCTATCCCATCCCTACTGCATGGTTGTGTGTAACTGCATGTAATAGGTGGTATAGCTGAACTATGCTCTAGATTTCTTATCTTATTCGGGTCAACCAATCTAGATTTAGCTAGGTTTTTATGTTCCGTTAGTCTGACTGACTGAACCTGTTCCACTACTTTGACCTATGTATTTGACCTGACAATCATTGAAGACAGGGTATTAGATAAAGTAAATTGTTTTGTTTTAAAGGCTTCACAGGATTGATCGTTTAACCGACAAAGCTTGTTTCTAATTGGGCTTGTGGGTCGATTTGAATGCCAGCCACTTTTATTCCTACCTTGTTAAGAATTCTGTGTAAGGTTTCCGAGATTCCTTCCTTGTATGGAAATACTACTGATGATTTAGATTCCTTATTGTTGGTATCGTCATTATTATTATTATTACCATTATTATTATTATTACTGTTATTATTATTGTTATTAACAGGGGCAGTCAGACTAGCCGTACATATAAACCTGGCAAAATCTAGATTGGTTGACCCGAATAAGATAAGAAGTCTAACGAATAGTTCAGCTATACCACCTATTACATGCAGTTACACACAACCATGCAGTAGGGATGGGATAGGATGACAGTTTTACAATCTCATGTCACAGGGTGGAGGGAGAGATTGATAACAGCGGAAGCTTTGCTTATCGAATCAACTGCGAATCAACACATTTAATAGGAATGATTCAACACCTGTCCACCCAGATATCTGGAAAATTCTACTACTATCCCAATGACGACAAATAGGAGAAGACAAAGAAAACTATAAAACTCAAGTTTCAAAATCGTGTGATTATAATTGATTGATATGATTATGAACAGTAATAAATTTTGTTCGAAAAGTCACCTAGTAAATAATATGGTTTCACTGTGTAATAACATCTAATAAATATAACTATTATAGATAACCTAATATGTAGTTACTCAGTTTAGCGATATGGTGAGTCTTGGTAAAGTTATTTCGATGACGTAGCACGCCTACAGGTGGACAGATGGTGGTGGTTCGTGAGCATACTATTGGAACGCCACTTAGTATAGGTGAATGGAGATTTGCTATTTCATTAACAGAAATGAGCATAAAATTGACGCTATCTAACCAAATCTTTTTGATATCAAGAAGTGAATATATTTCGCTTAACACTAAATAGTTTAGGAGAAATATTTCCAAGTGTTAGTTTTGCAGGAGCATGTGAGTAACATTAGACAAGTATTGAATAACTGTTTCGTTCTAGTTTAGGACTCTTCACCAGTACAAATCCAAGATTCTATTGGGAATTGAAACGTTGGACATTCAGGTTATGAGAACCAGTTCATTGACTATTCAGCTACTGGGACAGAATTCGATAGTGGACTGTTGAACAGTGCAAAACTAAGACGAAACAGTTGTCCAGTAATCCCTGATTTTCAATGGCTCTTTTAATGGAAATCAGTCAAAGTTGGAGATATAATTAGTAGCTGTAGTGGGAGATACAATCAGACTGATAGTATATAATAAAGTCATTTGTGCGTCGGTGGCACAGGGGTTAGGACTCTCGCCGACCATGTACATGGTCCGGGGTTCCAGCCCACGCCGACGCACACCTGATATCTATGGTCGGCCTGTGAAATTTGGGCTACCGATATGCACGCTGAAAATTCTATACTTGTACTATAAATATGGTGTGGAATCAAGCTGTAATCAAAAATAAATAAATAAATAAAAATTTATTCAACTTACACAACCGAATTGAATCCATCCACAGAATCACGATGATGCTGATGTGACTGATCAGTGGTGCCTGTCGCTGCTGCAGGATATTGTGCCTCAGAGGCAGCGGCTATAGCTTCAGCCTCCAAATTTTGTACACCGACACGACGAACCTAGAAAAATAAAATATGAAATAAAGTGACAAGGAGAATAATAAGCTGGATTGAATAGCACATTATACGAGGAGGAGAGGGACTGCCTGGCAGGCTGCCCAGTTACAAATATTTGTGTATTGTGATTGTTGGCGCCTACCACTCTGTGAAAAAATAATCTCATCTTCAGTGACTTGATCTAGGACTTATTGGCACTACCGTCACAGACCACCAATTTATTTATTTATCTAAACGCAGGAAAAACTTGGTACAATACGGCACCAAGAAAGATGCGCCAAATAAGTTGTGTGATGGTTGAGATACTGCACGGGTGCCCAGACCGAAGCAGGTGGTTTTATTAAGGGACCACCCCCGTGCCTTTGACTCGGAGTCTAATCCGGAAGGCAGCGGAGCAGCGTCAGGAGCTGCATTCCCATGGTTTCCGGTGACCCATATGGGTTCATACGCCATTTGATCCGATTGGATACTGGAGCCCATGTACCCCATGGTAACTGCTTTTAGTCCAATCGTTATCCAAACAACCTTCCTGACATGGTAGGACCTGTCTATGGGAAGCCAAGGCTCATCTGCTGCGGAAATGAATGGAATGTGAGCATTGCCTCAGCAGGGGAAAATTTACTTATCTGTCACATCTCCAGTGTATATTGATTGAAATCTGTCACTCAGGCGGACAATGTCATTGTTGAGTAAAATGACACGAAGTTTTCGCACGCTGTCCTCTTGTCGACAGAATGATAATAAGCATGAAATTCCAGTGGGATGTGGCTTTCAATTCTGTCTCTCCGATCTGGATCCCATTCCGCTTCGTTTCAATACTTTACTTGATAACATCCAAAACACTTCAATGTATTATTCCAATAGCGATTCCAACTTTATAAACATGGTTAATTGGTATGTTGGAACTATGTACTGAACTATGGGATACACTTATTGTATGTGACAGATGATGATACCGCCGAAATTCCCAATCTCAGGTGAGTCAGGAGTCGGATCCGGAAAACGTAAACCAATAAACCACACCTCCAAACTTAACTGCCTTGCGTATTCTCTTACATTTTTAGCAGTTGATCCTTGAAGTCCAGAAAGTACTGAGTCGAGTCAGTAAAAATCACACAAAAAACTGAGATTAAAATTCTGCTGTTATCCATGGCTTCACATTACAGGTTTACCACGACCTGATATCACATATAGAGGACTGATGAAAACCGAGGAGTACCGGCTCACTGTAGCGCACTAGTTCCAGAATCTCCAGTAGTGAACACGTACGATCCTACAACAAGGATTTGAACGCAGAACCCTAATGTGGCCAGGTTGACCTATCACTATTCAGGGACTGTCTTTCTGTCAACTTGAGATATAGTGCAATCACTAATCCATTGGATATCTGTCCTCATATCGAACTTGACACATTCATCAACCTGGAAATCTCAGTCACTCAGTATCAACAACAAAATTCCGTCGGATTTTCAATACAAACAATGTCAAGTCAGTCACTTCTTCTATACAGAACGGATCAAAAACTTGGCGGGCGGGTCACAAAGAATATTTCCAACAGCCTGTTGCAGACTTTCACCAATCAACAACTGTCTTCGCTGGATCTACACTGAAAATCAGATAGCCGGGCCGGAGAGAATCACCAACAAGAAACTATGGGAACAAACAAACAAAAAAAGAACCAATCGCCAACCAACAAATATGCAGGAGAAAGTGGAGATGGATTGGACACTCGTTGAGGAGGCCGCTGGGTGACATCGCGCGTGCGTCAGGCCATTGCTCGAGTGGAACCAGGCCGAAAGGGAAGCAAGCGGCGAGTGGGACGTCAGTGCAAGGGTGACATGGAGGAGATCGTGTGAAGAGGAGGAGTTGGAAGAGTATGGACTAACATGGATGCAGGTGTAAAGTACAGCATAAGAAAGACAGAAGCAAGTGGAGACGTGCAGTTGAAGCCCTATGTTCCACTAGGAACCCAAGGGAACAATAATAATAATAATATCGAACTTGACGAACCTCACCATTCCACAAGTCCTAAATCATCACATCAGGAAAGTCATCTAGAATCTAGTGAGTAATGCATAAGTAGACTAATACTCAAATATGAAGTGTTTATTATAACCTCGAAATTCGAAAGAAAATGATACTTGAATACAAATACAAAAACGACAAACAGATGCACGTACTTTAAATCTGGCTAAAAATGGTGCTTTAGCTGCAGACTGCATTGGTGTCCCAGACATATAATCAATCTCTAGGACAACTGAATCAGGATTCGATGGTAAATAACAACCAGGTTTAACATTCACTTCACGTAAGGCATCTAGACAGGCTTTTTTACGAGCTTCACCTTTAGGGAATGGTCTAAACAAAAAAAGAAAAAAAAACAGAGAAAAGACCAAGAACAGAGGGAACAAACAAGTTTTAATAGACTGGATTAGATTCAATTCACGGGACAATAATAAGTCGAAGACAAAGCGGGGGCGGTTCTTCTCCTGGTAACCTGGAAGTCCGATTCTCGATCGAGTCACGGGTGGATACTACTACTGAAAATTGTCAAACTAGTAGGAAACAGTTCAGTGATCCGACTTTGAGTCGAAGACAAATAGATTTAAGTCATTCAATATTGGCAAAAATGAGGTATTTGGCTGTGGCGAGATGCGGTCCACTGCCGTAAGCACCTGACTCTCTATCATTACGTCAAGGAGTTTCTGCCCTACGTAGTTTACGCTTCTGGAGTCAATTGTCTTACATTTAGGTATATCTGTATGTCCCCATAACCTAATTAAACCTGATATATTAGTCTGGTGGTGTGTGCTACTGACGAGATTTATTAGTAGTATATAGGTAGGTATTCATTAGCACAAAAATATCAAATAGCCGAGAGATAGGTTTGACGTTAAAGAGAGCAAATGGTGAACTAGTATTGCAGTAAAACATGAGAGACATGAAATGAAGACAAAGTAGAGCAATACGAAGGGTAGAAGTAACACAACATGGATGATCTGTCCAAAAGACGACTTTAATATACGATGTACAGAATGTCCCCATATGTGTATATCAAATTGCCAATGAACATTCCGTTATCAAGTCTCTTGTCTCATTGTGTCGGTGGCACAGCGGTTAGGACTCTTGCCAACCATGCACATGGTCCGAGGTTCGATCCGTCGCCAACCCACACCTGATATCAATGGCCAGTCTGTGAAATTTGGGCTACCGATGTCACATGCTGAAAACTAAATCTACAACGGTTAGTTTAAGCTATGTAGGAAGGTACAGACTTCCTGGTTGGGGTCCTCGGGACGGTAAAATCCGATGGTTGGAAACACTTGGTGACATGGCTCTAAATTGTTCTCAATGGCACAGATGCATCCACTCCTTGTGACTTATAAATCCCAAGGAAACTACATTGTTCTTCATTATTACTATTCCTTTGTCTCACACCTCTGTTTACTGTCTCTAATAAGCATTTCTTCTACTTTCTTCTCTTGCTTTGTGTGCTACATGGAGTATGGCGACTTGAACTGCAGCACATTGGTGCAAAGTTCTGTGTCGAAAACAAACAGACAGAGACAGACATGCTGAAAATTCCATAGTTTTACCAAAAATACTGTGTGGAATCAAGCTATAATCAAAAAATATTTGGTTACATTTCGTTGCCTCCAAACAATGAAGATCCCATGTCGGAAGAAGGAGACATAAGGAACTCTTTGCGGGACTTCGATGGTATCGCTGAGTTGCTGGGCGTCAAGGACCTGACGGTGAAACCAGTTGTGCTTGTAACACTGCTTAGAGGTCCAGCAAAGGCGGTGTACGACACTGTTGGGCGGTTAAGTGATAAAAAGGTTGAACAACTGGTTGTGGCGCCGTGAAGCTGGAACCTGATGTAGACGCGTTAGTGTCGGTGTTGAAGATGACGAATCTATTTCATCACACCCTCCCTACATTGGAGAAGAGCCAGAGTCGCAGTCTGACCTATGCAGGTGTGACCTTTGAATCATTGCAACGATTTTCTATAGATTAACCTACAGGAGTTTATCCCTGAATGAGTTTGAGGTTTTGAATTTCATTCTATAATTCTTGCTTTACCAAGAATTCTATGTGGGTTGTTACTTACTTATATGGTAGCACTATTGTATATGTCATAAATTCCCTCTTATTTATGTATATTGTGGTCGAATAGTATCACTAATATTTTTCCAAGTGAGATGTTTAGGTCTTCACTAATGAACCTTAAATCACAGGACACACCAAAGCTTCTTTTTCTTCAATATTTGCTACTTAGACTTTTCGCTTGATTGGTTGGTTAGGCAGTTAACTAAGCTTACTATTCACAGATAATGAACAAGTTAAAGTCACAAATATATTCACTATGTAGTGAGTGAATGAGTTGACATTTTTTTTAAAAAATAGGCACACTAATGTCTATAATTTACCTATTTCTTCTTATTCTGTTCGTTTAGACTTTATAATTTAATATATCTAATTCTCTAATGTCCATTTTCTAAGTCAAGAGTAAATTTTATTCCTATCCATCCTTCTCCTCCTACAACTACTATCGAGTTTAGATGGGTATGAAGAAACTAAAGATATTTTTCCATGAGGTGATATCGGTTAGAGAATTATTGGAAAACCTGGCAGTACTGGACAGCTGTTTCCTCTAATTAATTAATCTAATGCTCACTAGCAAATGGTCCTATTCAGGTAGGTAGTTACCTGGGTTCTAGTGGGAAGCTGTGACCAGTAGGGTAGAGCAGATCGGCTGTGAGGACAAATACTCGCCAGTGATGAAATTGGCTAGTGGTCATGCGACATCGTCAATCAGTAATTGGAATTCATAAGCTGGTAACTGGATCAGGTCCCAGTGTCTGAATGGTCTATGAGCTGATCTTGTAACCGGAAGATCTTGGGTTCAAACCTTGGTGGTGGGTGTGTACTGATGAAGAGTCCCAGACTAGGACTAGAGAAACAGATGTCCTACTGGTTTTTCAATGTTCCTCTAACTGACGTCAGCTCATGATGAAATCCTGTAACCAATCAAACTCCTGCAAACCAAAACTTGAAGATATTTCCTATTTTTCAGACTGTGATAGTGTCATCTTTTTTTAATGCCTTCACCGTATCATTGGGGTAGGACTGAGTGTTTGCCGAGCAATATATATGTCAACTCGCGGGAATGAATCTTCCTCCACAGAGATTGGAAACTGTGTCTCCCTCCACCCTGAGTATTGTAGCCGATAAACGCTACCACTTCTATTGGTTTAATGGCGGCGATAATAACCATACAATCTTACACCATACTTAAAGACCGCTATCAAGAATACATTTAAATAATATAGTTTGAGAACAATGGTAAACTTGATTAAAAGTGCCCATTGGAAACTTCAAAAGATTGATTACTAGGGGACAAAGAATATTCTATTTTCGATACCCTCTTCTTCATCAGGTTCTACAATTAAGTGCATCCATAATAACATACATGAAAGAATTATTATTATTATTAATGACAACATTAGTGTAACATCGAATCATTTAAATGAGAATTCCAAAAGTTATTTGTAAACAGATTTTGTAAGGATTAGTTGTAACCGGAAGGTCCTGGGTTCGAAACCCAGTGGGTGCGTACTGCCGATGATTCCCAAAATAGGATGAAACAGCAGCTGTCCAGTACTCCCTGGTTTTCAATGGTTCTCTAACTGATATCAATCCGTGATCAACTTGTAAGGATTAGTTTTGTTTTTACGAGTTGATCGCGGATTGATTGTCTAAATTCATACCTTACTGCGTCGGCCTTTTACGTATGGCCCTCCATTCAGCGTATACAAACTCTCTAACCCCTTTTTTTATTACACTTGCATACACTAACCCTTTGTTTTCTTATATTACTGGCACACTGACACATATATAAAGCACATAACCTTCTACCCCAAATTTTTTTTCTCTCTCCCCGACCTTGACAGGATCATTCATCCATCTGAAGTTTTCTAGTCAATTAGAACAGAATTTCATACATTTGGTTCCCTTGATAAATTTTGATAGAGAAAGAAAGACCAGATTTGCAGTATATAAAATGATGCCATCATTCTATCTCATCAGCTGCAAACTACCTGAAATTACAATGGTTCATTGCTTGAAAGGTAATAGAGAAAACATTTTAAGGTGAACGCATCTGGAATATAAGAAGTATTATAATCTAAGTCAACCACCATTCAATTTATTATACTATCAAACTATGAAAGAAGAAAAAAAAGAGGGGGATGAGAGAAGACAGAATTTATTATGAAAATGATTCATGAGAATTGGTTTGTAGGTTTGTGATTGGTTGCAGGATTTCATCATGAGTTGATATTAGTTAGAGAACTATTGGAAAGCCAGCAAGAAGTACTTTACAGCTGTTTCGTCCTAGTTTGGGACTCTTCATCAGTATCCACCAACCGCCAAGGCTCGAACCCAGAACCTTCCGGTTACGAGGAGAGCTCGTACACCATTAAGACACTGAGACCCAATTCAATAGCCTGTCCATGAATTCTAGCATCTACCAATTCGTGGTGTTAGCGAGACCATCAATCAATGTCATCGGCAGGAAATTCATCCTCACTGCCGACTTGGTGGATCCCACTGGTCACGACTCCTCACTAGAACTCCAGGCACCTTTAGTTTGCAGCCAGTAACTAGCGAGCATCAGATTAATTTTCAAGAATTATTTTGGTAGGGATTCCATTTGTTTCCAGTTAGACAATCTGTTTCAAATTAACTTTTGAAATTCTGATGTCAATGATTCGATGTTACTTTTTTTTTAGAAAAAGTCCATTAATGTTGTTACTCAGAGAAATAATTCCTTGATAGTGTGAAATATTCTTATATTATGAATTAAAAGTCAATATGAACGAAGAATATTCTTTTCAATAATTTCTCCTCTTCAGGTTCTTATAATTATAAAATATATTATTTGTTGTCGTTACATCCGAGACATTCTAAGCGAGAACGGATATCGAGAGAAGTTCATTAAAGCCAACATAGGTTACAATAGTTGTAAACATGAACTGGTAATGGTGGAGAAAAAGCCTCTGTTTTTACGTCTCCAATTCAAGGGAGATACTCCTGTGGAGATTCTATCGTAACGTTTAACCAGGGCGATCAAGAAAACTGTAGACTTTGAATGTCTGTGTCTACCCTTCAGTAGCCGTCCAATGTTTACCCAGCAACTCAAAGATGTCTTACCTAACCTTAGCTCTTCTTCATGCATATACCATTTACACTGTTCCTGTGGTTCAAGTTATATCAGGCGCATGATTAGGCAAGTTCGTCTACGGGTTCGAGAACACTTACCAGCTTGGTTCAGCAAGGTGGAAATTAAGTGCATAAAAAACTCGATCCTGTCACACTTGGTCGATACTGAACATCGTATCGATGTCAACACAGCTTTCAGGGTTATATACCGAATTCCAAAGTCATTATCACGTACAGTTCGTTTACGTCTCCTACACATAGCTGAAGCTGTTGCAATAAGATCAACTAAACCGGAACTTTGTATCCAAAAAGAACACGTCCAGACACTGTTCCTACCGTGGCCAAACTTCGATTGATGATTCCTCTTCTCATCAAGAGTGCTTCTTCCCCTTAACCCTTTTGGTTTTTTTTTCCTTTGCTTATTATTACAATTATTATTGTTATTCGTTATAACTTATACCCTTCATGCAAACATTCTCCCGATACTATCGAATTTTTCATTTATACTATACCGACTTATTATTGGTGATATAATCTCTTTTCTCAATATATGCTTCCACCTGTTTCATTTCACATATTCACATATATTTCATTATGAACCTCTCATTACAGTCTGACTATCTCTTGTTTAACACAGACCACTTTGTACTAGCCATTCACTCACCTGACACCTTCTATAAGCTTGAACTGATTTGTCAATTTTCCTACCCCCCACACTCTACAATTCTATTATGATTAATCACCACCATTGTCTCCCGTTTTACAATATTTTGGCAATCGATTTCAGCCAACTAGCACTTTTGTCACACAAATATGACTATTTATTTTGACACCTCATAACTAATCTGTTGTTCTACGTTAACAAAAAGTGAATCCGCTGCATAACTGGCCTTTATTGTAACGCCAACAAATATTATATTTCATAATTGTAAGAACCTGAAGAGCTATTATTGAAAGGAATTCAAATGAACTGTAGGCAAGATTTGACAGAATAGTTCTATAATATTTGGGCGCCGAGTGAGAAGTAGACATTTGTAAAAAAAATTATAAATGTAAAATCTCAGCGATATTGAAATGATTAATTCCAACGTTTCTTTCGGCAATCTGGTCCGAACTTCTTCAGGGAAATTAATCGAAATTAACATAACAGAGGTTTATATATGAAAGGAACATATCTTATTTTTAAAAACTTTGTCCAATCATGAGTCATAAAGCAAGTATCAACAAGTATAATAAACAAAATTGCATGAGCTGTGAACAAAAATTGCAAAATGCATATCCAGTCCAGTCACCTGACAACTCCAGTAGGTCGAATAAAGCAGCTCAGTTTTCAGAAAGAAGGCAAAGTAATAAGTTCGACAAGGTGTTTCAACTAAACTAATCTTAAACACCAAAATTTTGAAAATACGTCTAATCATAAAATTCTAGATACTGACAGTTTGAACAGACATGAAGGTGTGATGTTAACTGACGCATAGGTAATCCTAATTAATAAATAAGAATGGATATGTATCACTAACTAATAATACTTGGTCAAAGTTCCCGACTGTCTACATCTACTGATGGAGACGTTAAGAAATTGTTTTACAACTGTTTATCCGCACACACACACACATACTGCGTTTAAAGTGTTTAACAAAGGTAGATCAATATTTGTAGGTCTGAGGTCAAATTTTGATCACAACTCGTACAATTTTGTTTATTATACTTGTTAATACTTGTTTTATGAATCATGATTGGACAAAGTTTTTGAAAACAAGAGATGTCCCCCTTTTTATAATACAAACCTCTGTTATGTTAATTTCAATTAATTTCCCTGAAGAAGTTCGGACCAGATTGACGAACACGGGAAACGTTGGAACTACTCATATATATATATATATATATATATATATATATATATACTTTGCTCCCCAATAATCATCAATCTTTTGAATTCAATAATAAATAAATTTACCTAATTTTAGCTGAAACTGATGTGATTTGATCGAAAAATTCAAATTCTCTTTGATAAAAGGCTAATGTTGATCCATTGAAATTACGTTGAATAGTACTCGTTAACGCCAGGAGATGATTGCCAATTTCATTGTCAAATTTTACGCCTTCTTCATCACGATATATGTTGGTTTTCATATTCCATAACAACTGATGCGCTAGTAGTGGTGAACGTTTAGCTGATGTGACTATTGACTCGGATAAATAACCCAACTAATAAGTAAGTAAGAAAGAAAAGCAAAACAAGACAATAACAACAATTATTTATTTTCAAGTGTTGGGTTGTAGGGATTTAATTATGAGCTGACATTATTTAGAGAACCATTGGAAAACTTGAATATGAATGAGATGCTCACTAGCGACTGGCCCTATTCAGGTAGGTAGTTACCTGGATTCCAGTGAGAAGTCTTGACCAGTAGGGTGCAGCGGGTCGGGTGTGAGGACAAATACTTGCCGAAGGCATTGGCTAGGGGTCGCACTATGTCGTGAATTGACAGAAGTTAGAATTCATGGGCCATTGGATCAGGTCCCAGTGGCTTAATGGCATACAAGCTCGCTAGCCTTGTAACCAGAAGGTCCAGGGTTCGAACCCTGTTGGGTGCATGCTGATGAAGAGTTCCAAGTTAGCACGAAACATCTGTTCAGTACTCGTTGCAGGTTTTCCAATGGTTCTCTAACCAATGTCAGCTCATTATGAAATTATTTATACACTTATATGTTCAATAAAAGGTATTTTCAATAAAAAAGGACTATTTCATCATATATTGAAAAAGGATATCTGCTGTTTTATTCTAAAGGTAGCCGCCGGCTAACTTCTCCTCACATAAATAACCTGGCACAAATAATGGTGAGTAGACTTCAAGTTTTCCCCTTAGAATGCTTCCATATGACCGTGTGTTCATAATTTCTGACAGGTTATTCCTATGGTATCAGTTTCTCACAGTTGAGATGTTCTCTCATAAAAGTGAGTGGGGAAATGCGAAGGATCAGCCGAGTGACTGATCAGTTTTAACATAGAACTTTGCACAGATGTGCACCACTTCGAGTTGCCACACTCCCTCCATGTAGCGCACAAAACAGGAGAAGAGAGTAAAGAGAGATTCAGGAGACAGACAATTAGCAGAAGTGTGAGTGAGGGAAAAAGAATAGTAATACGGAAGAAAGATAGAATTTTACTGGATAAATCACAAAGAGTGGGTAAACCTGCACCAGACCAGCAATTGACAACGAAGATTTGGAACAATATCAACAATTGTCTCCACTTTTCATTGGTTTTTACAGTCCGGAGGAACCCAACCAGTCAGTCAGTCAGTCAGGGAGTCTACACCTCCCTACGTGGCTGGCTGCCTGTCTGGCTTCAATTAACTGTTGTAGATTTTATTGACTGATGAAGGCGTATTTTGGCTTGACTACCACCACTAGGTAGGTGTTTTTTCTAACCTAACACATGCTAAGTCGGCTAACATTTCTCGTAGAGGAAGGTGATGGCTAGGGAAGCATGCGTAACACATGTTCTAACCACCTCAATCCATGCAGCTGCTTCAAAACCTCATCGATTGATTCCCCCTCCCACTTACCTAGCACTCGATCGAAGCCCAACCTTATTATTACTTAAATAAATAAATATAAATAATTTTTCCTTGACGTTCCCCAGTGGAACATAGGGCTTCAAGGTAGTAGCTTGAAGTTTCTGTAGTAGAGTTTATTTTACAGGATGGGGTTGCTAGCCTCATGCCCAACCTTTGCTCTTTACCAGAATTATTTCTGGCTTAGAGAGGTAAAGGTGTGCGTCGGCCGGGGATCGAACCCCGGACCATGTGCATGGTCGGCGAGCGTCCTAACCACTATACCACCGACGCACACTTATTATTACTTACTCTATTATTATACTTCCATCTAACACGGGAGATAGAACGCAGACACCTATGATGAAAGACAGCTAGCCGGTCTTTTCATATCTTCTACTTTCAGTGGACATGTCTCACAGTCGACCATAAAGGAGGTCTGAGCGGACTGCTGAAGAGTGCACACACCCTTTGGTCTTACAAAATGAGGCATAGTTATTGAGGTGCATTTCCAGTTGAATTTACATCTCAGCAAATAGGTTTTCTAAAGAAAAGTTTACCCAACAACAGAACTCCTAAAATCCATAAACTTAGAATGATTTCCCCAGTTACGTGTTTGTTGATGGCAGTACGCTAACAGATAATGTTTTGGCGTTTAAGGCGATAGTTGTTAATTTTGCAGTCTCAGTGGGAACACCATCACACAGGAGAACAATCACAGCCAGTTAGAAAACACCAAACAAGACGAAATGGGCATCCTTAATTCTACAGCTAGTCACCACCAAACAAGTAACTACCAACAATATGAAGACATCCGTTCAGAGGAGCAAAAATACACCAAAAAATAAAAAAAACTGCTTACTTTATCATAACGTATTCCTTGAACAAATTGAGGTACATAGAACAACATAGTATCCGGTGGATAGTCAGCCAACACACGGACAGCATATTGATGCGTCAATGGATGTTGAGGATACATACGTGAGAAGAAGGAGAGGGCAACTACTGGGGCAACAGGTGACCATGTTAATACATGAGACAGCTATAAATACAAAATAAATAAGAAGTCTTTGTAAATACAATTGCAATTCAAGGGGGATGCACATAGCGACATAATCCATTCAAATAACTTTTAATGCTGGCAAACTACAAGCCTTATTTTCTATACGATCGATAGTGACTTATCAATTGACGAAAGATGAAGTACCTAGACTAGCTACTTCTAACTGTATTTACCAATTCAGCTGCGTTTGTAGAGCAAGTTATATTGGCCAATGCTCTTGGAACATGATTTTTCGTTCTCGGGAACGTCTAACAGTGTGGATAAGTAAATGTGTAGTAAAAACCATCAACACTTCGATAACAGATAACCTGGTCCAAACTGATGACAAAGCAGCCAGCGCTGAAGAATCCTTCTCTATCATCCACCGGGTACCAAATAAATTGCCAAAATTTTAATGGGCATTTTTAATTACACAAAACAAATCGATAGTAGGCAAAAACAAATGAATTAAAAGTGAGGTTGAAAAACACTGAACTTTGTAGAACAGACAGTTAAATGTTAATTTCCGAATCACTCATTCTTAAATTGCAGAAACTCAATGCAATGCATGAACACCAGATTACTCCTAGCATGAAATCTGTGTAACTCTTACTCACAAATTTAGTCTATTCAGCTATATTACTCACCATCATATAAGTAGTTTAAATAATTTCGCTAAACAAAATATGCGCAAAGCGTTTTTATTTACCTCTGTACGTCCTTCTTCAATATTACTAGAAGTAGCCAGATATTGTAAAGCAGCAGGTACGTGTGTCACATGTTGTGGATTAGCGGTGACAAGGAGTGAAATTTCACGACGTAATTCATCTGAACCAGTAAATCTAAAGTGAAAAGTAAAAACCAAAAAACAAGTAGTTTTTTTCAAGATGTCGTTGTACAAGTGGAGAAGTTTGAGAATCTTGAATCCAGCGAAGGAGTACCCGAATGACCTAGAGATGTAATCTATTCGAGTTTATGCAGCAATCAAAGCAATCATCAACAAAAAATTCAGATTAAAAGTAACGGGAAATATTCCATCAGGAAAAGCTTCTAAAACTGAAAGCTAACCCACCCAGTAGTTCCTAACCAAAATCTTACCCAAATCTAAATCGAATCATAATTCAACAAATTGTTATCATCCATTTGGGTTTCGAGAGGTACATGTGACTTGAAAACTTTAAGCTTTGAAATTCAAGTAACAATGGTGCTATTTTATGGGGTTGTAAGTCTCACGCACAACGTAACCTGTTTTCCAAGTTCACTGTCTGCTGGGTGGGTGGGGCTAAATAGTCCATTGGCCAGGAACCTAACCTGAAACACTTGAGTGGATAGCGAGCATTCTACCCCTAAACCATCGAAGCCTATGATCTAATAGTAACCTATAGCGAGAGAGGGTTATCATCCTAACCTGATACGACCGTCCTATGGATGACATACTGGAGTTTGTCCTTGCAGTATTTCAAAGAAAGGTAATTTTTCCTATAATGTTACACTTATTTAAGTATTCCCCCCCCTGAATATGTACTGTTTCTCATCAGAATCAATCTGATTTAATCTGATTGGTCGCCTGAAAATGATCATCTTTGACATTTACTCTGACTTCGTCTTCATATAAATAAAAAAGTTTACAAAATTAGTTGGTTCAGTTATTAATATAGTCATTATGTTGAGAAACAGAAAGGTGGATACCAAGTGCTGATTATGAAAGAACTCTCTAACATCCAAATCACTGTTATGAGAATTTTGTATTTACACAATCCTGCAATATATATGCAATATGATAAACTTCCTTCACGTATTTCTCTGTCCTGAGACTTTTGTTAGGCTTCTGACCATTTTTCTTGGCTTAAATCACTTCACATAGATCCTAGGGATTGTTGTATCCACAATTTTGAGATTATTTTTTAACTTGAAAATACAGATAACCCTTAAATGCAATTTTGATATGAGTGAGTTCTCTAGGCTGAGTGGTTTAACTGGGAAGCTTTCGCTGTCCTTTCGTAGACAACATCTTCACACTTAGGTACAGATACGCAGACTAAACAACAAATGAATTAAAATATTCTAAATATATTGAATATTTAACACAATTTTTCCTTATTCACACCGTTATACATCCCCCGCCCACTCCGAAAATTGTCTGACTTTAACTTATAGACGTAAAACAACTTCATTTTGCAGTTATCACTCATTCATGGCGAGCGACTTTTATATTTCCCACCTCCTTTGAAGTCTGAAATTTCATTGGTTGGTAACTCTTTGAACTTGTCACTAGGATCCAGGTGACTACCTACCTGAAAATGTTTAGTTGCTAGCGTGAATCAGGCTGATATTCAAGTGTTGTTTTCCAGGATTTCATCATGAGCTGCGAAGTGAGAAGTCATGACCAGTGGAGTACAGCAGGTCGTGTGGGGATAAATGCTCACCAGTGATGACATTAGCTCTTAGTCACACTATATCGTGAACTCCCAAGAAGTTGGAATTCATACGCTGGTCATTGGATCGAATCACAGTGTCTGAATGGTCTATAAGCTCGCCTTGTGTAGGCAAGATATCCTGGGTTGGAAGCTTAGTGGGGATAGGTATTGTTAAAGAGTCCTAAACAAGAACTAGAGAAACAGCTGTCCAGTACTCCCTTCTGGTTTTCAATGCTTCCTCTAACTGATTTCAGCTCATAATGAAGTCCCTGAAAACCAATTTTGGTCGCTAATATATAATGTTCTAATGAATCCCTATGCCAAATGATCAGAACGTTGGAAATGTTGTGCACATACACATTATTGATTTTTATTATTTATTTTGATTACAGCTTGATTCCACACCGTATATAGGGTACAAATATGAAATTTTCAGCATGTGATATCGGTAGCCTAAATTTTGCAGGCCGACCATATATATCAGGTGTGCGTCGGCAGGGAGTTGGACCCCGGACCATGTGCATAGTCGACGAGAGTCCTAACCGCTGCGCCACTGACGCACGTCTTCTTACCGTAGAGAATTCATAAAAGAGAAGAAACTAATTGTTTCCTAATGATGATAAATGAGATGAAAATAGTAGAATACACTCTCCTTAATACCAACAAATTTACAAAAATAAATTACTACACAAGCCTATCTATGATGGACGAAACAAGGAAAACACATTAGATAGTTAATTAATTAAATACCTTTGCGGCATATAAACAGCTACAGGTGGACATAATTCCCAGGCTAATGATGTCCATCTACGCCAACTCTTTTTACGTAATGTCTCACGTAGCCATGTTTCCACTTCAGCCTCTTTGACACCAATAAGATCTGGCAGTGCTTGTGGATTAAACCAAACTGAAAGGCGTTCAATCTCTGAAGCCTATTGATTGAAATAATAATAAGAAGAAGAAACAAATTGTCTTGGGAAATGCATGGGAAATATACAGTGAAAAAAAACACAGTGAATTTTCAGATGGGGGCGAGGGGGGAGGGAAGATTTCGCTGATAATCATTTTCCCTATCCGGGGTTTGAGTCTTACAGGAAATACATACAATATATATGACCGTTTCTTTTGGATCACGACTTAAGACAGTCTGTGTGGAGGTCAAACAGCACTCACCATCAAAAATAACATCCGGATTTTCAACTCCAATGTGAAGTCAGTGCTACTTATTATACGGATCAGAGACTTGCACTGCGCGTCATGAAGAGAACCTCAAACAAACTACAGATCATCATCAAGAGCTTCCTTCGCTCAATACTAATCAAGATCAGATGGTCAGCCAGAAAAGATCAGCAAAAGAGATCTCTGGGGACGAACGAACCAACCGGGAATCGATTGTGTAACAAATATGCAAGAAGAAATGGAGATGGATTGGCTGGCCAAACTCTGAGGAAACCATCAAGTGACATCACCAGACAAGCCATCGGTCGAGTGGGACTCGAAAGGGAAGCGGCGAGTTGGTCGTTAGTGTGAGGGTGTCTTGGAAAAGGTCATGTGAAGAGAAAATGAAAGCATTTGGGCAGACTTGGAGCTAGGCGAAAACGTTAGCAGAGAACCGAACGCAATGGAGACTTGGGCGGCTGAAGCCCTATGTTCCTCTAGAAATTAAATGAAATAATACTAACTTCACATAAAGAACACATGACGTTTCAATAGTTAGTTTGTAGAGATTTGATTTGTTCCAGGTTTAATCACGCATTCATGTGACAGAGAACTGAATAGTCGTTTCGCCGTCGTCTGAGACTTTTCAGTGAGAAGCATCGACAACTCCACTGGGGATCAAACTCAGGACCTTCAAGTTACTAAACTCGCTCACCATTCCAGCCATTTGGGTCAGAATCTAATGGCACATGAAATCTAAATCGAGTCAATTCATGATTTCGGCATGTGACCTTCATCGAATGTCGTCAGAGAATATTTCTCCTAGCAACCGATCTGGTCTACCCCACTGGTCACGACCTGACCAGTGGAAGTTCAAGCAACTTCATCATTCTGTAGCCAGTCCTCTTTTCGAGGTCTCCACCAGGTTACACCACACATTTCATTTGGGAACTGAGAGTACGAAGAAGGAGTCAAAGTGAACAAGGTAGATTAGACGACATTTCTTTCTAACAATTCCAGAATAAACCTAATTAACTACTTTTCCATACCTGCGGGAAGTATCAAACACACATCTGTAATTCCATGTTAGATGAATTTATTTGATGTATACCACATAGTGGAACATTATTATTATTAACTGGATGACGTTTCGAGCTGCTCATAATCATGTCAGTATATTCACAGAACTTGATAACTTCCTTCATATAGAGTCCTACTAATTGTAGCTTTCTTCACAATTTTCCATATATCTGGTCAAAAGTTCGCTGTATCCTGCTTTATGGACAGCTGTGTGAGACATAACCAGTGGCAGTAGAAGATATGAATAGGCCGGCTAGCTGTCTTTCATCATAGGTGTCTGCATTCTGTCCCCTGTGTTAGATGGAAGTATAATAATAGAGTAAGTAATAATAAGGTTAGGCTTCGATCGAGTGCTAGGTAAGTGGGAAGGGAAATCAATCGATGAGGTTTTGAAGCAGCTGCATGGATTGAGGTGGTTAGAACATGTGTTACGCATGCTTCCCTAGTCATCACCCTCCTCTATGAGAAATGTTAGCCGACTTAGGATGTGTTAGGTTAGAAAAAACACCTACCTAGTGGTTGTGGTCAAACCAAACCATGTGTTTACCAGCTAATTGAATCCACAGCAGTTAGTTTAAGCCAACCTGCCACTTAGGGAGATGTATATTTCCTGACTGGACTAGTGTGGGTACTAGGGATGGTAAAAACCAATGAAGGCTGGAGAAAATTGATGATATTGCTCAAAATCTTCGTTGTCGGTGGCTGGCCTGTCGCAGATGCATCCACTCTTTGTGACTTATCACATCCGATAAAATTCTATTGCTCTTCTATATGACTACTCATCTGCCTCATATTTCCATTTAATTGTCTCTCTTTCAAATTTGTTGTTACTCTCTTCTCTTTCTTTGTCTGGTACATAGTGGGAGGATGGCAACTCGAACTGCTGTACATCTGTGCAAGGTTCTACTTTGAAACCAGTCAGTCAGTCATATACCTTGTATATGCGTTGCGTCTATTCAACTACACGTGTTTGGTGGACAGGCATCAGGTGATCAGTCTCTCTCTTTCTCTCTCTCTCTCTCTCTCCACCTAACCATCTTACCTTTAATTACTTCTACTCTATCTCACCCTATTGTCCCGATAATTTAATTGACCTCAATCTAATAATCTGACACAAGTGATTGATCTCACAGTCATTACATGACATCTGGTTGTCGTTAGACCGACGAGATTTGACTCTAATTCTAGTCTTTATTAAGAATCCAACGTAAAGCATCTGAAGTTTCTTCTTCATATGAGAGTATTATTGAGGCTTTAAATTTGTAATTTCTGATATTATGTTCACTCTTTACATTCCTAATCGTATTTTTTTAAAATAAGCTCATAAATTTCTACTCTTATAGTTATGGTTGCAGTTGCACAGACGAGTTGTATAATCCATTCTGAAGCTTGAACTAAAGTCAACTTACTGTAGCAGTTTTGTGAATGTAAAAATAAAAAGATGGTGGATAGACGCTTCCTGACAAGACTGCCTTGCTGAACTTAGGTTTAGTGCAACGTTGATTAGCCCTCATTAAGCAAAAGAATATCTGGAACCGACTTAAAACACCGGAATACTACAAAGGGGGTGGGTGTATTGCTCATCAGTCCACTCTGTCCTCCTTTATGGCTGTGACACCTGGCCATTGAGAGTGGAAGACATCGAAAGGCTAGCTGTCTCTGATCATAGGTGCCTGCGCTCTATCTCCCATGTGAAGTGGTATAATAAGGTGAGAAATATTGAGGTTAGGCGTCGGTTGAGTGCTAGGTAAGCAGAGAGGGGAAATCAATCATAGAGGCTGTGAATTTACATCGACTGAGGTGGTTAGGACATGTGTCACGTATACCTAGCCTAGTCATCGCCTTACTCGACAACAGGCAATGTTAGCTGACTGACACAGGGTCAGGCTAGAAAAGAGCTAGCGGCGGTCAAACCAAAACATTTCGTCAGTCAATGAAATCTACAACAGTTAGTTTAAGCCAGTCGCGTAGGAATTTGTAGACTTCCTGACTGGTTGCAGTCCTAAGGACGGTAAAAACCAATGAAGGCTGGAAACAATTGGTGATATGGCTCAAAGTGATCGTTCTCAATGGCTGGCTGGTGAAGACGCATCCACTCCTTGTGACTTATGATTTCCAATCTAACTATATTGTTCTTCATTATCACTATTCCTTTGTCTCACACCTCTGTTTACTGTCTCTATTACGCATTTCTTCTACTTTCTTCTGTTTGTGTGCTACAGGGAGTGGAGTGTGGTGACTTGAACTGTCGCAGATATGTGTAAAGTTCTACGTCGAAAACAGACAGAATACTACAAAACTGTATTGTTCCGCTCCTAGGGTCAAACACTTCAACGTTAATCTGTTAATTCATACAGTTACCCAGTCTCAAGTGAACCAGTGAAAATCTACCGAATACGATGCGTAGTAAAATCACCAAGCCCCTAGACGGGACATTCTTATACATTGTAAAGTAGTGTGATTTAAAACTAGATGCTACGATCAGTCTTTCACCACAGTGATCATTATCTAAACTTGGTGAATACGCCTCAATCAACACATTTAATCAGAGACTTAAGGTTTTCGTCTGGCAGCAACAATACACACACTAACATGCCCATAGCTAAATCTATTTCATTCTATGCATTGATTTCAAATTGGTGGTGAGACAATCAAAGATAGATTTGGGTTGATCAAATGTTACTGGTGCAAGTGAGTGATGAATTGAGGTGGTTTGCTGGACAGGATTCGAACCAAAGGTGTCTGGATTATTATCATTCTCTACGACAGCAAATCTCCATTTTCTCATGTCCTCTGCCCCACGATTTCCCATATAAGCTCTCACCTCCGCCCCCACACAAAATATTCCTTCCCTTCCCCCCCCCCGAATACACGCCCAACTCATCGTTTACTATTAAGATTCCACTTAAGCACCCGCCTGGGGTGCGATATCACCCAAAGGTCTCCTTAGCATGTATCCTATCCATTTCCACTTTTTTCTGCATATTTGTTGGGCAATAGGTTCTTGATTGATTTCGTTTCCACAGTTTTTGTTGGCAATCCTTTCTAACCTCCGCACTGATCTTCAGTATGGAGCCAGAGAAGGCAGTTGTTCATAAAAGTCTACAACAGTCTGCTGGAAATCCTTTCTGTGACTCTCCAAGTTCCTGAACCATACAGAAGTACTTATTTAACATTGGTGTTGAAAATCCGTATCGTGTTCTTTATGCTAAGTGCAGAAAATTCCCAAACTGACTTCAGGCTAACGAAGATCTCTCTCTCGCCTTTCTGATTGTGATTTTGGCATCCTTATCTGTGCTGCAACCTGTATTTGAAACGCCGTTGCCTTGATAAGTGAAGCAAGTGACTGTTGAAATACCAGTCCCTTCCTTAATCTATCAGCTGAACTATGAGACAGAACTACTAACCAACTCATCATTCCACAACAATCCCCGGAAGCAGTGTCCAAATGCATATATGAGGCGCAAATCACTGTCTATCACCATACTATAGACGCCTAACTAACATACACCCAAAATTTTCATCTCAACTTCAAACATCACCAAGTAAATAAAATTGTAGACATTTTCATAAAATTTTTTTCGAAAATAGAACCCCAATAAGAGAAAAAAAAGCATCACATACCAACAGAATTAAAATTAATTCACGTTTCTGCAAGAATATTTGTTTCAAATAATTCTCTCCAGTTGTTCTAGCGCTTTGTTTACCTAATTTATAGAAACATAAAAAAAATATTTTCCTGAGGTGAGGGAATTAACTTAAACTACTCATAAGTAGTTCAATTTATATGTATAAGAAATACGCAGTGACTACACGATTACGGGATTTTGTCGTCGATGCTTCTCTAGTCATTGGCTTGGTTTCAATGCCTGGCTAATACGTACTCCTAAACCTCAAAGTTGATAGTACGCACAGAAAAGAGGCGTTGCTGGGCGTGACGCCGGAAGATGCGTCGGCTACTGAAACTTCAAAAGCTTGAAGTGCGTGTAAAGAATGTAGTAACAAAACACGTGATTTGTAAAATCCAAAGCTTAAACTTAGAATAGAAGAATATGTAATATTGAGTCACTGGCTCCATAACTTTGAATATCAGCAAACAAATGTGGTGATGCTGACTAACGATATAGATTTTGGTGACATGTGAACGGTATACTACTCAATTATGCAGATGGTATTTCGGTAATAATCCGTGGTAACAAAGAAGCAGTGGCTATAATGAATTGTCTCACATCACATGGATTCAACAGCAAAGCAGAGAATTGGTAAAGGAAACAAAAGGGTTACTGAGTCGAATATAGCGTCAACTAGAATTTATTACACCTGATTTCAAACTCATGGAATTCTAATATCAATTACTGTATAGGCTTTCGAAAACTATGCAACTATGTTACCTTCAAAATAATTTAACTTTCAAAAGTTGCTTGTTAGCGGTTCAACTGATTTCAAGTTTGTTCACGAATTGACTGATACCAGTTAAAGAACCACTGAAAACCACCAGAGAGTAATGGTGGATAGCTGTTTTGTCAGATGACAGTCAGACACTCACGGATGACATTTAGTTGGCGGTCGCGTTATCTATCACGAATAGGCAGAAGTTAGAATTCATAGGCTATAAGATTTCATATCATTAATTGAACGGTGAACAAGCTCATATTGTAAGCTAAAAGTTCTAGGTTTAATCCCTGGTGGTCCATGAACTTTAAATAGAAATGACTGAGCAAGAACAACAGTTTCACGATACTGAATAATGAGGTGTAGAATATATTTATATCCTTAGAGTGTCTGATATGACTTAAATAAGGCGAGACTAGGGTCCTTCGTTGTACTATTAAGCCATTAATAAATTTATGCGTAGTGTTATATTCTTCAAGAGAGAATTCGTTAACCAATTGATTACCACTCGAAATCAGTAATGTATAATGGGAAATGAGTAATACTGAAGTGTATAACCAAACAATTAAGATCATAAATTATTCATGGTTGTACATAACTGACAAGAATCAACGAAATATCTGATGACGTCACTTTATCGTGTTCCAATGTGTGTGTGTGTTCTTCTTGCTTTGTTCTAGTTGAAACTGATTTAAGCACGTATGACACTCATGACAGAAAAACCTCGCCCAGTTCACCATCTGGTCCTAAGCCTGAAGATGGAGAGGCAGCTGAGAGTGGGGCTAGAGACACTACCCAAGAAACTGAATCCAATCTCGCACAGAAAATGACATAAATCAATCCGATCCGATCCATGACAAAAAGCGCTTTCAGTGAAACTAAAATCTAACAACCGTCTACACGTTCCCAGTAATACATGTGGCGTGATATGAAGCGGGCACAACCGAAATCAACACTTCAAATCAATAATGGTTGCAAAGGTAGAAGTGCTTATTCCTCGATTCTGGATGTAGTTTACGTTGTGGACATGAAATGATCTCATTGGACGACTTGTTTAACCTTGGATCGATTGCCAACCAATCAGAATAGTTCATTCTCCTCCTCAGCCGAATTTGAATATGGCTCAGTATGTATATAATGTTTTTTACCCTTTAATTAAGGTCCATTGCCAAGTCTCTTATCTTCTCTCATTTTACGTAGGGAATTAAAATCAATCTATATGACATTTAGGAATCGTCATCAATTCGATGCTTATACCGTTCCTTTAATGGCTTTTTAGCCTTCAACAAATAACATCTCAGCTGAAATAAAATCAATAAAAATCATTTAAGCAAAATAAACTTTACCTCCAGTAGCTGATGAACGCTTAGAGACAACTGAGTGTGCAATATTACTACCAGCAAGTACAGCAGCATTTTGAAGTGTTGAGGAAGTTGTCGAATTCAATGCAGACGGTAGGATTAATGAACCAACCCCGGGACGTTCTAATGGTTGATCAGTTAACAGCATCACTTGTGAACGTAATCTTGGCAGTGTACCTCCACTACTACTACTACTACCCCCACCAGCTCCACCGCCAGTTGCCATCGGGGTTGTTGTTGTTCCAGTGGTTGTCGCTGCTGCTACACCTGGTGTAACATTCGGTGTTATTATACACGACTCATTGTAAATATATGAATTCACATGTCGAATATTCGGTGATGAATTAGTTGCATTGAAAGTTGTATTGCTTACAGGATTAGTAGGAAAACTTGCTGGACTAATCGGTGTGCCAAGGACACCAGTAGGCCCCCCGCTACTTCCAACAAAACATGATTCAGGTGTATTGACTAAGCCTTGATCTTGAAAATTGATTGCTGCATCAGTATCACTGAGGAAACCGCCAACACCACTACCATAACCACCACGACCAACAGATTCTAGCAGGGCACTCATTTCCGTTTCTATCATACTTGTACTCAAGTATTTACGTTCAGCTTGCATTAAACTCCATAGACGACTTAATGCTTTTAATTCATCTGATAAATCAGCACCTTGTTTTATTGGATATTGTGGTTTCACCCTAAGAATCATTAATGAAAACAGATAAATGTGAAATAAATGCAATGAAGTTGATAAACTGATTTGTAGAAAATTATTATAAGTAAAACATCAACGTTTAAACGTGTAAGTTAATCCGCTAAATGGAGTAGACGTGATATCCGATAGGTTATCGGCTCAAGGACATGTGTACTGCGAAACAGTTCGCTTTCTGACTGACCTTGAGATATGACCTTCAAAAGTGGAAGATATGTAACAAGACTAGCTGTCTTTAATCAAAAGTGTCTCCGCTCTATCTTCTGTGTTAGATGGTATAATAATGGGGTGAGCAGTATTAAAGTTAAGCATCACGTGTCAAGTAAGGAGAGCAAGCGAATCAATACGCTACACTGATTCAAATGGTTAAGACATATGGAACCATTGGCGAGCCGCCGGCTTTTTTCATTGATGAATGTTAGCTGATATAGGATCACGTTGGAAAACAGATAGTAGTGGTGGTTAAACTAAAACATGTCTTCATCAGTCAATGAAATCTTCAACAATTAGTTCAAGTCACATAGAGAAGTATGGACTTCACGGTTAGAGCCCTCAGGATTCCAAGAACTAATGGCTGGAGATTATGAGTGATATGGCTCAAAATCGTTCTCAATGGCTGGTGCAGACGCAGTCACTCTTCGTGATATTCATTAAATCGTATTGTTCTTCCTATTCTTTCTCCGTCACATTTCTGCTGACTGTCGTTCATTCGAATACCTTTTTCTTACTGTATCACTTTCTTCTGTGCGGTTCACGGAATGTGGTAACTTACAACCAGACTGGTGGACATCCGAAAACCCGTTGTTCCAAACCTATGCCGTACATGAGCTCCAGAATTCGAAAGGATCAAGTGTCGTATAACCTATTTTGGTCACTGGTGACAATGCCTATTTGCAAATTCCTCTTGATGAGGCGTCTAGTGCATTAACAACCATTAGTACTCCATTTGGATTGTTCAAGTATAAGTTCTTGTCTTTTGGTTCAAATGTTTCATCTGCAATATTTCAAAATGTAATAAATCAGATGATATTGGATTAGATGGTGTTGAGTCATACCAAGACGACATTATAGTTCATGGTCCTAATATCGAATTGCATAATGGACGTCTTTTAAAACTGTTCAGGCGTTTGTGTGAGAATAATGTTCTTGTTAATCCATCTAAATGTCATTTCACTTTGTCGTCTGTATCATGCTTGGGATACACAGTAGACTCCAAAGGTTTCAGACCTGATGCTAGTCGTTTGGCACCTCTAATTCAAGCACCGTCACCTAATAATATGTCATCGTTGAGATCATGGATAGGTACTCTTCAGTTTTACTCCAGATTCATTCCCAACTTCACTCAACGGTTATCTCCACTTTTTGAGATTGTCTCCAGTAAACAGTTTAAGTGGGAACAACAACATGAGAATATCTTGTGAAAAACTTTGGAGTTTCTTAATAAACAAGCTTTCCTAAGACCTTTTTTATCGAAAGATAAGCCTGTTCTCACTACAGATGCTTCTCCTATGGGTATAGCTGCAGTACTTGAGCAAAATGGACAACCTGTTACTTGTATTTCAAGGCGTCTAAGTAAGAGTGAACAAGGGTACTCACAAACCCAGAAAGAAGCTCTAGCAGTTGTATGGGCAATAAGACGCTTGCACAAGTATCTCTTTGGTACTAAGTTTCACATAGTTACTGATCATCAGGCTTTGAAATTCATTTACAATCCAGAAAAATCTTTGAATAAATCATCTGCTGCTATGGTTCAAAGATGGAGTTTAGAATCAAGTGCATATGATTACACTATTGAACATAGATCGGCAAAGGATATACCTCATGCAGACTTCTTATCTCGTTATTCATTATTTGAAAATGCTGCTAATGATACTGATAGCAATCTCCCGCGGAGAACCATTTATAGAAAATTTTCCAAGGTTATTTAGTTCCATCGCAACGCCAATTTGTTGTAATTATTTGTAATCGTAGTATTAGTATTTCGAGATGACCGAATTACACAAATCCAACCAAAACACAGAGAGGGCGGAATTCAGGAATTTGTATTTAGCGGAATTATAATGCAATTCATATAAGAAACATATTAACAATCAACAGTAAGTATTTAAACAATACAGAGATAGAAATTGTCAATCACCACATAGTTCCTGACGATGCACCACTGCCTAGTGGATCAGACTTCAAGTCAAAAACTCCGGTAGGAGTGGCCCCTTAAAATAACCACCTGCTTCCGTCTGGGAGTCCGGGAAGTATCTCAGCACTCGCACAAACGACGAGACAACTGGATATCAAAGCTACGCTAGAGATAACGTAGGTCGGTGTATGCTAAACTAGCCGTCCGCATCTGTGTTGAGACTTCGTCAGCGATGCAACTTCCGAAATAAGTGAGGTGGTTAACAGCCTCCACCAACCACTTCACTCCTACCTATTTTCAAGCTAAAAATGAGTCAAAGTAGCCCAGCCCTAAAACGTCCTCTTACACATTTGACAGTAACCAATAGCAAACCAAACATTCGAAGACTGCTGTTCATCTCAAGATGTTCGTTCAAAAGACTCTGCATTTTGTCAGCATCTTCACCTATAAGGACTATATCATCTGCATTTTCTAAGTCAACGTGATTACTGCGTGATGGTAACAAGTCAATCCCTGAGTCACTGTCACAGTGACTAACCACGCTCTTCATGATAAATTCTCTAAAGTTCCTCTACTTAGAAGGTGAGAAAAGTTCATCACTGATTCGATATTCGATAACATAATGGTGATAACACTGTAACTTGTATGTATAGGTTAGTTAATACTGAATCACATTAAAACACAATACAAAACTACACATAGATTAATTCACACACAGTTACAGAAGTCGCGAGGTATTTAGAGAGGAAAAAGAGTGAATTTAACCAAAAAATGGTACATAAGTGTGTGTGTGAGAGAGAGAGAGAGGTTTAATCGATAGGGCCTTTAGGAATCAATTCAGTTACACTCAACACCCAATAAGGCATGTGTGTATGTGCTTAAAGGAATGCATGTGCTGATGAGCTGCGCTTTCAACAAAGCTGTTGTACTCGTTCACCAGGATATGAACATATCTAGCTGAGGAGCTCAGAACAGGATGAAAAATACACCTTAAATATCACTATAATGAAGCGAATAAAAGGTAACATAGCTGAACTTAGCATATAAATGAACAAGATTCACAATTTTTAACACTAATGTCACGCCGGTCAGTACTTCTATATTGTTTAGAGATTTGATGTGTGCGTCACACCGAAAGTATTTCCAACAGGCTATTGCTAACAGCTTTCTCCACTGGCTCCACACTGAAGATCAGATGACTGGAGAAAAAGGATTAACAACGAACGAATCAAGAACCTGTCACCTAATATATATGCAGAATGAAATGGAGATGGGTTGAACATACGCTGGCATCGTGTGCCCGACCCTCAGGTGGAACGCAAATGAGAAACCACGAGTTTGGTGTGGGTCAGACGACAATATGGGAGGAGATGAAAGCCAATAGACGTGTTGATAAAATCCTACATTCCACTCTGAACCAAAGGGAATAATAATCATAATAAATAACTGATATATACTACTCATAAATAATAAAAGGCAATCATATTCGAACGAAACTGTAACTAAATTTTTCTGAGAAGACATACGTGAAATAATTCAATATAGCTGCATATGCTTTCTCTCGAAGAGCAATTCTAGCCAATGGGAATAAATGTCCACTGTCATTTGAACATTGACTACTACTGCTTCCGCCTGTTCTACCTCCAGCACTGACTAAACTTCCAGCACTACTACCCATCCCGCCTCCACCACCCCCAGCTCCTCCTCCTGCCCCTCCAGAAATACCACCACTTGCTGTTGTAGCACCTCCACCACCAACACCACTAGACGTCTCATCTGTTGAAATTCCCTGATATCCAACATTGGTAGGTTTAAATCCAGTATTCTGTATTAGACTTAAACACATTTCAACCAGTCGACAGCGTACACCTAATGCAGCTACATTACTAGTTAATCGTCCGTGTATAATAGACACAGCATTCTGATAATGATGATGACGGTGACGTTGTGATTGTTGTTGTTGATGCTGCTGGCGGTGACGCGAAGATCCCAATGTTCCACCACCTTGCACTGCTGGTTGTACACTTTTATCTAGAGAGGCAATTTCACCAGCCAGTGTTTTTTGTAGTAAATCGAACAAGATATCCAGCTGTTCTTGACTAGAAGATTGAGCTACGTATAATCGTTCACTGAAAAACTTTAGAGTAAAAAAGTAAAACACTACTTTATTAAACAGAAATCAGTAGTAACAGTAAATAAAAATGGGTTAAAAGAACCTTCTTCAAAGCATCTGATTCATGTCTACACGAATGAAGGCTGGTAGCTTAATGACGGACAATACAGTATTTAGTAGTACACACCTAGCGATGGGGTTCACCGGGTCTTGGGTTGAGTCCCGCGTAAACGAGTTCAGTCTTAGTGCGACTGGATGGTATCATCATTCCTCATACAATTAAGTGTGTCTCATAAGCTGAAACGCGACAAACCTTCCCCAGAATCTGAATTCAAACAAAAACAATAGTGAACACCCAATGTTACAACCGATGATTACCCGTAAAACTGAGTTCCTTGGATCAATTTTTTTCGACGGCTGATGAAATAGGTGGAGTTCGAACCTACGAACTACGAGCGATATAAGCGTCAAGATGAGTTACATCTTCGCACAGAACTATCTCACAATAAAATGATACAATGATGGTATTCCTTAAATAGGAAAGAACAGAATTCGACCAGTTCACATAAGAGAAAAATAGGAGCAGAGGTCAGGTTAGAATCCTAGACTATCCAGCACAGAAATAATACTTCTGTAAAATGAACATAAACAAGGAAACACATTCTCAATACATATGTGTAATCCATCACAAACTGACGTCAGCTAGGGAATTATTGGAAAGTTGTTGCCCCTTAGTTTAGAAATCTCCGACAATCCACACACCCTTGATCCCGACAGATATTGGACCCAGGAGTTTCAGATTACGAGACTAGCTGCCCTGTTGAACCCGGTCGCAAAACAAGGATACAACAGTATTCTAGTGACTTTTAATGAATACACAAAATTTCTTAACTTCATTTTTATCAAATCAATGGTGAATAATATTCGGACAAATCTACAGTAGGGAAGTAGAACCAATTCTAGCAAAAATTATACAAACAGAATTTCCGTGAACAACAACTCAGCAGGTGATCTGAATTTTTGTCCTTGCATTTCATTTTCTTTCTTAAGCTTATCTCTACAAACACAATTGTAAGAATCTTTCGTGATTCACCTATGTATATATACATATAAGCCTTGCATCTAGCTTTCGTACTATTTAGCACTCGTCAGTAACTAATATACAAACAATTCACAGTGCATCATGATGGCGAGTCACCTAGCATGGTGACCATATTTAAAAACTTGACTGATGATAGAATTCAGTTTCAATAAAGAAAAAATCCCCATTTAGACATTTAGAAAACAGAAAGATTGAGCGAAGAAATATTTACTTTTCAATTGGATCCTCATCTCACTCTGGCTCTACTCTAATATACACGTATAGCATTTTAATTACAATACGCAACAGTTTGCCAATCAAGTGGCGATAAGTTTGTTAACAATAATTAAACAGTGTCAATGGGTTAATAGTTAACGAAGAAAATCAATACAGATTTAAAAGGTGGAAATGGATAGAATAAAAAATAATTTTACAAGAATAACACGTAAATTAAAGATAAAGTGGTCAAAATAAATAAAATAAAATAAATAATTTAGACAAATATAATTTTATAGGTTTAGGGGGAGGGGGGTGACGCAGTCCTGTTTATCCATTCTTGTGACGATGGCCACGGTAGAGAAAGTGGCTGTACAAATTTTTTCTGTACACATCGGCTTGGCTTCTTCAGATGAATGCCAATCGCCTCAGCCGTCTGTAGAAGACGAACTCGTAGAGCAAAATTACGATAAGTTGGAATGCGATAAATAATTTTAAATGCTGTATTAACATCAATCTTATGGTCAGTATCAACGAGGTGGGCTAAAATAGAGCTACGAATAGATCTTTTTTGTCCCTTACTTAACCACATTGGATGATGTTCGGAAATACGACGATGAACTTGCCTAATTGTACGCCCAATGTAGCTGGCTCCGCAGCTGTAGTCAAACTGGTAGAATTCAGTTTGCACCGCAGATATAACAAGATACATTACACTAGTTACTGACTACTGTAAATTTAAAAAAAAATATTGCATATCACATTCTCCAAAAGACAGTTAATCCAACCAAGCGCGTTAAGGTAAAGCTACAGCTACCACTTCTTGCCACCTTAACGTGTATTTATTTATCAGTTTACTTGTTCGTGTGAAGAAAAGTACATCAGTTGTATGCAACATCAAGTCCACAAAAGTATTCTAGAATACTGTCCAGTCTGGCTAATTCAGAGAAGAAAAGAAGGATACCAATGGTTCTATTCTTGAACACCCTGTCAACTCTGGACATTGGGTGCCCCTACAAATCGACAGAAAAGTTAGAATTCACCGCTTGATGATTGATTTACTGGCTTCGTAAGCCGGAAATCTTGGGTTCGACCACTGTTGAAGTTATCTGTATGCACTACTGAAGACATCTGTCTGCCTGTTTTCGACATAGAACTTTGCACATATCTGTGACAGTTCAAGTCACCACACTCCACTCCCTGTAGCACACAAACAGAAGAAAGTAGAAGAAATGCGTAATAGAGACAGTAAACAGAGGTGTGAGACAAAGGAATAGTGATAATGAAGAACAATATAGTTAGATTGGAAATCATAAGTCACAAGGAGTGGATGCGTCTTCACCAGCCAGCCATTGAGAACGATCACTTTGAGCCATATCACCAATTGTTTCCAGCCTTCATTGGTTTTCACCATCCTTAGGACTGCAACCAGTCAGGAAGTCTACAAATTCCTACGCGACTGGCTAAAACTAACTGTTGTAGATTTCATTGACTGACGAAATGTTTTGGTTTGACCGCCGCTAGCTCTTTTCTAGCCTGACCCTGTGTCAGTCAGCTAACATTGCCTGTTGTCGAGTAAGGCGATGACTAGGCTAGGTATACGTGACACATGTCCTAACCACCTCAGTCGATGTAATTTCACAGCCTCTTTGATTGATTTCCCCTCTCTCCTTACCTGGCACTCAACCGACGCCTAACCTCAATATTTCTCACCTTATTATACCACTTCACATGAGAGATAGAGCGCAGGCACCTATGATCAGAGACAGCTAGCCTTTTGATGTCTTCCACTCTCAATGGCCAGGTGTCACAGCCATAAAGGAGGATAGAGTGGACTGATGAGCAGTACACCCGCCCTTTGGTCGATAGTCGGATATCACGTCTACGCCAGAAGACGTGAAGAGGTCAAAGGTAGGATAAAACAACTGTCCAGTGTTTCATAATTTTCAATGACTATTTGACAGAAATCAGTTAGCAAGGAGATTTACATTTCGAAACAAACACTATTCATGACAAACCTACCCTATCTATCTACAAAGAAGGATGATAATTTGTTTAGGAAGTACATTAACTACTAAATTAGAAGAAATCAAATCAACCCATAAAATCAATGTTGATGGGTTAAATGAAGCTGACAGCAACACACAGTTGCTTGATCGATATTTAAAATAGGATTTCAATTTAAATCACTAGCTAACATCAGTAACAGAACCAGTGAAAGCCGAGAAATACTAAGCCAGTGTTTCGTACGAGCCCGAGACTCTTCAAAAAAGGAGGCATTCACCACCCTACCCTACTGGGGATCGAACACAAGAACTTCAGTTTGTCAGATGACACCACTGATCATTGAACTACTCAGATAGAATCCAATGGTTCTTGAATTCTAACTCCCGCCAATTCGCGAAATATAATATAGTGACTGAAAATTCTATTAACTTCACGAATCATTGTTTTTTTTTTAATATTATGCTAAATTATATGTTATAATTCAACAATAGGCACAGACAAAGACACCTATAGACAGACATCGGATGATTTTAACGCCATAATTCATTCTTGAGACAAACTTGCTTACTGCTCTGTCTAGGTCAAATAATCAGAGATTAAACGAGAAGAATGATTTCAAAAATATCAGAATTTAAAATCAACAATCCAGAAAGCACAAACATACACACTCAAATACTTAACCGTGCCAAATGGCATACATAACATGTTGATTAATATATTGATGAATGAGGTTAGGCTTAGGTTGAGTGTAAAGTGAGAAGGAAAAGTCAATCAATGCGTGTTGTGAAGCTGAATCGTTTGAGATGGTGGTTAGGATATGTGTTACACATGCCGAGCTAATGCATTCCTCGATGGACAATGTTGGCCGACATAGAATCAGGCTGTAAAACACTTATTGGGGGAAGAGGGGGGGGGTGGTCAAACCAAAACCAGAAACGATCGTTTCAACTAAAAGTAACAACACGGAGCAAACTATCTAAACAAAAAATCATTCTGAAATCAAAGAACAAAAATTTGGGTTTTCAACACAAATGTTAAGTCAGTCCACTTGGGTCAGAGATACTTACAATGCACCATGTCACGGAAAGCATTTCTAACAGGCTATTGAAGACTTTTATCACCAGCTGCGATTGCTAACTTCACACTGAAGATCAAATGACCAAAAAGAATCAGCAATAAAAAAAACAATTCTGGGCATGCATGAGGCTAGCAACTCCATCCCGTAAAAATAATAAACACTACTGCTATGGAAACTTAAAGTGTCTCTACCTTGAAGCCCTATATTCAACTAGGAACGTAAAGGAATTAATAATAAGAAGAATCTCTTGCTCCAAAAATATGCTGAAGAAAATGGTGATGGATGGACACACTCAGAGGAGACCGTCGAATAATATCGCGCTCAAAGCAGGCCCTCGAGTGTAAGCCGGATGGAGGAGAAACGTGAGTACAGCGTCCGGGGATGACATGGAGGAGGTTGTGCGAGGAAGAATTGAGAAACTATGGACAGTTGTGAGCCCAGCTAAGGAAGAGAACTGCAGAGAATAGGATATAGTGGAGATGTGCTGCTGAACCCAAGGGGACGACGATACAAAATGATAAACCAAAACATGAAATAAATCCATGAAGTCTTTGACAGTTGTTTTCAGTCAAGTAGGGAAGTGTGAACTGCTTAAGTGGAATTCTCGAGATGTTAAGGACTAATAACTACAGACTATTGGTGACATTAGCCAAGATTGTTCGCAGTGGACATAGATGCATTTAATCTTTATAATGTTTCTCCATGTTACTATTTTATCCCCCGTAAACCCTTAAAGGGTCTTTCGAATCGCCTTATGTGTTCTATATGGAGTATGACAACTTGAACTGCCGTACTTCTGTACAACGTTCGATGTTGAATCTTATTCAGTCAAATCATTATTATTTATAGCCATATGAGCAATTTTACATTATTATGTGAATTTTGTATACCAAAGAGACTGAACAATAACTAGGCCAAGATATCCTACATGATATGTGAAGAAATGGTAAACCGTTGGCAAAGAGAAATGTCAAGCCCGGGACTATCAGGCTGATAGATGAGCTCGTATTAATTACAATACAATAATCCGATGATTGGTTATATCGAGCCGTTCATGATGTATATTCGAGCGTGACACTACTGATGAATATTATGGGATAAAGGTCTCACTGAACGACTTTTAATATAACTGGATTCTAAGACAGTGTCAGAATGGTATGGGCATTAAAACTTTGTGAAAAGGCTATCTGTGTGGTGAGAGCAGGCTGCTAGCCGATTGGTTGGCACTAATCTACGTTAAGGTCTAGGTCACTAATATGGGCCGTGAGAAAATATGAACAAGCCTGAGTCAACAACCAATCACAGCAAAGTTAAAGTGGCAAAATATGATTCGCAGAGAGAACTCTATTTGTCAAGGAATCCCGAAACAACCAATCAGAAGCCTGCGTTTGTCTACCTAAACAACCAATCAGATGACTGCGCTTGTCTATAATAATGTAGTTGAAAGATGTATAAATACGTGTTGATTTTCATAATAAAACGATCTGTTGCCTGGCCCTTGTCTTCTGTTGTTACATTTGGTGTCGCTGCCTACCGACAAATGAAAAGCCTATACCCTGCAGTTTTTGATGGAGACATATGGATCTTCGGGCAGGACTTCAAGGCTTCTGCGCAGTTGAGTGGCGTTCAAGATCTGTCAGCGATGGAGCTGCTACTTGAGACGCTGCTGGGAGGTCGGGCGAAAGCAGCATATGAAGGTGTGGGCCGAAGTATGGACGAATGTTCGACAGGGTCAGGCAAACAGTTTCCAAAGTGGGAAGGACCATATATGGTCACTTCGAGATGGGGTTACGCAGACACAGTCGCGATGGCGAACAATGAGAGGCGCGTGAACGTCAGCGAGCTCCAGAAATGGATACAGCGAGACAAGCCAACGATGACGCCTGCACCAAGTAGATCAAGCCGACTTCAGTCGCACGTATTTGACGGGGGGACGAGTGTGGTGAGAGCAGGCTGCTAGCCGATTGGTTGGCACTAATCTACGTTAAGGTCTAGGTCACTAATATGGGCCGTGAGAAAATATGAACAAGCCTGAGTCAACAACCAATCACAGCAAAGTTAAAGTGGCAAAATATGATTCGCAGAGAGAACTCTATTTGTCAAGGAATCCCGAAACAACCAATCAGAAGCCTGCGTTTGTCTACCTAAACAACCAATCAGATGACTGCGCTTGTCTATAATAATGTAGTTGAAAGATGTATAAATACGTGTTGATTTTCATAATAAAACGATCTGTTGCCTGGCCCTTGTCTTCTGTTGTTACATCTGCTTCAGATAAAGTTTTTTTATTTCGAAAGTAAGACTGTGAAGTGATTAGAGGCAATCAACAGGATGCTTTAGACCTAAGTTTTGTGTGTTGTTGACACCAGTGAGCAGTCTTCAAGGAACTCATATCTTTTCTGAGATTTGAACCAGGGTCATCCTCAGTACTGTAGCTAGAGATGTTACCACTGAGCTATTCGGGTTCTCGATTGACCCTAGCATCAGTGAAGCATCACTGCTGTCATTTGTTTCTTTACTTATTCATTGAAATGGGAACGAAATGGTATTTTGGTATGAAGCACATGTTGGTATACGTGATGTAACGTTGAGTGTGTCGGTGTCATGGATATATCGGGTAAATCGTGGCACAAACTGCAGTGTTCGACTCCTGATGTGATGTGTAACCCATTCTGAAGATCATGTCAGGTAGGGAGTCTCACTAGAGAGGTGCATACATCAAATGGTAACGCGAGTGTTCTATCGTGAGCTTAGTCAGGACAGAAATCTGGTGTAGAGTAAAAGGCTAAAAGCCTACTTGACTCTGATTTTCGGTACGAATACACACCATGAAAGCGTAGTCAAGATGTCTGGCAAATGTACGAGAGCTACCATGAAGAAAAACCTGGAATTTTCGGATGTACCTCATGAATTACGACAAGTTTCATTTAATGCGTTTTCATGCCATTGATCTGATTTCAGTTTAGTTAGTGATGATGTTAGATCTAGCGCTAGATTAGCTTTACATGAGCCCAGAAAGAAACAGGAGCTAGAACTTCGAGAGCTTCAGGTCAGACAGAAGAAAGAGGGTATGTTAAAACTGAGGGTCAATGTTAATCAAGTTTCTTCGTTTAAGGATGAGGCGTGGTTGTAGGAGCTCATACACTAAGATGAAGACTGGTTGTATCACCTCTAAAAGATCTAATGTGTTTGATAATTATTATGACAACTTACAAGCGAAAGCCGACAAACTGGTCGAAGAAGTAGTCGGCGAAGACAGGACTCCAAGTGAACGTAGACAAGACGAAGGTGATGAAAATAACCAACCCACAACAACAACAATAACAGTAGCAACATCCAGCGCCAATCACCATCAACAGGAGCGATTTGAAAGAGGTTACTTCATTCACTCACTTATCTAGGGAGCAGTGTCTCAACTACAAGAGGAACGGACGACGATGTCAAATAGAGCGAGAATCGGGAAGGCGAGAAACACATCAACCTGAAACCAATCTGGAAATCTTCGTCACTCAGCCAGAATAAACAACAAAATTCGCTCGGATCTTCAAAACAAACAACGTCAAGTCAGTTCAGTTCTTCTATACGGATCAGAAACTTGGCGGGCGGGTCACAAAGAATATTTCCAACAGCCTGTTGCAGATCAGACCTTTATCAACAACTGTCTTCGCTGGATATATACTGAAGATCAGATGGCCGGGCCAGAAAGAACCACCAACAAGAAACTATGGGAACAAACAAAACAAGGACCAATCGCCAACCAACAAATATGCAGGAGATAGTGGAGATGGATTGGACACTCGTTGAGGAGGCCACTGGGTGACATCGCGCGCACGTCAGGTCATTGCTCGAGTGGAACCAGGCCGAAAGGGAAGCAAGCAGCGAGTGGGACGTCAGTGCAAGGGTGACATGGAGAAGATGGTGTGAAGAGGAGTTGAAAGAGTATGGACTAACATGGATGCAGGTGAAAAGTACAGCAGCAGAAGACAGAAGCAAGTGGAAACGTGCAATTGAAGTCTTATGTTCCACTAGGAACCCAAGGGAACAATAATAATAATGACAACTCCAGGGAAGAAACAATGTCACCCCTCAATGTCGACCTAGAGTTGTCAAACATGGAATTATTCTCGTTTGGTGCAGATCGAACTCTATCCGTAAAAAGTAAAACTTCTTTGTTTTTTCCTTTCAGAAGAAGTACCACTTTGTACACAAAAAACAAACAAACACAAAAATAACAACAACAGCATAATTTTCATCTACCCACCTGTGACCATAAATGATGCGGACCAGTATTACACTTTGCTGGAACATATTTTAATTGATCGGATACAACTAAAGGTAGAACTTCGCCATCATCTGCATTATGCACAGCAAATACGCCTAAACGTCGATGAATTGTTGTCTGCCAAGCATCACTTAATTCATTTAACAGCTTGATAAACAAATTGAAAAATAAAACAAAATTTATGACGAATATATATATATATCTTTTTAGAATTTTGACTCTGTCCCACACACACACCACTGTGTGGTTGTATGTTAATGCACGCAGTTCAATCGCTGAGCACTTTTCTAAATTGTTTGTCTTTACAGGGTCAATCATTCTAATCTTCGCTACCTTCTTGTGTTTTGATAATCTGACTACCTTTCAAGTATTGGTTTTGTTTGATTGAGCTAATATAAGTTAGAGAACCACTGGATAACCTGCAGGGAGTACTGGACAGCTATTTCGTCCTAGTTAGCGACTCTCCATCAGTACACACCCATCGCCACGGTTCGAACTCAAGATTTTCTTGTTAAAAGGCGAGCTAGCTCGTAGACCATACGGCCACTGGGACCAGTATCTAATGGCCCGTGAATTCTAACTGCTTTCAATTCACGACATAGCGCAACCACTTCGTAATGTTTTCTTCAACGAGTTACTGCCTCACCTTCATCCTGCTGTACCCTAATGGTCGCTGCTTCCCACTAGAGCTCGTCTTCGCCTTGTATTCATACCACACAATCCCTGGGACCGAATCCAATAATAGCCAATGAATTCTAACTTCTGACAAATCGTGTGACTACCACCTAATGTCATTGGTTAATACCTTTCCTCACACTCAGCTTAATGGATACCACTGATCATGACATCCCATCAGAAATTCAGGTAAAACATCAGACCGACCATTTCGTTCCGTTACGCAAGAGTGATTGCGAAGCCTAACAAATAACACATTGACGTCTGAAAGAATGTTCGCTGAGTTCGCTGAATCTCAGTGAAAACATCGGCAATCTAAAGTGCAGCTATGTTCAGTTGGCTATTCTCCAATAGAATGGAAACCTTCATCCTAGAGTCTACTCTGTTATACTCAATTACTGTAATGAAGGACACGAAGACAATACACCCCCGCTCCCCGCCTAATTGCAATAAATCGAGAAGTGGAGTTTTATTAGTAATGGTGTAGGAGAGAATGGAAAATTGTTCCATTTAACTTAAAACACATCATCATTTGAGAACCCCAGATGAGGTGTGCATGATATAAGTAGTAGCCTATTTCTCTGGACAGTTTAACACGAAAAGAAATTGCTGTGCATCCTTGATACACTTAAAGACAGAAAAACAACGACAAAAGGAGACTCTAACTTTAGACTTCAAGCAGTCTACATTTCCTACGGTAAAGTATTGTGAGGAGCACTCACTCACTCTGTAGTATATATCAGATGAAAAATAAGGAACACAAAACTGTTTAAAAACAAAATTACCTGTATAATTAATTGTGGTCGACCGACAACTAACCATTGCCAACAGGCTACAGCATTTTCTAACATTTCCGTGGTAAACAATCGAAGTGGTGAATGACATATTTCTTGTAACAGACGTCTTGCTGCATCACCATTCATTACATATGATTTTCTGAAATTTATAAAGGTCTGTGCATCATTACTGTTGACGCGTTGAGGTGAAGAGACAGGTACACGCGATGCGGTTACCATTGGCGTCGCTGACGGCACATTTCCAGTCGTAGTATTAGCAGTAGTAGTAACACTACTCAAAGTCGTCGTCGTCGTAGTAGTAGTGGCAGTATAAACACTAGAAGGATTAATGCCAGGAATATTTGGAATAGTGAAACGAGCCACAGAGGTTTTCGGTTTACGCAGTAATCGTTTCATCACTGAACCACCATATTGAAGACGACGGCGAAAATTATGCCGACGCGGAGAATGTTTTCGCCTTTCCGATGAGGTGTCTTCATCATCTTCATCTACAAGGCTATCATCCTCGTCGTCTTCATCCATATCATCATCATCATCTTCAAAGTCATCATAGCCACCACCGGCATCCTGATCGATTTCACCATCATCGCCTCCATCATCGTCATCATCACAAGCTTCATTGTCTTGTTGAAGAAAATTGATTCTATTCACGGCTGGATCATTGTATGACTTATGCATAACTAATAACGCAGTCATACGGAATAAGCAGGCTTGTACAATATCTAATGCAATTGATTTTTGACTTTGTAAGCGTTTAATCTGTTCTGTAATAGGATTAAGTGATGTAGTTTGTGGTTCATTGTTGAAATTCGGCTTCATTTGTTTCGGTTGTGATTCTTCTAGATTAGCTAATAGCTTAGATAAACGTGAAGCTGAAAAGCGATAAATGTGATTATTAGTTGAAAGATGAGGTAAGTGTGTGTTTTTTTGTACAAAAAATATGGTTACTCTAAACTATAGCGATGCAAAATGAACCAATCTCTAATAAAGAGACCTTGGGAAATCTCTATCGACCAATGACATGAGTCCAAAGTAAAAGTTCATAATTTAAAACAAATGTTTATAAAAAAGTAGTGTAATGTGAAAAAAAAATAGTTACATAGAGTAACGTTCCTGTAGGTGTTGCAAGGGAGCTGCTTAATTTTTCATTGGCTAAACCAATTTCCATATATATATATATATATATAAATTCGTCTAGATAACGGTAGATCATCCCGTTTCTTGACTTATCCACCGATCTAATCCTCTTTTTTAAGTGACTCCATAAACTTTTCATAGAATATGTGTGAGTCCCAAAACAAAACGGAAAGGATTTTCTGCTACACCACTCTGGGTATCATCATCTGTACACAAACCCATCAATAGGGGTTTTGTATATCTTTTTAAATGCATTACTAACCCACATCTATATATATTCTCACTCATCCTATAAGCCTGTTATATAAACAGTACTTAAATGCGCAATTCGTGTATGACATCCATAATTCCGCCTATGTATTACGAGCTCATTGCACTGATTGCCCATTACGTCATTACGTCCGTTTATTAGGTAGCTACCTTTTGGGTTGCTATAGTTTAGAGTTACCAAAAATATAATTATCACATGTTTAAACTAACGGTCACTCAATAATCACCAGAACGTACAGGGATAGTTGGCAAAGAGCCCCACCCTATTGTCTGATGGCTAATGTGATACTTCCTTTTTAAATCGATCCTTAGTATTTTCGAGTGGAATATACGGCTTCAAGCTATGAGCTTTGAAGGTTAAGCAGCACTGGTGCTTTTTATTATAGAGTGGAGTTGTTAGCCTCACATACATCCTTCCCTAATTATCGGGCTGATTGCTGGCTGGGAGAAATTTAGGGGTGCGTCAACAGGGAATCGAACCTCAGATCACGTGCGTTGCTCGCAAGTATCGTACTGTGGTAAGAGTTGGCTGCTAGCCAAATTGGTAGGCAGTAATTTACGTCAATGTTTATGTCCCAAATACTAGTTATGTGAAAAGAAAAACTAACCACAGCAGACTTTGCGTAGGCGGATACAGTTAACATATAGATGATCTGACATTCAAGAAATAGTCACAAAGAGATGCAAGGTTAACTTTCAGTGAGAAACAACCAATCAGAAGACTGTGTTTTTCTGCTAACAATAATCCATAATAATGAACATGAAAATCAATAAATATGTGTTGATTTCCTTAATAAACGATCTGTTGACTGGCCCTTGTCTTCTATTGTTACAGTACTGCAGAACCACCGACGCATTGCGATACCAACTGAGCTGCTAAGAACCTGGTAGAAGGAGCAAATTTCGAATCCGTGGCTGGATCAGAATGCCATACAGTTCCACTTCGTTTAAGCGAAAAAAACCTCTTTTTCAGATGAAACATATTAAACTTAAGGCTCTAAAAATCCATTTGATGAAAGGGCTGTTTTCTACCGCAACTCACAAAACAGTTAAAACTAGGAATCTAGTGACTTCTAAAGCCTTGATAATGTCCAGACACATAAAATTTAGGAATTTTAAAGGGACACGAATAATGACGTCATTGCTACCAATATTTTACCTGGATAAATAAACAAAAAAGACATCATGGGGATGAAACAAAATCAATGAAACTATAATTTTATAAGGAACAAACAAAGTAACCTAATAAGGAGTAAATATGCTTCCGTTTAGGTTAATATGGCTTCTCGACATATATTAGTAACAGCTGGGCATATACAGTCTATAGGAATTTTAAGTATTTTTGACTAACATTCGATTTTAACGGCACTTTGTCTGTTTCCAATATATATGAACAATCCTAGGAACTCAACTACCCAAAAAAGATGTTTCATGAACCAGGCAGAGTCAAACTTATTTATATGAGAGCTTCTGACAGTTCTATGGTGTGTGCTACTGAAAACATTTATCAGTAGTATATTAAGAGACGTGCATAGGCTTGGCGTGGTGGCTACTTGAAGACCAGGGGGAGGAATTTCGCGGGACAGTACCAATATGGATGACCTGTCGAAGGGTGGACTGTCCATGTCGACTAATGAGGCAGTTTCCATGTGCCAACCGGGCTGCCACACAGTCACCAATCACAGGCACTATCCTGCTACCCTACGACGTGAGGACTTTCACCTGCTGGGCTGTTTCCCTAAACCAGTCCGCCCTCCGCTGATGAATGTCTCTTAACATACTATTACTACTACCCAGTGACCTAGGCTGAAGTATGTAAAGGAGAACTCGAACCTTGATACCTGTTACTCTAAAAGCCTAGTTACTTAAATCAATGAATCAGTTGCCATATAAAAAAAAACTCAGTAATTTCCCGGAAAACAAAAATCAATACGAGGAGGAAACTACAAGCCAAGCATACTACAAAAAGAACAACGAAGTAATAATGAATTATGCCAAAATCTCACACTTACCATTAATGCATGCAGCATCTAAATCTTTGGTCATTTTATTGATAAGTTTGATTGGATCATCAGAACATCGTAACATTCCAGATGCCTATACAAAGTAGCAGACGTTACAGCATACGCAATGACAACAGTAGATAAACAGTATATATGAAGACGCTAGCAAAATAAATCCAATATACCTAAGAATCACGTTATATGATACCTCGACATTTGATGAAAATCCATAGTTCTAACACACCATTGATAAGAGTTAACATACACCTAGTGGTCGAACTATATCGGGAATTGGCAGAAGTTGGGATTCATGAGCTATTAGATGGGGTCCTAGCATCTGAATGGCCCACAAGCTCGCTGGCCTTGTAACCGGAAGGTTCTGGGTTCTAACCCCGGTGAATGCGTACTGCTGAGGGGTCCCAAACAAGGATGAAACGGCTGTCCAGTACTCCCTGCTGGTTTGCCCAATGCTTCTCTAACCGACGTCAGCTCACGATGAAATATGGTAATCAGTCCAATCCCTGCAAACCACCACCTGCATAAACGTATATTTTTCTGATGCGGTTGTTTTTTCTCAGTTGGGTGGTTGTCCTCATCAGCCAACCAATCATACTTAGGGTCATCAGGAAAGACAACTGTATGCGTTACAGAGAATTCTAAAAGCTTACTTTACATTGAATTAGGAAACCATGAAGACTACATATCACTCACTATCTAGCTCAAACTAATTGTCAAAGACTCTATGGGTTGATATGCAAGGTTTTGATTTGGTCACTCATAACTCTTTTCAACCTCAATTCTATGTCGGCTAATATTGCTCGTCGAAGTCAGCGGTGGCCTGGCAAGCGTTTCACGTGTCCTGACCACAACACAATCGCTTGACTTCATTTCCTAACATATAACCCCTACGCCCAACCACAATAATACAGACTATATTATAACACCTAACAGATCGCGAAAATCTATGATCAAAGACAGCTAAACATTCCAAGTCTTCCACTTCGAATGGTCACATCTCACACAATAAAGGACAGAGCGAACTGCTTCGCACTACAAATATCCCTTGACTGATAGATGGATGTCAAATCTACGCCAGCGATGTTGTAAGATTGAGAATGCCAAACAAGCCTTTTGCATCCATGCTGAGATTTCATCAAAAATCAGTCGATTAGAGGTCAAATGTGACTTCCCAAATAAGTGAAGAAGTGGTCGGCACACGTCACCATCTATCTAACTTCCTATCTTTAAACTGGGAGTTGCTGTAGTCTAGTCTTACGGTATTATCTTACATGTGATTGCGGCGTATAACAAACCAATCAACCAACTTTTACTCAGTATTCAGAAGACCCTGTATTTCGTCAACCACTTCACCCATAAAAGCAATATCACACGTATACTCAAAGTCAAAGAGACTATTCCTCAGTGAAAAGTCAATCCTTGAGTCGCCAAAGTTGATCATATTCATATATCCGTTAGAAAATCCATGACGTAATTGAAAGAAATTGAGAAATATGAGCATACCTGACGGATACCAGTGGTTGTCAGTACTTCAGATGAGAGTTTATGAGTGGTTCTGTAGGAGTTATTGATATGTATCCACATATATATTTATGTGTGTGTGTATGTTGGTCTTTCTTTCTGTTTGCTCGGTTAGTCTGTGACCACTTCACTTGTATGAACTTGTCTCCTTAAATAATGTGTATTCTCCTTATATTATATTATATATAATATGAGTGTTTGTTGACAGTCCGTTGCTTGGTGACATATATCCATCTATGTTTGTTGGCATGTCTGCTATATTCGCTATGTATAATTGGATCGACACTCCATTATAATTAGCCATTCATGTTAAGACTGTCTAATGATTTTTCCCACGCTTGTCTGAATTATTTATATATATTCGCATTCACAATTTGTGTGAACTACTTTACAACTACTTGACTTGCTTACCACTTTGGTGTGAGACCATTTATTTTCGTCTCCTTGTGTTTGGACAATAGAAGTATCATCGCAAACCTAGTGGTCTTCTGATTTCCGCCTTCTCGCGTCAGGACTATTAGTTTCTCGACCAGTCCATAACAATAATTCAGCGACGAGTACATAACAATTTGGCGACGGGGAAAACTAGTACATAACAATTTGGCGACGGGAAAAACTAGTACATAACAGTTATTCAGTCTGATCTTTCGGTCGTCAATAAGTTAAATTTGCCATCATTCTACAAACTACAATCCGTATTCTACAGCTATTCATATTAAAGGATTACTCGACCGATATTCAACAAATACATTGAATGTTATAGCTAAAAGTTAGTAAAACACTGTTTCAGTGACCCAATTTATTTTTATTTTTTAATTTTATTTTTGTTTACAGCCTGATTCCACACTGTATTTTTGGTACAAGTATGGAATTTTCAGCATGGATATCGGTAGCCCAAATTTCGCAGGCCGACCATAGATATCAGGTGTGCGTCGGCGTGGGCTCGAACCCCAGACGATGAGCATGGTCGGTGAGAGTCCTAACCACTGTGCCACCGACGCATTGATTTCAGATCAATGAAAGTGTACTGTGACTTTGCGATTTTGGATTTGACATCCTCATCTTTGCCGTCTGCAGTTGAAACGATGCTACCTGGATAAGTAGTGGAATTGATGACCTCCTTCAAATTCCTCTCGTTGACAATCACTGGTGCTTGCTGTTGTTGCTGTTAGTGGTGGTCGACCGTCTTCATCACCACTGTCTTCTTCATGCTCGCACGAAGTCCTCTCTTTGCTGCTTGTTCTGACAACTTATTGGCTTTCACCTGTAAATCCTCGGGGATTGCGAGACATTAGGCATAAATCATATCTTTCAGTGTCTCCTCATCAGTCGAATGTACGCCTGTTCTCTCTTTCCGCCCCCTTCCTACAGTCTGTTGCATGATCCAGTCTACCGGAATCAAGAACGCCAAAGCTGATAGTAAGGAGGCTTGTATGGTATTACTCAAGTAATCACTTAGTCGGCACATTCAAAGACCAATGAATAAACATTTTGTTAAGATACTATGTTTGTCACCCTCCAAACAAGCAAAAAAAGCCTAACATTGATAAAAAACCAACACAACGAAAAAAAAAAGAAACAATGTGCTTACTTCACCCAAGAATCGATTGCGTAATATCAAGTTATACATGAAATTCGATGAATCCAACTTTGCACATGTAGGCCGTTTCTCAAGAGCATTAGTCTATTAAGAATATTAGACAGAATAAACAGAAATGAGTGTTTGTGAGATTCACATGATACACTTTTTCGTTAAAATAAAATGAAACAAGTATATGCATAGAATATCATTTCTTCATTATTTTCCGTTAATATTTTTACACCAAATCGATCAGTATATATGGCTTCCATAAACGGATGTCTACAGATCTCCATGATTAACAAATCGAAGTCACAAATTCAGTGAGTGAGGAGGGTGAGATATAAGAACAGAACCAAGGATGCGCATTGTGTTATACTTGGGACTATTCACTTGAATGTAACGGTTCTCTCACAATGATTAATACTGTTCCAACTGGGACATTAGACAGTGTCTCGGCGTTTAAAGTGACCGGTGCTGGGTTCGAGTCCCAGTGGAAATACTAACACTCGCTAAGCAGCACTTATAACCGAATGGTGAGTGCCGGATATTAGGAAATGTCCGTCTCGGACTCCGTTGCTAGCCACCACCACCACCACAGAAGTTAATGTCAAAACTAACTCCGGAGAGAAACAGAGTTAGTCTGTGTTGACACCTACTGAATCACAACAGTGGCATTAACAATATTCTCAATAACCCCCTTCATCTGCATACTTAAAGTGTAAAGTGCCATGCGAAGCATACAGATATTTCATATATTTGGTTCCCTTGATAAATTTCGATACAGAAAGAAAGACCAGATCTGCAGTATACAATGATATCATCATTCTATTTCACAGGTTCCCCTCATCAGCTAACTGCAAACTACCTGAAATTACAATGGTTATAAATAATGACCTTTCATACTTCAATGTTTGAAAGGTAGTAGTGAAAACATTATAAAATGAACACATCCAGAATATAACTATTACAATTTTTAGTTTAAGTTACCATCAATTTATATACTATCAAACTATGAAAAAAAAAAGAAAAAAAAGGGTTGAGAGAAGACAGAAAACAGAAAAATCTAATAAACAGTGTCAACATGGAAACTCAAGGAGGTTAAAGTTCACCAATTTGAAAACTTGCTTAGTGAGTTGAGCTCACTAGTGTGTATGACTAATCAGTGTAATGAGAGTAATACGGTTACCAAGGGAGTGAGAGATTGACTACACTCTCTTTCTGTATGTATAAGTTTGATCTGAGACGTTTGATTGCGATTGCTTCAGCAGTAAGTCGTAGTAGATTCAGTGTCCTTTGTACATTTAATACTTTGAAGGATTGGGAAATCTCGACAAAGTGACCCGTATCCACAAGGTGTCTGGTAATTTCACTTTGCAAATATCTGCTTCCTTTTAAGCATAATCTTCTTGGAATGTGCTCTGAAAACCGGATAGAAGCCTTTTTTCCTGTCCTTCCAATGTACTCGCTGCCTCAGGTGCACGTAAATATACAAATGCAGTTGGAGGTAAAATCAGTTTCGATTGGCTTATATAGCATGTAGTGTTGTATAGTGTCACCAGCTTGACTGCAAAGAAGCATCTCTTTATTGCTCCTTTCACGCTCTTTTCGATCTTTTGCGATACTGTTTTTCCTTTGTAAGGGAGGCAAATGAACACTTTCTTCTTTTCAATTGTTGGAGAGTTCGCATTTCTCATCTCTTTCTTTGCTGCACTTTAGGATAAATCCTTTCGGATACTCGTTTTCCTTAAGGCATTTTTCAACAAAGCTTAATTCTTCTTCTACCTTATTAGGCGAACATAACTTCCTGGCCCTGTCATACAGTATCCTTACTAATCCTCGCTTATAGATTATAGGGCAAAAGCTGTTGTAGTAAAGGTATTGTCCAGTCCAGGTTTCTTTTCTGTAGATGGACTTTTCGACCGTTCCATCGTTTCTTCTTTTTACATTTAGGTCCAGGAAATTGAACTCATCGTTGTGTTCATATTCCATGGTGAGTTTAATGCTTGCGTGGATCTCATTAAGGCGGTCAAATAATACGGATGCCTGACTCATGCCGTTACAACTAACAAACGTATCATCGACGTATCGACGATAGTATGTTGTTTAATTGATAGAGTCACTCAGTCGCGTCTGTTCGAGATAAGCCATGATGTCGGCATCGGTGGCACAGTGGTTAGGACTCTCGCCGACCATGCACATGGTCCGAGGTTCGATCCGCTGCCGATGCACACCTAATATCTATGGTCGGCCTGCAAAATTTGGGCTACCGATATCCGTGCTGAAAATTCCATACTTGTACCAAAAATACGGTGTGGAATCAAGCTGTAATAAAAAATAAATAAATAGAATAGGTCCTATAGGTGAACCCATGCCGACCCCGTTAATTTGTCGATAGGATTGGTTATTGAATCTAAATTGGATTTCAACATGAACCAATAACCACAAAATCATTCAAAAGAGACTACTGGTCATGTAATATTTCAACAGAAGTGGTCTATTTAACCTGATCAAACACAAAAAGATGTCAACTTCTAAGTTGTTCACAACTTTATCAACTCATGAAACGGAATGATAGTCTCTCAGATTCTTGACTTGAAAGAATTCACAAAATATAACGTTTTGTATGAAAAAAAATTAAGAAATAGGTATCTAAGGTTGGTTAATAATCAATAGTAGGATATACATAGACCTATTGGTTAGTCCCACCCGACAGATACTACCGTGACATTGTAATTCAACTAGCATACATTCCAATGAACCAACAAGCTACATTAGCTGGATTATATGTTATATGGATTATATATGGACAAAACTATGAAAATCACTCGAAACAATCCGTGGTGTGTGTGTGTGTGTGTGTGATTAGCCTGAAACAGGTGACACCAAATCTCTGTCATCACACAACACATTAATGTTCTTTCTGTTTGAGGTATTTCAACTTCCACGATGTCTGAAGGAATAACCGGCCGCTGAATTCTATTAGAATACAAAGCTTTCCTATTTATCACACACAGTCTCTCTCTCTCTCTCATCCTTTTTTCCAGGTCAGTATAAGCTTATTTTTTTTTTGGAGAAAAGATTAGCTTCACAGCATTTCTTATCACAGATTCACATAAATTGATTTTTTCCCCAATTCTGCCCTTAACCTTAAACCAACCACATTTCACAGTAATCGTGAGCTCATGGTGCTTTAGGTATTTCCCACGTTTTTCTGAAGGCTCAACTTCCTTTAGCTGCTAACTTTTAAGCTTACCAAAGGCATTAACGTTTGTCAAGACCACATAAAACCGATGTAGACAAAGTTAGATTATCCGTAACCAAACCAAACTGACCTTCAACAACCAATCAGAATTCTGATGCTAAAAAAACCGTCAAAATCGTTAAAATAATGTATTAAAAACATTACATACATGTTATTAAACTGGATAATGGTCTTTAATATGTTGCAAAAACATTTCCCAGTTTCTGAAAGATGATCAACGGAGAAACCATATTATACCCGATACATGTATTCATTGATGTGGCTAAAAAACCATGGTATTTTGCGATCCGTTGAAATTCCTGATTCTTTTCTCCAATCGCCCCTCAGAATCCTTCGATAGAGTAAGTATGCGTGTCCGTGACTGGATCCACGAGGTCGGAGGAATGGTTGATACGATAGAGAATATAACCCAAAGATGACAGTTGGTTATGTCCCCTCCATTCATCAGTATGTATAGTTGGTCGTGGCAAGCGCTGAATGATTGGAATTAATGTTGCGACACTTTTGTTTGGTATTGTTTCAACGAAACCTTTGCAAAGTGAAGTCTCGCAGATTAAAAGTAACCACACTTGATTTGGCCTTCTGCTTCCCCTGTTATACTTCTTCTTAATGAGCGCAGTTTCATCGATGTGAACGATTACTCTTACTTCTCCAAGAGAGCCAGTAATTCCCTGCAACTTTCATGACGCTACATCTTTACAGTGCTAATACCATTGCACTCAAGAGAATAGATTATTTTTTGTATTAGTTGCCGGTGATCCAACATTACATAAGGCGTAGAATAACCATCAAAGGTAGCTCAGAATTCGAGAAAAAAGTGCCCTCATGAAGAGATTTTCTCTTATAGCATGAACTAAATCTATAACAGTATTTATCTCCAACATGGTTGTATTGACGCCATAATATTTCCACAAACACAACTCATAGCCACTCCAATCAATCCATTATTAACACAGTAGTTAGATGCTCGATCTTCGCGAAATTCGCTAACCAAATCTACGAACGCAGGCCTAATTTCTGCTTGGAATGACCTACAGAAGCGTTCAAATAATCTGACTGGTCCTTCAGGGTCAACCTTGAAAGACACTGGCTGTGGCTATGATACTTTAACTTCGCCCCGATGCATATTCAGAGATTTTATCAAGTGTTTTGCCAGTCGTTTCAAACAATACGAGATCTCTTGTCTGTGGTCCATCTTCTTAAATTTTCTGGGTGCCAATGTGTAATCGTTATTTTATGTTGTGATTAGTTATTAGGGCAACTTTTGATTATTGCATTAGGTTTGTATCGCTTTCAGTCTACGAGGTCGTATATGATCATCAGGTTATATGCGAAACTACTCAGGAATGATCAGCTAACAATGCATGGTTCATAATGTTTTAAATTAAAACTCCCTCATAACTTTTAAATACAATTTATAACATTAAAGGGACAAAAAGTGAATGGAGAATTAAAAGAAATATGAATTACCCCGAGAAATGATGCTGCACGATTATACCCAGCATAGTTTAAAACTGATTCAGTAGCCAAAGCCAATCCAGTATGCTGTGTCAGATCAGTTGCAGGATGTTGTAATTCAAGCATATAATTGATTAAATGTGAACGTACTAAATTCGGTGCCCATTGTAAGCCAACTTCAATAATGCCTTTACAACGTTTAACAAAATCATTTAACATTTTCTCTCTAACAGGTAGACTATCTGTTGTAATTAACTTGAAATTTGTCCCAGGAACATTATACACTGGAGCAGTGTGATTAGGATCCTAAAGATAATGGGAATTGCATAAACACATAAAAGTTATTGAAAGGATATATATATATACATCAGATTAAAAGAAAATAAATTGTAGACGTAAGCGACAGTTAAGTGAAAGAAAAAGGCTATTATTGACCTGAAACTCGAGCTCATCGGCTTAGGGTTCATGATAGCTAAGAATAACCGATTGTGTCAGTGATTCAATGGTCGAATGTTCATCAACAACACACACTTGATCCGGAGTTCGATTCCCATCCAACTCACTCCTAAACCTTGCTGAGCTAGTAGTAAGCCAAGAAAAGAAGGGAGGTTGGGCACAAGGTTGGCACAGCAACTCCATCCCGTTAAAGTAAGACTGCTGTCGCTATTTTGAAAATTATATTATTTTGTTTAATTTTGGTCCACCGGGTCTTTTAGCCTACAGAGCTTGTCCTGTCTGAGTGAGTTTGTAGATTTGAATAATGCCACCCTAATTCCCTGCTTTATTGAGAATCCTACGTAGGGTCTCAGATGTCCCCTCCTTATATGGTATAACAGTAGATGACTTATATACTCCCTTATTTATGTTATCACTACCAGTTTCACAACTATTTTCCTTTTTCTTTTGGCCTTTTTCGATCTTCCTAATGAATTTTGTAGGATAGTTAGTGATTTAACACCAACCAGCTATTCTTCCTCTATCTGTTTTATTTCCTCATTTAGGTCTCTTTTTGTGCTACTTAGTGTCACACTGCTCAGTTTGTTAAACAATTAACTAAGCCTGCCTTAACAGTTAATGGATGAGATGAATTAAAGTCTAAATATCTATTAGAGTGCGTTGGTTTTCTGTACACACTAGTGTGTAGTTTGCCTTCTTCTATTCGTTTTATTTTACACTCTAACATCACAGTTTATTCTCCTTGTACATTTTCCGCTTCAAATGTGAATTTTACTCCCTCCACCAGTGAGTTTATGTGTGTCAAGAAGCTAGAGAGAGATATGTTCTGTTTCTAACACTGTAAAAGTGTCATTCACATATCCCCTCCACCATATTTTTGGAGTAGGATTAAATTTATTTAGAGCCATATTTTCCCAGCTGTCCATAAATATATCCGTTACGATAAGGGATATTGGTGATCCCATTGGTACACCTTCTGTTTGTCTATATATTTTGCCTTGGAATTTAAAGATGGTAGATGTGAGGCATAACTAAATCCCTAAAATAATTTCTTCAATGGACAGCTTTGTCCTATGGAGTGAGTTCAGAATCTGCAGTTAGTTCTTTTTTAACTGCTTCTAAGGCCATATTGATTGGTATATTAGTATAAAGCCTAATTATATCAAAACTAACCATTGTGTTTCATCATTTTCTAGTTGAATATCATTTAGTTTATTTTTCATTTCATATAACATATCAAAATAAAATCTTATCCATAATGGAGGGTCGTTTAAAGTTGGCGGACTTTGATTTATGTATAGTGCCACATAAATTCGAAATACCTTCAAGTGAAAGCACACAGGTTACCATAAGAAGAAGATAAAGGCGGCGAAATTAGCCAACCAACCAACCAAGATCATATCGTCCGACAATTATGCCAAAAGAAGTAGAGACGGATTGGACACATGCTGAATATACAGTTAAATAATGAGAATGGGAAACAACCAGTTGGACATAATCCAGAGGGTGACATGGAGAACATGAAGGCTTATAAGCAGTCGTAGAGCCAGCTAAACAAAAGGAGGATTGCAGACAATAAAATGATACATGAGATGTTATTTTAAAGCTCCGACACACTCGTGTTCCACAAGGGACCCAAATGGAATATAATGAGGAAACACATAATCCTTCTCATTACACTAAAATCCGTATATCTATCGACAATAGTTATTATTCTCTTCGTGTTATCACCTTTCAACCTATTTTTTTTATCATTTTCATATAAGAAAGCAGCCTAATCTGAGACACTTTCGGTTGGGGTCGCGCTAAATCACGAATTGGTAGAAGTTAGAATTCACGAGCCATTGAATCGGGTTCCAGTGGCTGAATGGTATACGAGCTTGCCTTGTAACCGGAAGGTCCTGGGTTCGAAACCCAGTGGGTGCGTACTGCCGATGATTCCCAAACTAGGATGAAACAGCAGCTGTCCAGTACTCCCTGGTTTTCAATGGTTCTCTAACTGATATCAATCCGTGATCAACTCGTAGTACAAGAATGCATTCCAATTTTTTTTTTTGAAAACCCACTTGACTTTAGTAAATGAACACACTACCATCGACGACATACAACCTTGATCAAAAACACAAAATATCTTCCGATATTGGCACAGTGTTTGGCATCAAATGCTGACGATTACCTTTTATTTTTCTACTTCGTCACACCCACACACCCACCTACACATACACACAAGCGCACACATCGTATTTGTGTAAGTGATGAAATCGTTTTTCTCTCTCTCTCTCTCTCTCTCTCTCTCTATGAATTAACCACCGTGATAAAGACACCGGTTAGCGTATAGACTTAATATTTCTCTTATGACAAAAAAGGTAGGTGAATAATGAATGTTGGTCACAGGAAGAGAGAGTTTATTGTTTAACCAGATAAAAAAGAAAAGGCTGAATAACCATTTTGTCTGAGTCTGTAACAATATACAGACACACACATACACACACACACAAACATACACAAACTTCTATCGTTACTATTCTCTTAATACAATAACGGTTGAATTAAATATAAAAGAACTCAGGCACATAGAGAGATATTTTGTAAGCAAAAAAATAATAATAATATTGTTTGATAAAATGAACACCTTCAAGTTTATTTGCTTGTTTATTTGTTTACTTTAATCATTACTAGAGCAAACTAAAAGTACAAAAACAAGTCCAGGTACTCCATTCTTGTACTCTAGAAAACGAGAGGACAATAGGAAGTCAAAAGAAATTTCCTCATTCCCAACTGCCAGTTACTACGTTGACTAGCTGCTCGGGTGTCCAGCTAACACCACTAGCTGGATTGAATGTCCCTAAACATCCCTACTATGTCAAAAAAGTTGACTGGATGGCGGTTAGATTAAAACCAGTTACCCACACAGTGTAAGTCTTATAAATTACCTTAGGGGGCTGAAAAAGAACTTGTACTGTTGGTGAATATAGATGTAACAAGCAGTAAAGTGTTTCACTCCGACAACCACTGAAATTGACTACGCTGCCCCTCCACTCTGGAGAGTACCGTAAGGTTATAAGAGATCGACCCCTGAAACTATAAATATCTCGACTTACCCTGCGGCAGTTTGGAGACAAAGTAAAGGTCTTCCTATGGACACAACTCTAAAAACCACTGAAAACAGGTGTCAGAGGTCTGTGGTCACATATGGGTGGCTTGTGAGTAATAACTGCACACACACATACATACAGACAAAGCCTTCCTGCCAACTACACATTCTATCACCAGCAATCATGATCTCTCAAGTATATATGCATCAAGTCTATCGTAATCCTTCTTACAGTTAAAAACAACAACAGGTGTGCGTCATTTTCGTCAGCTGTCTAATTGTAGTCTATTGAATCATGCATACCAAATGCACAGCAGCCACAAATGCAAAAAGGCAAAGAAAATTAATTAAAGTGAGTGGACAGGTTCAGATCGTATAGTCTGAAGGTTTTACATTCAATTTATACTACTACAGTCTTTAGGCGCAAACATTGCTGAAAGGTGACAGACTGGTGCACACGACAGTTCTCTCTAGTACCCGCTGGTCACCTACAGGATGTTAGTTCGTGGATAAGTTTCACACGATCACGATCAACACATTTGAAGTATGTACATGTAGGATAAGACTAATAAAACCAAGTTATACTGTTCATGCGTTTACTTCTCGTGTACTTAGGTATCACAATAACACACATTGGGTTTATTAGGGCTGATATTATAATGTCAACTTGTAGTAAAGGTTGCTTGAGATTGGTCCGTGTTTAGTTTTACCAATACAATAGTAAGCGATCGTTGAAGTTGAAAGAATGATATCAAGTCACAAGAAAATCATTGATACAAGCACACAGACAAACACATACACATACATACACACGCAAAAATACCGGCACACATTCTGTCGGCTACTTCAAAGACAAAGCAAATACCAAAGTGAAAAGTGCACACTGTCGAAAAGATGATAAATTATCCACCGGTTGAACAAATTAAAATTAAAAGAAACAAATTAGAACCAAAATGAAATTAAGATACGCCACTAAAAAATACATCAGCTGACTAAAAGATATTCATAGTGTCAAAATAGTAGAGTCTATAAAGCAGGTACTTTATTCAAACCTTTGAGTTCCAAGCGGTACACAAAGAACTCCAAGTTTTGAAGTCTCAATAGCGTTAGCAATGCCTTTCAGGAGCAGGACTGCTAGTCTTACGTCTAACCATCGCTCTTTCCCACGTATTCTATAGGCTAGCAAACTAAGGGACGTTTACGAGTGCGTCGGCTGGGAGTCGAATCACATAACTACGTGCATGCATTCTTGTGACACACAATAAGTAAGAAGACAACACATTTATGACACCATTTCAATTTCACAGCTTCAAGTAGCATAATCTTAGATGTTACTTGGAAGACGATAGGCATAGAAGTAGAATCTAGGACTCACGCGTCTACCATTTCGAATCTCCACGATAGCACCATCAATGTCTGTCTGTGTGTTTTCGACATAGAACTTTGCACAAATGTGCAGCCGTTCAAGTCGCCATACTCCCTTCATGTAGCATACGAAGCAAGAGAAGAAAGTACAAGAAAAGCATAATAGAGACAGTAAGCAGAGGTGTGAGACAAAGGAGGAGTAATAACGAAGAACAAAAGTGTTTCATTGGAGATCATAAATGACAAGGAGCGGATGCATCTGCGCCATTGAGAACGATTTTGAGACATGTCACCAATTGTTTCCAACCATCGATTTTTACCGTCCCGAGGACCCCAGCCTGGAAGTCTATACCTTCCTACGTGGCTTAGACTAATTGTTGTAGACTTCATTGACTGGTGCCAAGTTTTTGTTTGACCGCCGTGAGCTTTTTTCCAACCTGACCCTATAACCGCTAACATTGCTCGTCGAGGAGGGCGGTGACTTGGCATATGTAACACATGTCTTAACCATCTCAGTCGATGTAACTTCACAACTTCGTCGATTGATTTTCCCTGTTTACCTAGAACTCGACGCCTAACCTCAATGTTGATCACCTTATTATGCCACTTTACACGGGAAATAGAGCGCAGGCACCTATGATCAAAGACAGCTAATCTTTTCATGTCTTCCACTCTCAATGGCCAGGTCTCGCTCGCAGCCACAGAGGAGGACGGAGCGGACTGATGAGCAGTACATCCGCCCTTTGGTCTATGACCAGCCGGATATCACGTCTACAGGGCCAGAGACGGCGTAAACTGGCAAATGCGGAACGAGCCCTCTGTATTCGTGCTGAGATTTCGTCAGAGATCAACCCGTTGGGGCTGATGGTACTTCCCAAATAAGTGAAGCGGTCAACGTGCTCTACCACTTCACTTCCTATTTTTAAACTAGGATTCAGCGTAGTCCAGTCCTGTAACATCATCTTACATTTGGCGGGAGTGAATCGCATGCCAAACATCCGTAGATTGCGGTTCAAGGTGTTTAGAAGACTCTGCATTTCGTCAGCGTCTTCGCCTAGAAGGACTATATCGTCTGCATATTCCAAGTCAACGAGATTATTCCCCGGTAGCAAGTCAATCCCTGAGTCGCTGAAGTCACCTAGGGTTAAGTCCATTAACACATCTATGATGAAGTTGAATAGAAAAGGGGATAATGGGCATCCTTGACGGACACCACTAGTCGTCACCAGTTTAGATGACAGCTCGCCGTAAGCCCTCACCTGGCTGTATGAGTACGAGTAGAGTGCCTTAATCAGTGCAATTTATTTTCTCGGAATTCCCTTTACAGCCAAGCATCTCCAGAGAACTTCTCGATCGACAGAATCGAATTCCGCCTTTAGGTCAAGAAATATAATGACTGTTGGACGCCGGTAGGAATCCCTATGTTCTAGAATCTGTCGGAAGGTGAAGATATGATCAATACACCCTCTTCCTGGTCTAAAGCCTGCCTGGCTCTCTCGTGTTTGTGCCTCCCGAGCACCACTCAGTCTACGCATGATTATTGAGCCTAAGACTTTAGATACCATATTAGTCAAGCTAATCCCTCTGTGATTATCACAGGAAGACTTGTCTCCATTCTTGTATATGGGGATAATCAGTGACTTACACCAACCCGATGGGACTTCTTCTGATTCCCAGACGCTGCCATCAATAACTCGAGATGCACTGGAATCCAGTGTGAATTATCCCAAATATGGGATGAAACGTGTGTCTTGAATTCCATTACTAGTCTCTATCAACCAAGTAACATCATATTCATCTCAAGGCGTTCACACTAGGAGCCAGTCGACATATCAACAGGGACCGAGCGTTCAAAGAAATCAATAAACAGGGAGTTCAAACAATATCTTCAAAAAATAATAATCTACATGGCTTAACAAAAGGACGGTTCATAGTCGACTGGGCGAAAACAGCAATCTTCGAAATAGGATTGAAGCAACAATCAGAAAGTAACAATTCAGGTGGTTGAAGAATGGGCTAAAAATTAATATCATACACAGTGAATGGTTAATAACACGTGACCCGAAACCACAGACATAAATCAGATATCGACAGAAATTCCCAACCAAAAAGAAATACAACACAAGTAATGAGTTGATATCCTTACAAAATAGCAATAAAGACAATGATAGTTAAAATGACGCCGGGTAGTTCAAAAAGATAAATCCAAAGGCTGGATAAAAATATTTTGAGAAGAGCAGGATTTTCTCACAATTGTTCTCATCATCAATCCACGTACCATTTTCGATGCCACACCGAACAGACATGAAAAGCCCAACACAGTAAAAGCCACGCATATATAGACTGATAAAATTATCATAGAATTCACAGCTGACTCAAGTAGGCAGTCAGCCAATAAACAAATGATAAAAGGATTGCCGGGGGGTTAAGATGACTACTGATAAGGTTTCATTGCCATTGGATCGTATCAACGATCATGGGAAAACAGCCGAAAAATTTGACATGCATTCGTTTGCTTCTATTCATTTGGATAACTACGGACATACTAATTCAATTGTGACTATATAAAAGTCTTTGACATAGTACAAGCAGAAAGAATACCAGAGAGAACTATACATGTATAGCACTGAAATCAACTCGAATATATGACTAAAAATGTCAAGTATCACGTCAAAGTGAGGATCAACATCAATACAAGTAAATACGATCTCATAAAGAACCCCAAGAGAACAACCAGTGACAGGGAAGAGAAATACTTGATCTGTTGGTTTGCCTGGGTTAGATAGACACGAAGTGTCCTGGATAGCTGTTTCGTTCTAATTTGGGAGTCTTCAAAAGTTAACACCTATTACCCCACGGAGGACTGAACTTTGAGTCTCAGGGTTACAAGCCGAACTCATTTACCATTTACCTACTGGAGAGTAAAGCAATGGCCTTTCCGTAAAATGTCATTGGCGGACATCTGTTCACATATCCGACTTGATAAATCCCGCTGGTCACGAATTCCCAATAGAACCTCAGGCGAATTCATCCTGGATTCCATTCCAGTGGTTCAATCGTATATGAGTTCGCTTTGTAAACTAAAGGTCTCGAGGTGGCGTTTTGAGTGTGTACTGCTGAAGAGTCTCAAACTAGAAGAAAAACTGTCTATTTAGTACTCCCTGGTTCTCAAACTGTAGTCCGTTCGAGATTGACCTTGAAGTACATTATCTATGGAGAATTCCTGGAGATTCAGTTCACACTGAAGCCAGAGGTGAAGATGTTATCCACCACAAGGACGACGAAACCTTTGCAATTATAAGCTAACCAGAAGAGGGTATACAAAGGAAACATCAAAAGCTAATGGTATATTAGAAAAATCCTATTATATATTCACCAAATATTTCCTTCACATGTGACTGTGTATAAATTGTAGTTGGAAAAAGCATTATTTCATATGAGAATATGTTTTCATAAATATTTCTGTTTACATTTCAATGCAATCACATTTTGATTTGGAAAAAAAAACGAAACAACTTCTCAATGACAGTAATTTCTAATAAATATACTCATTTTAAGATATTTTTAATCGCATACTAAGAAAAATTCATTTGAGATATGATTTTCTGATTTCAATTTTTAAGCCCATATTTGTTTGTCAATGTAAGTGGGTTACAAAATATTTTGTAGTCCATTAAGCACTGGGATTTAAACACGTACGTATTGATCTACGTTTTTTTTACGAAAAATTACGTTAGATCGATTGAACTACACTTATTTAATGGTGTACGACTTTTACTGTCTGTCTGATTGCTGATTTGTGGCCACTGAGGGTTGGTCAGCTGCACTTTTATGTAAAGTCCTATGTTAAAAATTGAGTTCATTTCACTGCGCTTTATACATCACTTAACGATAATCGCCACTGACGAGATTCAGTCTGTACGAAACAAACTGCTAGACGCCTAACCCTAGCTTATACATAGTGTCCAATCAAAAGTACCCACTACAGTCCTTGAAGAGAGCATATACACCTTGCTGAATGACTGGTGAGTGCCACCATGTACGCGAAATCTAGGTTAAAGGCTTCTTTTCGATTACCTCTAACCATCTGTTATCATTTAATTCAATTTGGATTTTACCGTCGATTGACTGAACCAAACTACTCGGTGTCAGGGTGACATGTCGGCTCCTTTTGCAGATGCTTCGATGATATCTGATCATCTAACTTGAAGTCAATAGGTTGATGATTAGACTAAGCACTTCGATCCAATCAATCGAAGAGAAAATCTGAATTGAATTAAATAATTAATATGACTCGTTGCACACAAGGTGGCTCTCGTGGTTCAAGCGGTCTAGTGTATAAAGCTTTGGCATTTGAAGCTATGAGCACTGGGTTCGAGTCTCAGTGGGAACACCATCACTTCTCACTAGGAAATATGGGTATGTACATCCAGATGACGAGACCCAAGTGGGACGAATTGCGTATCCTGGATTCCACTGCTAGTTATCATCAACCAACTTATGTATATTATCATATTTCGTTTAAATCCTCCCTATCGTCCTGACTAATCAATGAGGGTTAAATGGATTTATTGGCTGAATGTCAGCAGTAAAAAGGTAAATTCTGAACATAATCCTATATGAAGTAGTTGGTGATGATTAAGTTGTCTAGAAAAACACAAGAATCAAAATCTTCACAACTCACAAACATCAGAAGAGGAGAAAAAGAGAACAACGAGCGATAAATGACAAAAATATGTCATTTTTCTCAAGTATATATGATGATGATGATGATGACGACGACGAAAGAAGAAATGAATTGTCACTTACCACTTCTAAAGACTGTGATAATAATTGAGCAACATCCAACATTGTGAATAATACACGTCCACTCCACATAACATGAGGGAAACTATGAAAGGGAAAAGAAAGATATGAAAAAGGGAAGCTGTATAAGGACATAGTATTCATAGTCATTATTCAAAGGTGTTCGGGAGAAAAAGACAGGTGTATTATGTCACCTGGTTAATAAATCTTAGAATGCTAAAAGAAACCAAGTAATTGGCTATCTAGTGGGTGCATATACTGCTGATGATGAGCCCCAAACTAAGACGAAACAGCTTTTCAGTACACTTAGGTTTAAAATGGCACCTTTACTGAAATCAATCCATGATCAACCTTGAATATATTAGTGAAATAACTGAAAACTGCTTACAGTGCCAAAAATATACTCATACTTCTTATTATATCTTCACTATATGACAGTAAAATATTCTATTTCTCATGCATATCCTTTATTATTGTGGGGTAACGCTTTAAGTCATCTTAATCAGCCTGAATTAGAACCACATGACTACAGGTTGTTAATGAAAAATGGTGTGGTGTTTGCAACTGACACAAGCATTTATAAATAATTAGGTATTGGCTGGCAGAAATTTGATTGGTTACAACTTTGATAAAAATTTGAAATCAGTTAGAGAACCATTGGAAAACCAGCACGGAGTACTGGAGAGTTATTTCGTTCCAGTTTGGGACGTTTCATGAGTACGCACTCACTAGGGTTCGAATTTAGAACCTTCCAGTTACAAGACGAGCTCATAGACCATGCAGCAACTGGGACATGATCCAGTGGTCAGTCCGTAAATTCCAACTTCTGCCAATTTGCGATGCATAGCACAACCATCACTCAGTGTCCTAAGCTAGAAACTGAACCGCTTACCTGACTTCGTGTACCCAGCTGCTTACGACTTCCCATGAGAGTCTTAGGCAACCTTCTAAACAAAGCCAGCCGCCAATGAGCATCAGATTAATTATCTGTTATTGGTTTGCAGGGATTTAATTACAGAATACTATGCTGTGTGTGTGTGTGACGAATTCCACATGAGTCATGAAAGAAAGAGTGACGGATCAAGTTGAGAAGACTAGTAATGAAGATTATTGTAAACCAATATAGAAAGGAAGATTAAAGAAGCGGAATAAGAAGAACTTGTGAGCACGGAAATTTAGACGTAACTTTTGTGAGTTTTGTCATCAGTGTATATCATGCGCCGAATAAGCAATAGCGCTACCAAATATCTCTATGTTCTGTCGATACATTTAGTGTTGTTGCCTTCGATCAAAATGAAGATCTTATGGCCCCTGATGGGTGAGTAGGGGAAGCTGGTGGTGGCACAAGGGACACTGCCAACGTCGTGCAAAAGCTGTCTACGACAGTTTGCGTCGAGCTGCCATAAAGACGTAGTGGGAGAAGACCACCTACCGGCTGAATTCAGAGTTTAACAGGCCATCAGAAATTCAGTAGGCGGATCGACTGGTTTCGGCGAAGAAACACTGACAAATCTTCTTCAATGTGTGTCACCTGCCTAAGACGAAGATTCACAGAAGTAGCTGCTAGTTTCTTAGTTTATGGAATATGTCCTTACTGCATTTCCCACCACCTCAAGTGTAGTTAATGAATGCAGCCCCGTGGACATGAAACACTGAAAACAATATACTACTTAAAAATTCTTGTTATAGTGTAACAACAGAAGACAAGGGCCAGGCAACAGATCGTTTTATTATGAAAATCAACACGTATTTATACATCTTTCAACTACATTATTATAGACAAGCGCAGTCATCTGATTGGTTGTTTAGGTAGACAAACGCAGGCTTTTGATTGGCTGTTTCGGGATTCCTTGACAAATAGAGTTCTCTCTGCGAATCATATTCTGCCACGTTAACTTTGCTGTGATTGGTTGTTGACTCAGGCTTGTTCATATTTTCTCACGGCCCATATTAGTGACCTAGACCTTAACGTAGATTAGTGCCAACCAATCGGCTAGCAGCCTGCTCTCACCACAATAGTAGCACACCACAGCACAGTAGAACTCTATATGAGAAAGTCTTAGTTCAGAAGACTTTTATTATTGTGAAATACTCGGTGATGCTGATGATTACAAAGGAATAAGTAATAAACCAAATAGAAAAGAGTATACTTACTCTTTGGCCAGCATACTAAGAAATTCATCAGCTACAATACGTAGACTTTTATGTATACGCGTGAATGTGACCAGAAGAAATTGAGCGTGCATATCCATGATTGATTCACGTTCAGTATCTAGTGGCTAATAATAGTAAGAAAAAGAAAGTGAAAGAAGGCGGAGAGATACATTAATTAAATGCAATAAACATACTATTCAGAACAAAAAACAACCTTAAGGATAGAAAGAACAACACACACACACACACACTAGTAAATAGGTCCTAGAGAATATAGTTCATACATTAGAAGTTCAAAATGCAACCCCCAATTAACAGAGACACAGAAACTTTTCATCAGGTGCTTCATTCTGGAATAACACTTTAGATTTTCTTTCTTCGCCCGATCGATTTCCTTTCTCTTTCTTTGAATAGTGTTCACTTCAGTTTATGGATGATCCATGCTTCTCTTATACCTAGATGTCTCAATATTACTCACTTTGAAGGATCTCATCAGACTTTGACTAGAATTTCGAAAGAACATCTATCTGACGCTGATTCAGCCACATCAACAAGCATATATCAGTCAATTTGATGACCCACTAGAGCAAAGTACATTGGCTATACCATTCGTTGGCCTGTTAAAAGTGGTCGTGAACGCTAGCTAGTCTGGGGAGGACGGAGGTGTCTTTAGTTCGGTAGAAGAACATCTTGTGAATATAGGGCACTCAGCATCATTCCAGAAATCTCTCGAGATACTATACCAGCTCCGATCAAACATCTCCAAGGAATCAATGAGATTAATACGACGCGACGCAAAAGATCTCGTTCTAATGCTATTCTCAAAGTACTGTTACGAGATTAGCAGGAGACTATACCTGCACTCACTCTTGCGGGTGAACCGCTTGAAGTTGTTGATAAGTTCGTGTACCTGGGTAGTTGTGTGAGTGCTGGTGGAGGAGTGATGGATGACATTTTCAACCGTATAATGAAGACTAGGGTGGCATACATCAACTTCAGCCACCTCTGGCACTGTCGCGACGTTAGTCTGGCTGTCAAAGGTCGGGTATACAATGCTTCGGTGTGGGCTGCCTTGCTCTACGCCTGTGAAATCTGACCTCTCAGAATTGAGGATGTGCAGCGACTCTGCATGTTCGATCATTGCTGTCTCCGCAGGATTGCTTGCGTTCGACGGCATCACCGCGTGAGTAATTCTGAGGTTCGGCGGCGTGTGTTTGAACACAGTGGAGATCACCATTCATTGAGTGTCGTCATCTGGAAACACCGGCTCCGGTGGCTTGAACGTGTGCTGCGAATGTCATCCCAGAGGCTTCCCTACAGGTCTCTGTTCGCTAGCCAGCCTTGGAATGGGATGGAAAAGGCGGAGAGGTGATCAGTTCATGACGCAGCGTCGTCGGATGAAAGATGTTTGTGCTAGATTAGCAACGATTGGTGCGTCACGACTCCCTGATTGGGATCCCTGAGATAGCTCGAAACCTTATCGGATATGGCCAAGAATCATAATCAATGGTGAACGCGTTGCAATTTCCTTCTTTCTTCCCTTCCCGATGATAGTTAACGAATACTGTCTGAACTTGTTAAGTATGACTGTTTTCCTTCCAGATAAAGTTCTTTATCCGTTTTCTACTTAGATTTTTACTTTTAATCTATGTTGTTTTATTATTATTATTATTGTGTGGCGCATCCTTCTTGGTGCCATATTGTACCAAATTTTTTTCTGCGTTTAAATAAATAACTAATTCTCAGAAGATTCATGAAAAGGCTTTTCACCAGTTTACCGAAATATAACATTTAAAAAATAATAGATTTGATTTAGAGAGACAGAAGTGTGATCACAGTTTGGTTAGAAGCCACATGATTGAAACTCCAGTCCAGATCTGTTTTATTCAGTCTCGTACTACTTACCATCTAATTGCGTGATTCGTCAAATCTTAAACATGAACTTTTATATTTTAACTATATGTCTCCCACTTCGTTCAAGTCAACTTCTAGAATAATACTGACTTCGGGTAGTACCACATAAAATTCATGTAGTGAATATAGTTGAGATAAGTCTGAGATTTGTAATAACAACAATAATTATTGACACCATGCAGGACACAAATGTTTCCGACGAGTATTATTTAAAAACTCTCTCTCACACACACAATTTTCGAGTTTGAACTAAATGTCTCCAAATCATATCAAAATATTAACGAAAACAAAAACAACCAAATCGGGTAAACACCAAGTAACCAACCTTACCTTAGCTTTCATTTGAGCAAGATAACGTGTAAATATACGAACAGCTACTTGCGAAATACACGTCCACATACCTAATAGCATGAAATATTTAAAAAAAAACAGTGGAAGAATCATGAGTAAAAACACTCAAAACAGATGTGGGAGAAATGATTACATACCAGCATTCATGACACAGAAATAACTTAGATCTTTGAAAAACTATTGATTAAGCTAACAGGCAAAGTTAAACTTTAGACACCACTAACAACCAATCAGCAAACGACCTTAAACGGACCAATCACATTAAAGAGGCATATATGATGAATGGAAATGTATATTTGTAGAAAAAAGCATAAAATAGAGAATAAAAAAGTTACATGGGATATCTTTCTCGAACATGTGAGAGAAACATCTCCCAGTTTAGCATGGGACTGTCAATGGAGAAGTTACACCATATCCTGTACATATATTCATCCAAATGACCATAAATGAGATCCTTTTGAGATCCGTTTATCGCCCTTATCCTATTTTTCAACCTGCCCCAAAATCCTTCAATAGAATTTGTATGTGTCCTCGTAACGGGATCCACAAAATCACTTGAATGGTTGACTCTATGATGAATATATCCCAGAGATGACAGCGAATTGTAGCCTTTCCACTCGTCGGTGTGTATAATTGACCCCCACTTAACAAGTCTGGTAATAATAGGTATAAGAGTAGTTGCTTTTCTATCTGCTATCCTTAGGGAGAGAAGCGACCTAGCAAAAAAGTTCCTACGAAATATTAAAATTATCAGCTTACCCTCTCTAGCGTTAGTAGGCTTCAAACATATAGCACAACGATGAACAAACCCATCAGTTGATTTGGTATAGCTTTTTAAAGTCGTGATACCACCACACAAACGAATTCGCTCTTTCCCGAGCAACTCAAATCCAGGAAATACTAGAAAACGCTAACCTCCTCGAATTGCAACAATAGCCTTGTAAGGTCACGCATTAGAAATGAATCAAGCGCTATACAACATTGAACTGCGTTCGTGAACCTCATTGGATAATTCGACATCGTTCGTGAATCTCATTGGACAGTTCACTGATTGGTAGTTAGTGGTGTCGAAAGTTTAACTTCGCCAGCTAACAAGTCAATCCAAACGTGGTTGCTTTACTCACGGTGCTAATGACCAACAGTTAAAAAAACTCTAGTATAGTTCACAGTGGTTCGCATCTAATGACTTAGACATATTTCTCTCCTTGTCATTTTTCAGGTTGACCACACTTCACTTACTTGAGAAGTTGCATCAGCACCAACAGGCCGATCACTGACGAAATCTTAAAACGAATACGAAAGGTTCGTGTGGTAATTGCAAACCTGCATTTTCTCTGGCGTAGACACGACATCCGATAGGGTATCGATCAGAGGAAATGTGTACTGCTAAGTAGTTCGCTCCGTCCTTTATGGCCAGCTGTGAAACATAACCAGTGAAAGTGGACGACATGAGCATAGGTGTCTACACGTTCTACCTGCTGTGTTAGTTGGAGGTATAATAATAGGGTGAGTAATATTGAAGTTAGACTTCGGTCGAGTGCCAGGTAAGTGGGAGGGGGGGGAGAAATTAATCGATAAGGCTGTTAAGCACCTGCATTGATTGAGATGGTTAGGACACAAGTTACGCATACATCCACACCTAGGGTGGGTAGACTTCGGTCTTCCACTGAAAACGCTCTACACGATAGCCACGCACTCATATCCTCTGCTAGGTAAGTCCCCTTTACCTACTGCCTTCACGAGGCGGAGATTTCCCCAACAAAAGTGAAACGGCCAGTGCGAACATCTAAAAATTACAACCAGACTGGTGAATATGTAGGTCTACACACCTAGGGAAGTTACAAAACCCTGATTCTAAACCTATGATATACATCAGCTGCAGAATCCGAAAGCATCGAATGGCGTATCAGCCAGTTTCGATCATTGTCAATCATAAGTACATAGCCCCAGTGGCTTACAGATCATACTTCATCTCAAAGGCTCCACGAGTAGCCGCTTAAAACAATCACTTGCTTCAATCTGGCCGCCCGGGTAGTATCCCAGCCCTCTCACAAATTGCGAAATTTTGTGTGACGCATCTTTTTCTGTCTATATAATACCAATTCGTTGCATTTCATGCAATTAGCCATCAATAATCTAAAACGGGATGAAACAGTTGAACAGAGACACCAAAACAGTGGTGGCAATTGTCTGTTAACGTTTCAACCATAGGTTATTGAGGCAATTTTATCACAAATAAACAAAACTTAAAGAGACTCGAACCTAAAACCGATCGATTTAGTGTAATGCAATCAATCAATCAATCAAAGGGAAATATAAAACTAAATTAAACAAATAATAACTGAACCAATAACATAAGAGGTGGCTCCAGTGACCCAAGTGGTTTAGTGGATAACTCTTTGAAGTTTGAAACAATGAGTAGAGGCTTCCACCAGTCTTAATGGGAAAACCGACATACACTGCATGCTGTAGGTGCCTAATAGATCTCCCAAGTATTCCAATGGTTCCCTAACCGATATCCACTCATGATGAAGTCCTGTAGCAAATCAAATTCCTACAAAACAACATCCTGTATTCCGCTGTTAGTTACCTACCACCAAAAATAACACACAAGTTAAACCTTAAATTGAAAAAAGGCTCCTAATGGGAGATGATAATGATAGAAAGTTGAAACTAAAACCTAAATTAAATTAGAATTTTGTCAACCGGAATAAATTTATCATGTTCCTTTATGACTTAGTTCCTTAAATACCAAACTACGTTATTACTGATAGATATCATCAAAAAGAATAAACTACTTCCTCAGTGAAACTTTCGACAATCAGTTTCGAAATAATTTAAACGATTTGTAATCCAGTGGATGACAAACACGCTAGTGTTTGAAAGAAAAAAACCTACTAGCCTCGGAACTTCCCTGGAGACACCATCATTCACACTAGGGTATGAAGGTATATGCAGATGAAGAATCCCAAGAAAAGGAAGAAATGCGTCCACTGGAGTTCACTTCCAGACAGACGCCTTCAGTCAAGTCACACTAGCCATAAGTTGAAAATGAATTCAACGCTTTATGAGCAAGTAATTATTTTTAATTTCAAAATCAAACTGCAGTTACAAATCATAAGTTAATGGAATTTATTCTGCACTGGGGTTTTCAATATGAACACGAAGAAGGTAGAGTGCTAAGATATCAGTGTTCACATATTGGTAAGTAATCAAGGCTAAGAGTATACGGGTATTTTGAAAGGACACACCTACATATATAATAGTTTAAAAAACAGTATAGCAAAAACCGAAACCATCAAAGTCATTCCCACAACTAAAGCAAAACAAAGTGATTGGAAAACTGTATTAAGTTTGATGATAAATTGATCATTCTTACAAAGCTTAGCACTGTTTATAAAAGCTTTTGTAAGAGCATATTTAAAAGTATTACTAACAGTGATCTAGGCATGCAATATATATATATATAGGTAGTTAGACAGGAGAGATTTTTTCACTAGCTTCTAAATTAAACCACGCAAGAATTCAATCAATTCAAACACAAATAACATGTGATTATTTGTTGTGATAAGAGGAATTTCAGAGAGTAAGAAGACACCACAAAAAAATCACAACCTATTTTCTATCATATAGTCAGGCACACTCTATATATAAGGGTTATTATTATCAGGTTGTAGAACAGAGTTGTTAGATGTATTATTATTGTCCCCTTGGGTTGTGAGTGGAAAATAGACCTTCAACTGCACGTCTCTAAATTGTCCTCTTCATATGGCTCCACCATTACAACCCATAAGCTATCACCTCCTCCATATGACACTCGGACTCGCACCCACCTCTTCTTGTCTCACCCAATGGCCTGGCATGTAATGTCACCTAAAGGTCTCCACAATGTGTCCGATCCAACTCCATTTACTTCGACATACTTGTTGACCAATAGGTTCTTGACTGGTTCTTTCAAGGAGTTCCCTAATACTTATCCTTTCTGCCAGCCATCTGATTTTCAATGTAAAGCCGAATTTTGGTTCTCTCTATGCTGAGTGCGGCAGAATTTCAAACCGATTTCAAAGTGATGGAGGTCTATCTTGTCTTTCCAATATCTTGGTCAGCTTCGATATCCTCATTCATATTGTTGTTTGTAGCTGAAACGATGCTTTCAAGAACAGTGAAGGAAGTAACTTCTTTCAAACTTCTCCCGTTGGCAGTGATTAGTGCTGGTTGTGTAGTTGTGGTTGGTTTGTTGGTTATTCTTCTCATCACTTCCATCTTCTTTATACTCCCCTGAAGTGTTCTGTCTTTGATGCCAACCTCTTCTGTCAGTTTGTTGGTTTTCACCTGCAAGTTTTCAAGTTTGTGTGACATTACACATAAACACAACCCACAAAATCCAAATCTCCTAGGGTCTTCTTATCAGTCTGACGTATTCCTGTCTTCCGTAAAATCCAGTCCACCACAATAAGGAATATCATTTCTAATAGTAGGTGGCCTTGTCTCAGTCGTGTCTTCACTTCAACAACTTCGCTGAGTTTTCCGTTGTGGATCAACTGACATGTGGCATTGTCATATAATCAGGCGTATCCGCAACACTGAAGAAAAGATGGTGTTTCATTAGAGACTTAAGCTAGCGTCATCCAGTTCTGCCGTTATAGACGCTACCACTGAGCTACACATAGTAGAACCGTCAAGGACACACTAATTGGTCAGTGAACAATAATAATCAATATCATTGGTCTAGTCCTTGGTGTTAAAGTGGACTGAGATCTGTCAGTGAAGGCTACAGTGTCAACTTGCACGGAACCTGACAGTATTTTTCTCTATCAACTGCCCCAACCATCTAACATCAGTACAGAGTGCACGGTGGTGCGGACTCACCTCGCTTGACGACTATGAGTGTTGCACACCTGACAGATACAATTCACTATCAAGTGCTGGTTTGCAGGGATTTGATTGGTTACAGGATTGATTACGAGCTAACATCAGTTAGAAAACCACTGGAAAACCAACAGGGAGTACTGTAATCTCTTTCGTCCTAGCTTGGGACTCTTCAAGAGCACGACACACCGGGACAAATTCGTTGACCACTCAGCCACTTGAGTCGGTGGAATTCAATGACCCCTAAATTCCGACTTTGTCAACTTGTGAAATAGCACTACCTACATCAGTGCCTCCAATGAGCATCCTTGACACGACTTCCAGTCAAGTACTCTGTGGTTTTCATTGATGCCTCTAATTGATCTTCATTCAATACGAGATCTAGCAACTGAAATAAGTGAACTGGCTGAAGACCATTCCCACTGAAATAGCTTAGATTTTTTTGCCACAACGAAGAAGCTTAAAAATCTATGTGTAACCACCAGTGAACTATATTGTATAATCGTTATTGACACCTAAATAAAAGGTTCCGTCGTCCGTTTTTGTTTTTTGGAACACTTTTAGCCAGTTAGAACACACACAGCTTTTACTACATTCAACCTATATCTAATTATGTTAAATGCCTAGTTATGTAACTATTTCATAGTACGAATAAATTTTGCCTTCGAAGCCAGTCCTTCTTGTGATCACAACAATATGAAAAAGTACCGAGTAATTAGTCCACAACCACTTGTTAGTTAGAAGAAATTCCGAAATGAATACCATTGTCTGGTTTCTTCCCAGTCACTACTCATTCTTATCGTTGATTGGAGTAGTGACTAGCAGTGGAATCAAGGACACGCATTTAGTCCTATATGAAACTCATGAAGTGAATGTACGTCCTAACCCAATGAGTCGTGAAATTTCTACTCAACCATGAATCCAATACCTATCGTTTTAAAGGCTAAATCATCATCCGCTAGGACGCTGAGTCACGGCAGCCACATCTTTTGCTTTGTGTTGAGTTCTAGTTCGACACTAACTGTCCAATGGTAAATAATTAGCAGATTTTTCCTGGTGCATAGCAGCTAGCAATAGAATCCAGTATTCGCATTTCATCCAGCTTGGGACTCGTCAACCCTATGTATCTGCATAATCACCAGTGATTGATGGTGTTCCCAATAAGACTCGAACCCAGCAGACCTCGTTTCAAATGCGAAAGCGTTAGCTTCTAAACCAATTAGGCAAGAGAGCCGAACATTTCGCTGCATACAATCAATGCGAGAAACAAAATTACGTTTATACCATTCCATCAAGATCAGAAGGATAGACGACCTATAACCAAAGTCGGCTATTTTATGCGTGAAGGGAACTCAATCAGCTTGAATGAAGCACCAATACATCATCGAATGTTTACAATAAACTGTCAAGCAGATGGTACTTGACTTTAATACTCACAGAATACTAGTCTACCTAATCCTGGCATCAACATCCACTAGTTCAGGAAGGTGTACGAAGAATCAGCTGCCTACAAATATTCCGTCTAAATTGTACGTATATGTATAATGAAGAATAACAATGCATACAAATATCTTTACAGAAAACTCACCGAACTTATCCTTTATGATAATATTGTCCTCTAAATACATAAATAATCGATGTAGTGCTTCAGGATCAGTGGAATGTGCAATACTATATGAGAGTAAAAGAAAAAAATTGAAAACTCAAGTGTAAAAATAAAGTATAACAGCAAGCAAAGAGAACACCATCACATCCCGTTAACATATTCGTTGTTGAGGGTTGTTCAATGGTAGATTAATCGCCAGTAATCTAAGAGGTGAGGGGTTTGATTTTCAGTCGACGCCAAGTTTACTAGCCCAGACCAGGAGAGGATGTATGAAGCTACCAACAATCCAACCCCACCCCCACCCCCCGGTAGGAAAACAACACCGCTCTCACCGAAACTTTAGAAACTTGGAGCACTAAGTTCCAATCAGAACTCAATAGAATGATAAAAAAAAACCCTATCAGTATGACAGCAACAATAAGCATAGCCTTCATAGTTATACAGTCATGTAGAATTAGATTAGGTGTATTAGGATGCGGTGGATTCAGAACTCCACCACGCGCCGGAACAAGCTGCATTCAGGAAAGGCGAATCATGTACTTATCAAATTGCATTCTCATCACAGAATAAAGCATAGAATGGCAGTCAAACCTCCACCTCAATTTCATCGACTTTGAAAAGACCTCCCACAGGTAGTGTTGACCATAAAGTAATTTGGAGACTAATTCATCACTGTGGCGTGAACCAAATCGTTATCAAACTCATTCAACAGCTATGCGACAATGCCACGTGTCAAATGATTCACAAAGAAAATCTCCAAGAAGACGTTGAAGTGGATACAGAAGTAAGAAAGGGTTGTCTATCTGTTATCACCGAAGATATTTGTAATTGTGGTGAACTGGACTATTCAAAATGTAACAACAGAAGGCAATAGCCAGGGAGCAGATCGTTTATTAAGGAAATCAACACATATTTATAGATTTTCATGTACATTATTATAGATTACTGTTAGCAGAAAAATACAGTCTTCTTATTGGCAGTTTCCCGCTGAACGTTAATCTTTCATCTCTTTGTGGCTGTTTTTTGAATGTCAGATCATCCATATGCTAACTGTATCCACCTAAGCAAAGTCTGCTGTGGTCAGTTGTTGAATCAGTCTTTGTTCTTGTTTTCACATGACTAGTATTTTGGACATAAACATTGACGTAAATTACTGTCTAACAATTAGGCTAGCAGCCAGCTCTCGCCACAAAGAGACTTTGTGTGCGGAGCGAGACGATAGGGGTATGTTGAAGCGATAAGAAGACTCTAGAAGATGTGGACTATGTGAATGATTTATGTCTCATGACACACAAACTCGAAGACTTACACCAACACAATTGGAGAAAGAATCAGGCAGCAGCGACAGGACTTTAAGTGAACATAGAGAAGTTGGCGCTAAAGCGAATAACCAAACTACGAACAACGAGCACCAATCTCTGTCAACTGGAGAAATTTGAATGAGGTCATTTCCTAAGTAGGGGTGGTTGTGAATCCGACGGTGACTGCGGTTAGATCGTGCGCAGAGGAGATAAAGGACTGTGGGAAATTGTAGAAGCTGTAGAGAAATTGTGTAAGTGTTACCTTACACTCATGTTTCACTTGCAGTTGAGTGTGTGTGTGTGTGTGGCGATAATTCAGTACCGTAAAGCTCTGTACTAATAATGTCTGTCACAGCAAACATATCTTTAAAGCACCATACTTAACATTCTACATACCTTCATATAAGGTTGTAATTGATAAGAAGAGTGAAGACAGAAATGACTGTTATGATGATGTCATTGTAAAAAGAACCACACTTAGCATGTAAGGGGTTGATGATACTACTAACTAGCAGCCCAGGCTTAAATGAGTGAAGCAGGACTCGAACCCATAATCCGTTGGCTAAATAAATAATGCTTAATCCGAACAGCTGACGATAATGCATGTCTATAGTAAGTTGACCAAGATGAAGTGACTTCAACAGAGTTCAATATCTGCCCCTGCCCCCCCCCCTTCTGGTCGAAAGACAACGAACCACGAAATTAGTAAACACGCATACCATATTACTTATTGATCAGATTGATCCGGATTATGAAATCAAACAAAAAAATACAACTAGCAGAGTTTGAAATGAATGAATTGGTAGTTATAGGCATAGTGCTTTGATCAATTTTAAAAAAGAATTGATACCCTTTTATGGCTTGGCACACACACACACAAGATAAAAAGAAAAATCAAACGTAGATATTTTGCTGGTCGATTAGTTATCTCAAGCAAAACGTACAAATCAACTGTAAGCTCTGCTCATCACGTAAGAGTTTAACACATGTTACTTAAATGTTTAAAATTTCACAGAAACCAGAAACCACTACAGATCATGCCTAAGAGAAGAAAACCAGTTGTGAAAGCGAGTGAGTCATTCGTGCAATAGTGGAGTGTTCGTCAACCAACCAACCACCCACATGGTCAGGGATTCTACTCCCAAGCGTCATACTTCTAAAAACCCCTCGCCCAATTTACTACCAGGGGATAGTACGAGTAATGTAAGCGTAGAACTTGTGCACACTATAGTAGAATGTAATTCCGGTATACCGGAGATATAAGAAAGTGGCAACAAACAACAAAGGGAAGAGGGAAAGAGAGAATATACACATATAAGACAAACTGCGAAGCTGTGTGACTAAATCGATTGATCGATTATGAGCAATAAATTATGCTTGAAACGTCATCCAGTTGTTGGTACTGAATCACTGTGATATTTAAAATAAGGCGATATTACACCCGGAAAAACTGGGAAACTTGAGTATGAGGCTAACAATCCTACCCCGTGAAAAATACCATACGACAGCTACGGCAACTTCGTAGTCCGAGGCTCGAAGCATTATGTACCATTTGTAAAGCAAATAAATGAAATAGTATATGATATAATGAGTCTGAGAGTGATTCGAAGTCTACGAGGATCGAATATAAATCACATGCTTCATCAGAACCATCATGGGTGCATCCTCTTAACTGATAAAATCTTTAGTAATAACGTAGAATTGAAAAACCACTGATGAATGGTACATGCTGCAATATAGGTGTGCACACACCTCGCCTAGTTTGCTGGCCCGTCCTAAGGCTGTAAGAGAAACTGAGTTAGGGGCATGCGGTTCGCAGCAAAGTAAAACTGTGAAAATACCCTCCCCCCCTCCAATGCAACAGAAACTTCAGAGCACAGAATACAAATTAACTTCATATTAGATGGTAGGAGGAAATCAATCAGCAGCAGCATGGAAGCATGATTTTATAACTGGGAAAAAATGGGATGAACTGAATGAAGACAAAGAGAGAAAATTACACACACAGATAACAAAACAAAAAGCCGTAGGATAATGGAACATACCGAACTAGGTCCATGGTAGTTACAAAGGCTGGACTAGTTTCTTTTGAACACATAGCTCCGGCTTTTCGACGCATATGGCGAGAGCTTCCGCAGTACAAAGAAGTCGGAAACACACTGCCTTTGGTAGATTTTTGTTTACTTTGTAAATGACTCTAAATAATGAGTCAGCTGAGATTCTGTGACAGGTATTGACGAGGTGTTCAGTTATTGCGCTTCTGATTGAACCAGTGCCCCCTCTTTGCAGACATGCTGGATGATGTTCTCTAACACGTTTTGATAAGACCCGCATAGAACGACCTATATACCTAGCTCCGCACAAGCAAGTGAACTGATGTATGCACATTGAAGTGGTCATATGCGGAAGTCTGTCATTCCTGTTGCTCCGAAGTAGTAGGCGGCTAGAGAATATCACTCTTGGAGTTGCTGCCGGAAAAGTCTTCTTCAGGGAATTGGAGATTCTCCTTTAAGGATATTTGCTGCTAGGTCTCTCCTGAATTAAAGATTCAAATAGAGTGTCTTCTTTTGCACTGAAATATATAATTCTCTTTTTGGCCTTCGTTTCATGTACTTCTCCACGAAACGCGGTGGGTATCCATTTTGAACTAGGATGCTTTTGAGAAATAGGAGCTCTTCTTCGAAACAGTCATCGCTACAAATTCTTCTGGTACGGTGGGCTAGCGAGATGATGAGAGCTCTTTTACAGCTGATAGGTATTCAACTGTAGAATTTTGTCAGTTGGCCACTGCATATTGGTTTTCTATGGATAGATCTTTTCAGAGTTCCATCATCTCTTATTGTCAATTCTACATACAGCAATGGAATCTTTGATTCATTTTCAACTTCCATTGCGAATTTAATTGAAGGATGGCAGTTATAAAGTCAGTTATTTTAAGTTTGTTTCCATGCTCCTCCTGACCACACACTTGTAATCTGTTTAGAATAACCATTTTACAATTATATTCTAATCCTGTGTATTTTTTTTTATTTCTATACGTCTTGTAATCTATAGTCATACCTCCTAACTTACATTTCAAGTTGAAAATTTTGATACAATTCAGTCTACACCATATAAAGGACTAGACATGTTACACCAGTTACTAACTCAAAGTGTAAAAAACAGCTTATTCTTCATTGAAATAGGGAAGAGACTCCTCGAATTCGCGGACAAATGGCGCCAGCCGATGAAAGAACTTTCAAGGAGCTAGTTGATCGATACATCTTCAAATGAAATCAAAAATAATTGCACAAATACACACACACACACACAGGGGAAAAATTCCAAGATGACATCGAAAGTACAATGAGAATTAATTTTTTTTTAAAAAAAAGACTTACCATAATGATTCTAATCTATAAACAGCCATTAAATAAATACACTGAGTAACACTCATTCGATTAATCAATGAAGAAGTTTCAGCATTGTTATCCAGTAGAACACATAACTTGTTACGTATATCCGTCACATCAGTCTGAGTACAACCAGAAAATAAGGAAGAAAATTATAACCATAAACACATTTAAATATTCATGGAATATATTGATATGATAATTGTCTAACATTAGAAAAATGAAAAAAAATATATTGGATACTTCAACGCCCCTGAGGGGGTCTAGTTGACCCCAAAAACAAAAGTTATAGTGAAGTAGGACTCTTCAGCCGGATACTTGACATACAGAGATATAAAATTAAGATAAAATGTATTACCGTTAGACTACATCAATTAAATAGACAATTAGTTAGTTATGAACTTGAATAAATCAATAATCTTGGACTAAGTGATACTTAGAATAATAATAATAATAATAATAGTAACAATGGTAATCATCAACTAAAATAGTAATTTTAAAACGAGTCAAGATAGTGGTTTCGCTAAACTTGGAAGTAAAAGAGGAGTGTGAACACTTTAAACTGCGTACATTAATTTGAATGTGTTGTTGGGAGGAAGCAAACATATAGGGTCGCGTACAGAAAAGCGATTATCCACTCACATGATGAACTATTTGCCATGGTGGTTGAAAACAACTGAAGTCAAAGCGCCTAAAAGTTCAATAACAAACCATCTTGTGGACTACAGACATGAGACTGACGCTACTGTCAAAGTCATTGACACTGCTGTCAGCAGACCGACAAACAAACAGGAAGGTGCTAACAACTGTGTAGGCTTGTGCAATTAGGGTTTATAAATCAAGTTTTTGTATACGAAAGGAATAAGTGGTCACTTTGAATCGACTATGGCGATATGTTTCACTTAATAACTGTTATTATTATTATTATTATTATTACTATTATCATTACTATTATTACCATCATTAGTTAGTTCGTGGTTATCGATATCTTATCAGTCTTATATGTCCTAATGTAATCTTTATGGTATATATATATATATATATATATATATATATATATATATATATATGTCCCTGTATGTATGTATCCAGCTGAAGAAGTCTACCGAAGTTTGATGAATTTATTAATCAATACAGAAGACTGAAGTAGTTGTGTTCTCTGACCTGGTTGATTTTTATTACGAAGATTCCGTCTAAAATGAACTCATCTAAATTCTACATGAATGGTATAATTGTATCGCCTGGCAACCACTGTCGGGACTAGTTGTTTCATCATAATTCGCGTCTCTATCGATCACATTTATTGATTTGGGATTCAAATTTATTTTTGTCATGTGATGTTCTTTTTATTAGCTTCTTAAATTTCGTCGTTTATAATAATAATGTGTTTGTTAACTGCTAATTCACTTGTGTACCAGGCTGTTAAGAAATCTCTGGCCTTCCTAGTGGTTATTTCTGACTACTTAAAATTTCTATACTATCCCAATAAAATTGACGTTCATAATTATTTCCTACTTTAGCAATTTTTCTGGCTTGTTTTAAATTCATATCCGGAAACAAAATGTTTCCAATTGGTGATTGACAAAGAATCGTTAGTCACAACATCTCATTAGAATTCTGGAAACACTAACTCCATATAGCAAAAGTTAGAATTTTTACACACACACACACACTAACTAGACTTCTTCCCAATAACACCTAATAATCGAAAGATTCGCCTCGTAACATGAATTTTCTGGGCTCAATCCCCAGCAGGATAATGAGTACATACTGTCAAGGAGTTCCAAAGTGGGAAGCAAGACAACAATCCTCAAACTGACGCCACAAGTCGTCCATTATCAAACTTAATGCCGTCTATCATCCGTTGGGTCTGTCTGTTAGTTTTCAACACAGAACTTTGTACATATGTGCTCCAGTTCAAGTTGCCACACTCCACTCCTTGTAGCACACAAAGAAAGGCAGGAAAGTAGAAGAAATGCATACTAGAGACAGTAAACAGAGGTTTGAGACAAAGGAATAGAAGTAACGAAGAACAACATAGTTTCGTTGGAAATCATAAATCACAAGGAGTGGATTCATCTGCGCCACTGAGAACGATTTTGAGCCATATCACCAATTGTTTCCAGCCTTCATTGGTTTTCACCGTCCCAAGGACCCCAACAAGAAAGCCAGTCTACACCTTCCTACGTGGCTGGCTTAAACTAACTGTAGTGGATTTTGTTGACTGGTGCCATGTTTTGGTTTGACTATCCCTAGCTCTTTTCCAGCCCGTCGAGGAAGGCGATGACTAGACATACGTAACACATGTCCTAACCATCTCAGTTGATGTAGCTCCGTAGCCTTGTCGATTGATTTTCTCTCCCACCTACCTAACACTCGACCAAAACCTAACCTCAATATTGCTCGCCTTATTATACCACTTCACACAGGAGAGAACGCAGGCACCTATGATCGAATACAGCTAATCTTTTCATGTCTTCCACTCTCAATGGTCAGGTGTTGCTCACAGCCATAAAGGAGGATAGAGCGGACTGATGAGCAGTACATACGCCCTTCGGTCGATAGCCGGATATTACGGTCAACGTGCTCTACCACTTCACTTCCTATTTCTAAACTAGGAGTCAGTGTAGTCCAGTCCTGTAACATCATCTTACATTTGACGAGAACGAATCGCATGCCAAACATTCGTAGATTGCAGCTCAAGGTGTTCAGAAGACTCCGCTCTATTTTGTCAGAGTCTTTGCCTAAAAGGACTAAATCAACTGCATATTCTAAGTCAACGAGATTATTCCCTGCTGGTAGCGAGTCAATCCCTGAGTCTCTGAATTGAGTTAAGCGAGAGTTAAATCCATGAGTACATCTATGATGAAATCGAATAGAAATAGGGATAATGGGCATCCCTGACGGACACCACACTTCAGATGACAACTCGCCGTTGGGTACTTATAATCTGTTACTGTCAACAAATTGACTGACTATAACTAAAACAAAAAAGGATCCCGCAAAATGATCTAGTTCTGGAACCAACTAATAGTCATAATAATAATAGTCATGATGTTGATAAAAAAACGTGTCAGGCATTACAGTACCTTATTGATTAGCTAAGGCAGATGAATCAAACACTAACTACTCAAACAACATATGTGTAACCTCACATATGCATGTAGTATAAAGCTGTCAAATAAATTCTACTATTTTCTATATAACAATGTAAGTGAGAGAAAAGAGTGGTGTGTCATAAGTAGATTAAAAAATTAACACACAAAATGAGAATACTCCACACACACACACAATAACTTGAGGGCAATTCACTTAACATCAGCATAATACACTCAGTGGCTGTGAAATGGTAATCATTGCAAAAAAGAGGGCCTACACTCTCAAAATCATCTTATCCATTTGATATTTAGTATGAATACAATAAAATACAATGCATTATTATATACATATATAAATTAATAAGGGCAATATAAGAACTACAACTGTGATCACATTTTATAACAATAAGTAGACTAATTAGAAGCCTAAGAGGTAATGATTGTATTATTATTAAAGTGTTCTGGTGATTGCAAAGAAAAGAAACATCCAAGGTATGCTCACATAATGTGGCGTATGTTGCTGATAAAAAATTTGTAAGTAGTATGTTGAACAAAGTTTTCATTATTTTATTGTTAATAAGAAAAAAAATATATAAACTTGGTAAATTATTGGCATCAAAATGATACGTCACACAAAATCTAATAGTTTGGGTAGACACTGCGTTATCGCCTGTGTGACAACGGGGCGAAGCAGGTGACTTGAAACCAGATCCACAAGGCAGTGAAGCAGCAATAGAAGCTACGTTCTCATGGTTCCCGGTGATCAAAGCGGGTTCATATGCTATTCGATCCTTTTGGAGCTTGGAGTTCATGTACACCACAGAGTTTAGACTCAAGGTTTTCCAGCTCCGTCGGCGGGAAACCTTGAACCTAGGTTTCGCGCTAGTTGGCACTCATCGGCAAAGGCGTACTTGCAACCTTGAAGGAACTCATGTCCCTTCTGAGATACTGATACTCCTTGCTGACGAGTGCCAACTAGCACGAAACCTAGGTTCAAGGATTCCTGCCGATTGCCTCTAACCATCTAATATCATCATATCAATGTGCACCGTAAAGGCGAGCTACCTAGAATGGTGGCCACATTACAAACCTGACTGATACAATTCAGTCCGCACCAAAGAAAGGACTAGACACATCACACTAGTTACTAGTGTCAGATCAAAATGTCCAAGTGACTTAAACATAAAGAAATTATATATTAAAGAAAACAAACAAAGGTGTTTCAGTGGCGCTGAGGTCGAATACTTCCCCCATACATGCACGTGGTCCAGGGTTCGATCCACGGTAGAAGCACTTCTCAACCTGGCTTAGCTGATGATAAAACCAGAAAAGAGGGAAGGTTTGGTGTGAGGCTAGTGACCCTCCTCCTCATAAAAATAAAACCCCTGCTACCGCAACTTCAAAGTTAAAGCTTCAAGCCCTAAGTTCCACTTGGAACGCAGAAGAATAACATTTTAAAAAAATCAATAAGAAGAACACATATGAATCGGCAAAAAAGTCTCTTTACGTAACTTCACTTTACAGCTATATATATATATTGATAATAGAGGTCAAAGGTTACTGTCAGATCATAGTAGTAAAGCAAATCAAAGTGTATGAGTAATAACTATGTTTGAAGAAGTTAGGAATCATCGTATATAATTAAAAAGGGTTGAACACTAATCACTTCAGTTATTAATAAGGTTGAAAATGAATAGCAAAAGACGTAAAACGAATTTCCTAGAGATTATTATACGGTTATTCAGAAGGACAAAGAAAGTCTACAAATAGGCAACTATAGTACTGAAACCATGGTAGTAGAATAGGCTGGATAAAGCATTTCTGTACTATAGTTTTTTAAGTTCTCGTTAAGACAACCATGCCGGCAAGTGTCTATCAACACATCTAGACAATGTCCTGCCGCTACGACCTATGTGCTTACCTCCCCAAGAGCAGGTGAATTAGTATGTACACACAGTGGGGACTTCTCTTCAGCGTTTTGGTGTATAGGAGCATGTGAAAAGAAGGTGAGATGTAGTGAGATGCAGCAAAGAACGTTGTACGAATTGCTCTTCATAGGCGAGGACCTCATTAATTGTATCTCACTTGAAATTCATATTTACAATTAGTTGTTTCCTCGGCACATCCAGGTTTTTAGCAGTATCAGTCTTACTCTTTAAGTGTTTATTGACGAAGGAGGTTGGATAGTTTAAAATACTCTAGCATATTACAAGTTACGGACGAAACCAATAAAAGTCAATCAGTATCAGCGTTGTTTACAATAAAATAAGAATTATAAGGAATAGATAGGAAGGTTATCTATTGTACAGAGCGGGAATTTAATGTCAAAGAATCCTCTCTACTATCTATTTCGTTCAAGTCCATACAGACATAAGAAGTATTTGAACCCAATTAGTAAGAATGGGTTATTCGGTGTACCAGGGGCTGATGGCACAGCACAACGTAGGGTAGGATTCGAACTTGGGACGTGATGATATATATATATATATATATATTCGATACGGCTAGCAACAATAATGATGCACAGATTAGAAAAACACTGCTACACTTCTGTAGTAACAATCGCTTAACATACAAACACAGATACTTAAGTAATAAGAGATAAGACGGAGAAACAAACCGTTTATTTATGTAGCAGAAGGTAAACTTACAATATCACTCCTCCACTCCCCCCCACCCCACCCAACATGTTAAGCAAAACTACGTTTTTAATAATAACATGTATCTCCACTTCGTAACCAGACAACTTCAAAACTTAATTTTTGTAGTTCTCATTTTTCCTTCGCATTTGTCGTAGGGGTAGTAGAATTTCCCAGATGTCCGGGTGGACAGGTGTTGAATCATTCCTATTGCACATATTCTCTGTGCATTTGATAAATAAAGCTTCCGTTATCCTGTTTAATCATATTTTAGAACTGTCATCTTATTCCATTCTATTGTATGATTGTGTGTAACTGCATGTAGTGTTACAGTTGAGCTATTTCCTAGAATCCCTAGCTTATTAGGGTCAACTAACCAAGATTTTCAACGGATTGATATCAGTTAGAGAATCACTGAAATCCAGAGAGTATTGGACAGCTGTTTCATCCTAATTTGGGACTCATCGACAGTGAGCACCTACCGCCAAGGTTAGAACCTAAGACCTTCCGGTTACAAAACGAGTTCATATACCATTCGGCCTCTGGGATACGATTCATTAGCCTATGAATTCTAACTTTTACCAATTCATGAAAACAAATGAAATCCCTACAAAACAACTTTTGGAAATTAATCTAGGTTTGTATACGTTTCTCATGCTCCACTAACCATCCTCACAACCACTGCAGAGAGGGAAGAAAATCAAAATTCAAAGTTGTGAAGTCACAATTGATGATATGATTATGAACAATAAATTGTGTTCGAAATGTCATCCAATAGAGAATACTCTTTCAAATATAACCAATCGGCAAGTTAGTATGGAATTACATAATATTACAGAGCCCAAGTTATACACATATATATCATCAATACATCTTCTTACCTGAGATAAATTTCTAGCACTCAGTGCAGAACTTTGTTGTAATTCAGCTCGTAATGAATCTTTCAATAATAAAACCGGTGATTTTGTGGCAATTTCACAAAGACCACGATAGTATTCTATAGGCCATACTGCTACAAAAAAAATAAATAAAGACAGTTGGGTACCAATTAGTCGCAAACGAAACTTGATAATATCTCTGGCGACTAGAATCCGAAAAATCTGCAGTCCTGAATCAATAGAGGAAGAGAACGCCCTCTTAAGGAAGACACTGCTCGAGAATGGCTACCCACCCCGTTTTATAGACAAGCATATTAAGCCTAAGACTTACAAAGAACAACCCACTACAGTTTAGAAGAAGATGGTCTACATGAATGTACCCTTCAAAGGTGACCTTCTGGCTGACACCTTGAAGAAGAGGATATCTACTGCTCTAAGTAGGGCATTCTTCGCTGCCACACTATGACTGACATTTTCCTCCCGGCCATTGTTCTTCAACTACTCTAAAGATAAACAATCGCATTTGACCACTTCCATGTGTATCTACCAATTCACCTGCTCTTGCGGAGCGAGGTATATAGGTCTTTCGATGCGAGTTTTATCTAAAAGAGTTCAAGAATACTATCCCGCCTGGCTACGGAAAGGTAACAATGGAGCAATAAGGAGCGACATTATTGAGCATATACTTAACACTGGTCATTCGATTTGTAAGAAGTCATTCAAAGTCATCTATAAAGTCAAAAGAAGCCTTCCAAAATCGACAAGCTTCCGTATACTTTGTATTGCCGAAGCCTTAGCGATTTGGATAGAAAAGCCTGAATTATGCACACAGAAGAAACTTTCTCCACCCCCTCCTACTACCGTGGGTTTAACTTCAAGTTCATCTGTCATCAACATTTTGTTATCAAATTTTTTTGCAATATTCGTATAAGAATTTTTAGTAACTAACCCATTCAATCTTTTCACCTATTATCTAGTTTATTTTCATATTACGTAACCCTACTCACATCTTACCAATCCCCACCCCACTTAGTTACAACTTTGATTACTATTCACACAATTTAATTTCTTTATTATTTTGATGATGTAATCAACAACCCACACTAACTGTTATTTTGATTTTGACAAACCTTATGTACACACACACACACACACGAAATCATAATGATTATAAACTGTCATGAAATAGTGTCACAAGTTATCCGAGAATCATTCTCCTGAAGTTCAACAACCCATTTCAAAAGTTACCCATTTAACATTGGTCACCAATACAAAGACAATGGGATTAAACACCTTTAGTAGGAAATAGTCTGGCGACCTATTCGTTTGAACAAGCAGTTAGTTATAACGTCACCAATGAGTGACATGAAAACACGAAAAGGCTAGTTGTCGTTGATTACAGGTGCCTGTGTTCTATCTCCCGTGTTAGGTGGTCAGTGAACTTGAGGTTAGGCGTTGAGTGCTAGGCAAGGAGAGATAATCAGTTGATGAGGTTGAGAAGCTACATCGATTGCGATGATTAGGATATGTGTTACACATGCATTCCTAGCCATCACTCTCCTGTACGGGAAATGTTAGCTAATTGACATAGGATCAGGTTGGAAAACAGATGGTGACAGTCAAACCAAAACATGTCTTTATCAGTCAGTGAAATCCACAATACTGAGTTCAAGACAGCCAGTCAGCCACGTAGAGAGGTGTAAATTTCTTGACTGACTGATTGAGGTCTTCGGGATGGCAAGGATCGATGACGGCTCGAGACAACTGGTTATCATTATCATTAGTATATCCTTAAATTCCTAGAGGAACATAGGGATTCAGCAGCGCATTTCCATTGCGTTCGGTCCTCTGCTAACGTTTTCACCTGTCTCCAAGTCTGCCCACATGCTTTCATCTCCTATTCACATGACCTCCTCCAAGTCACCCCATCCACGCACTGACGACCAACTCGCCACTTCCCTCTCGCGTTCCACTCCAGCGATGGCTTGTCAAGTGATGTCACTTGATGGTTTGTTTTTTCCCAATATGGCCAATCCATCTCCATTTCTTCCTCCACATTTGTTGCACAATCGGTTGCTGGTGGGTTGATTCGCTCATTGCCAGAGATCCCTGTGTCTGATCTTTTCTGGCCGGCCATCTGATCTTGAGTAGCATTAAGCGAAGACAACTGTTAACGAAGGTCTGTAGTTTGTTTGAGATGCTCTTCATGACGCTCCAAGTCTCTGATCTGTACAGTGAGTAGCACTGACTGGCCTCACATTAGAGTTGAAAACACGGATCTTATTTTTGATGATGAGTGCTGTTGACCTCCACACAGACTTGAGAGTATTGAAAGCTTGTCTTGCTTTCCCGATCCTGGCTTTGATATCCTTGTCAGTTCCGTCCGCCTGTAGTTGAAACTTTGCTTCCCAGGTAGGTAAGTAAAGCGGTTATTTCTTTCAGGTTCCTCCCATTCATGCTGGCTGATTGTTGTCTGTTGTTTTTGCTGTTGGCCAGGAATCTTCATCACCCCTGTTTTATCTATGTTCACCTGAATGGTGTCTTATCTTCTGTGGATGCTTCTCGTGCCAGCTTGTTGCTTTTCACTTGCATATCTTCTAGTTTGTGGGAAATCAGACACATATCATCGGCGAAGTCCAGATCCTCGAAGTTTTTTTTGTCTGGGTCCATTTTATGCCTGTTTCCTCATTGCCCGGAGGCAACTGGTGATATGGCTCAAAATCGTTCTTAATGTCTAGCGCAGAAGCACCCACTCTTTGTGACTTGCCAGTCATATCCAATAAAATTCTATTGTTCTTACATATTACTACTCTTTTCGCTTCATATTTCTGTTTACCATCTCTCTTTACTCTCTCCTCTTGCTCTGTGTGCTACACATGAAGGGAGTGTGGCGATTCGAACTGCTGAATATCTGTGCCAAGATCTATGTTGAAACTAGTCAGTCAGTGAAGACCTATGGGTAAGAATTCCTGTTTATAGACTCCTAATGTTTAAAAAATATAATTCCATGCAGTTGATTGCGAGCCAAACGAATTGCGTAAGACGGTCAGTAATACACCTCCTGACTGACCAAACATCGGTAGATGAAGTAGGATTTCAAAACCTTGATCCTACAGTTAAAAGTGGAGTGTTTGAATCACCATATCCCTAAGATTTTATCCAAGGGAAAAAAATGAAACCGGAACATCAAACGATCATGATGCTGTCAACTGCCGGCAAACACTACCATCACAAAAAAGGAGTTGATTTATCCGGTTTCATCAATCACTTGTTTGTTCAGCCAGTAAGACCTCAATGACAAACAAAATTGTCCTCAATATTTTTTTATCATTTTCAGGACAAAAAACATAAAAGTGGAGAAAATAAAAAATGCCGTGGAATGAAATTTAAGATGTGAGAAAGAGTGTTTATTCATATGATAGTGAAATCCTATACATATTTTGTTGATATGTGTATGTTTGTATGTATGTGTGTGTAAACATAAGAGTCGGCTTTTAAACCTCAAAAGGCGGGAACAAACAAACAAACAAACAAACAGAAAACATAAATAATTTGAAAACTCAGCTAATAAACGAAGTATATTATACCATCTGAACCTTAAAATCAAATTGCCTGACCATGTACAATAGAATAATACAGAATGAAAACGAAACACGAAGTTCAGTGAAGAGGCTCGTTTCGGCGAATTCATCCTCCTCTCCAGTTGTACAGTCGCATTCATACACATTTTTTTTCGTGAAAAAGGGTAGTAATATAAGTGATTAGTTCCTCCAAACATAGTTGGAAAAGTGTATTGCAGTTATGCAATAAGGTGAATAATTTAATAAATGAGTTGTAATCAGGATTCACATAGAAACATAGGAAGATGTGGATTTATGTAGGAGATTTAGGGAATTTAGTTTAATTGTAGATTTTGCCGTCGATTGATTGGACCGAAGTGCTCGATCTCAGATTGACATGTCGGCTCCTTGTGCAGATGCTTCGATGATGTCTGGGATGGTGACTAGCAGTGGAATCCAGTCAGGATGCGCATTTCGTCCTATTTGGGACTCGTCAGATGGACGTACCTAAAATTCAATTAAATTAATATGACCCGTTGCACAGCAGGTGGCTCTCGTGGCCCAAGTGGTCTAGTGGATAAGACTTTGGCGTTTGAAACAATGGGCACTGGGTTCGAGCTTCGGTGAGAAAATCATCACTCACTGAGAAATGCAGGTACATCTAGATGACGAGAATGCGCATCCTGGATCCCACTTCTAGTCACCATTCAGCAATTAGATTTAGGGAATTAAAGAAACAACAAATCAACAAGGTTGTTATTATGATTGCAGAAGTGGTTGAGTAGTTTTCGTTTTTGAACAGAGCTCCGGCTTCTTTAACTCAATGACTAAAGTTTCAGCAATTTAAAAGAGACAAAAGCCTATCGCCTTTGACAAATCATTCTTCCCTTTGTAGATTACTTTGAAAAAGGCGTTTTATTGGGATGGAATGACGACTGTTGACAAGGTGTTCGATGATCGCACTCTTTAAATAGCTCTATTACTACCTTCCTGCAGCCATATGGAATAGTGTGTTCTTGAACGCTTTTAGACAGAATATGCGTCGAACGACACACGTACCTAGGTTCACAGTAACAAGTGAAATGATATATACATATAGAATTGGTCAGATGCAAGATCTTGTCCTCACGGTTTCTGTAGATCATTGGACGACTGGAGAACACTCCTCTTAGAGTTGCCGAGAAGAGTGTTCTTCTCAAAGATGCTGGAATTCTTGTTTCAAGGATATTGCAGGATAAGTCTCTAAATTGAAATCCAAATTCATGTAAAGTTTCCGTCTTTGGAACAAGTTACGTTTCGTTCTTCTGAACTTTTCGTTTAATATTCTTATTAAAATGAATCTTCGTTGGTATCTATTTTGGATGAAGGCTTCTATTAGAAGATTTAGTTCTGCTTTTAGGACGTCGCGACCGCATATACGTCGGGTCAAAGTAACAAGAGATTTAATTGTACAACTGGAGAGGTAAATGAATTCGCCGAAAAGAGCTCTTTCGCTGAACAGCGTGTTTTGTTTTCATTTGTGTCTGGATGGGAGTTATTCATGAATTGAAATGAAAACACCAAGATGAACTATTTATCGTATAATACACCATTTTGTGAAGACAGGAATCAAGCTGAAGAATAACTTCTTCATACATATATTCTATTATCCTACCAAGAACTTCAAAAATAGCTACTCACTGAATAGCACTCGTAGAATTCCTTGCGTTCCGAGTGGAACACAGGATTGCAAGCCTCAGGTTTTAAAGTTTCATAATTCTTGGTGCTTTTTTTATGAGGTGCAATTGCTAATCTAACAGCCAACCTTCCATCTTTCCACAGGCTTACTACCAGCTATTAAACTACTTATGGTTGAGAGTTCACCAGTCAGAGAATCAAACCCGGACCACGTACATGGTTGGAGAGCAACAAGATACATCGAAGGAACTGATATCCCGTAGGAGATTCGAACCCACATATCACCCAGTACTGTAATCTGAAACGTCACCAATCAGCTCCCGTGAGTGACACCAACATAATACTTCTTGGATGAATTTTACAGCTGTCTAAATATTACAATAATTATAATAATAATGCACATGTGCATTGGTAATGATAAGATACTAAGGTCTAACATTGACAGCAAAATGTTGAGTGTTGCATCATATATGTCAGTTCAGATTTCTCGTGTATCAACCTATCAGCCACACACACACAGGCGGATACTACCTACTCAGTTTACCAAGCTTAATTACGAAAAATACCCATTTATTCATAAGTAAAAACACAGTTTTTTTGTTCAGCGAAGAAATTTCTTTTCAACGACTTCATTTTCAAGCTGTACAATCGTATTTATATTACAGAAAAAGGTTATTAAGTGGCACTGAATAATTGCTCAGTCAGTGTAATTTGTAATTTATCCACTTCAACTCTAACCCTTATAACTTTTATCACATATATACGTACATTGACTGAGCAATTATTTAGTGCCACTTAATACCCTTTTTCTGTAATATAAATACGACTGTACAGCTTGAAAATGAAGTCGTTGAAAAGAAATTTCTTCGCTGAACAAAAAACAAGCTTAATTAGTCAGGACAAGTTTCAAACCCATGACACTCATTCACTGAAGTTCAAGTCTTTAAAACAATGATTCATATATCCACACTATACAAGCATAATGAATACAGTAGATTTTTAAAGTAACGGCATCAAATAGATGGGAAGCGAAAGATAGTTTGAACATCCAGAGAGAAGATAAATAATAGAATAAGTTGAAATCAGTTAAGACGCCGCCGACGAGTGTAAAATACTTCTCTAACAGCAGATACGAAAATTGATGATGAGCTTTTATTGCGGAAAATAAAAATACGTCATATCTATTCAGTTCTAACCACATTAAAGTTCTGCTAGGTCAGAGAAGGATAAACTGCTCTGACTGGTTGTAAACTGACCCAAGGCAAAACAATCTGTCCAATGAGGCGTTAATTTCAGTTTTTGCTATTTCCTGTTAATCTGCATATCACGCCACACTACTTTTAAGTTCGTGTTTCATTGTGTTCTAAAAGGCGAACAGACCTAAGCAGATCCTAAATTGAGTATTGTGATGCAATGAAGAGACTGTCAGGTTAGTGATAACTATGGGGGGACGGGGTGCTCTGACTGACCAGAATTCGCATACACCTGTCAAGACATACAGTGAAGACGTCTGAAAAGTATACATAATATAATCCTACAATCGTACTGTTAATTAACGTCACTGCTATTATGAAAACTACGAAGTATTATTTAAGATTTTAACCCTAATAAACAGCTTGATAGCGAGTGCCAACCACCACGTAATCGAAGGTTCAGAGCTACTCTCTAACTACCTCCAACAAACAATTGTCCCAGTAAAGTCAACCTCAAAAGAATGCCAAGGATTAACAGATGATACAACTCTGGTGGTGGTATCTGAAAATTAAAGTACAAAAATTCCGATCCAAATCTCTATATATAAGTAGGAAAGAAATATGTGTTCACAGTTCAATCCATCAACCATCAATCCATCATGATACCTATATATATACTGAACTTACTTGAATTTGGATCAGCAAAACCCATAACCGTAACATACAACCAAAATTCTCTGAATAATTTTTGCAAGCGTTGATTAGGATTTTGAATTGGCGGTAAACGTCGTAGAATCTGTGGTTAAATTAAAATTAAAAGGTTGAAAAATAAAAATAAAACTGAAGATAAAAAAGCAATGAAAACTGTATCATAAGAAGACGTAAATAGCAAAGAAAATTTTCTAAACGACGATTCATTCTCATCATTTTCAAGTATTGGTTTTGTTTGATTGCATGGAAGATTTCATCATGAGCTAACATCAGTTAGAGAACCACTGGAAAACCAGCTGGGAGTACTGGACAGATGTTTCGTCCTAATTTGTGACTCTTCAGCAGTACGCACTCAAATAAAGGACGAAACAGCTGTCCAGTAATTCGAAGTTTCCCAGTGGTTCTCTAACTGATGTCAGCTCATGATGAAATCTTCCATGGAATCAAACAAAATCCCTACAAAACCAATACTTGAAAATAAATCTGATGACTACTAGCTACTGGCCTTTTTCAGGCAGTTAATCTGGGGTTCTAGTGGGAAGCCGTGATCAGTAGGGAAGTACAGCAGGTTGAAGATGAGGCGGTAACTCATCGAAGATGACATTGCGAAATGGTCGCACTATGTCGTGAATTGGCAGAAGTTATAATTCATGGGCTGGCTGTTGGATCGGGTCCTAGTGGCTCAATGGTCTAACAGCTTGCCTTGTACCCAGGATGTTGAGGATTCGTACCCCGGCGGGTGCGTACTATGAAGAGTCCCAAAATAGGACGAAACAGCTGTCCAGTATTCCCAGTGGTCTTCTAACTGATGTCAGCACATGATGAGATCCTCCATGCAATCATTATCATAAGCTATACAGTCCTAGTTATATTTTACCAACAGTTCATAAGACCAATCAGATAATGATTAGCCAAGGCTGGACAATGTTACAGAATACGTGATAAAAAAACGACGAAAATAACAAAAACTATAGAGGATTCAAAGCCTCTGTAGTACTTACTGCCGTATAACGAAAGAACATCAGACAACCTAAGTAGGATGCTGAATGAGGCTGGAATTAAGGTGGCATTTAAACCAACCAACTAACCAACTCTCTCATCAGAAATAAACTTTGTCAGCTCAAGGACCCGCGATAAGTCCAATTAAGAAAAATAAAATAATTTACCAAATACCATCATATAATGACTGTTTTTAAGGTCCCTTGTATAGGTCAAACTAGTAGATCGGCATCAATAAGATTATCGGAAGATAAAAATTTAACTGAACCTAGAATGTTCAAGTGTTGGTTTTTAGGGATTTGATTGGTTTTAGGATTTCATCATGAGCTGACATTAATTAGAGAACCATTGAAAAATCTGGGAGTACTGGACAGCTGTTTCGTCCCAGTTTGGGACTCTTCATCAGTACACACAACCTAGAACCTAGAATGATTTGCCCTGCTAAGTTAAATAACCTAGAAAAAAGCTCAGCCATTTCATTTCATTGCATTGCATTCAATTGCATGTATTCACACAGCCATAGGATGGGACAGGATGATAGTATTAAAAAGCAATATAGTTAGGTGAAGAGAGTTTTGTCATTGGGTTTTTGTTTGTTGAATCGACACAGAACATGTACTGTCGAAATGATGCAACGCCTATGCCGGAGATATAGAAAAGAGCAACAAATAACACGCAGTGAATTGTCTTTGGAACGTCATCCCATTATTAACACTGTATCAGTGTATGTTACATCAAATAAACTAATCTAATATGGAATTACATTCTAACACAGTGTCCAAGTTATGCACTTACACTAGGACGAGACAGCTGTAAAGCTATCAAGCATTACTTCATTCTCACTGGTAGTCCAATTGAAGTCTGTTCGTATTATAAAAATCTTGGAACCAAACGAAGCCCTGCAAACCAACACTTGAATATCAATTTAATGCTCACTAGCGAATGTACCTATTCAGGTAGGTAGTTACCTGGGTTCTAGTGGAAGGTGGTGACCAGTAGGGTAAAGCAGGTCGGGTGTGCGAGGACAACTACTCGCCAGCAATCCCACTGGTTAGCGTGGTTAGTGTTATGTCTCGAATTGGCAGACGTTGAAAGTCATATGGTGGTCATTGGATCAGGTGTCCCAGTGGCTTAATGGTCTACGAGTTCGCCCTATAAAACTAGAAGGTCCTGGGTTCAAACCTAGTCGGCGGGCGAGCACTAGTGAAGAGCCCCAGGCCAAGGCGAAACAGCTGTACAATACTTCCAGGTTTTCCAATGGTCCTCTAGTCTATGTCAGCTCATGATGAAATCATGTAACCAATCAAAACCCTGCAAACTAACACTTTATTCAGTTTCTACCTGATTTGACAGGAAAGGTGGATCATGCCACTAACACAACAAAAGTGACTATCTAAATACCCAAACGGTAAACTTAGAAGTACTGAACGAATGATTCCCCAAGATTTGTAATTATTCACAGCAATGAAAACCCTATTGAGTAGAAGAGACCTCAACACGGTTAGGTAAACATTTTATCACTCAGCTATTGTATTAGAATAGAATGGCTCAAAACTTTTAACTTTTAGCAATCTCCTATAGAAGAAGGATAGTTATCCAGTAATATTCACCAGTAGGATTCATACACCTGGTTTCGTTAATCATCACACAGATAACGGCTGCCAACTCTAACACCAATAAACATCGAGTACAGGTTCACTAGGCTATTATTAAGCCTGTGAAAAACATACATTTTAACATATGTCCTTCCTTCCAATAAATTATACGCCCATGTAATTGTGTGATAGATACAGATGGAAGGTTCAAGACCTCAGTACACTTCACCTTATTTCACAAAAGTTCTCTAGGTCATATCCAGTGTAGAATGAAAATCGATACATGAATCAAATAAATTCTGAAACAATGACAGCAAGACGATCATCATGAAGTTGGTAAGTAATGATGAGGTGACAATACAAAACCAGGTAACACAACTTACAATCGCTATTACGGGGATAAGTTGTCCAAGGCCATGAGCCGCTGTTGTCTAAATTTTTTTAGAGAAAAAAAAAAGAAAAAACAAGAATAAATCTTTTACATCCCAAAGTTTGGTAGCATTTTGTACTATTCGTTCTTTGAGTTCAACGGGGAAAACTGGGTCACAGTAGCACATCTCCATCCTACCGACTACTACTCACTAGGTTCAACTGTTATCATCTTCAGCTTTTTTTAACTCTTAACATGATGTCTTCCATGTCACTCTCTCTCTCTCTCTCTGACAACCAACAAATAATTTCCGCTTTCCGGGTTCCACTCGACTGCTTGGTATGTGTGTGTGACAGCACTTGTAGATCTCCTCAGTGAATATCGAATCTATTTCCGTAGCTTTCTGTCTATTTCTTGGATGATAGTTTATAGGTTGGCTGGTCCATCTTCAGCAGTTCTTTGTTGATTACTTATCCTTTCCGAACATTTGACCTTCACTATTAAGTGAAGAAGCATCTGTTGATGAAAGCCTACTACTGCAGGCTGTTGAAAATGCTTTCTGTGATGCGCGCGCGTCATATATCTTGCTTTCCTAACTGTTACTTTGACAGGCTCTTAATAATGCCTCTGTGACAAGTAGGATAGCATGGGAAAAAATTCACGAAGTTGTAACACACATGTTAGATGCATGAGAATATATATTCATTTTACGAAAAAAGTAACACCCTTGAAAAAGTTGGGTGGCAGCAGCGATGGGTAACACGGGTTCGAATCTGAGTAGGGACATAAGTTCCTTCAAGATTGTAGATACACGCCTTGTTGAAAGGGAAGTTCCAACAAGTACAAAACAAATTACACGTCAAGCAAGATTTCCTACCGATTGCCTCCAACCATCTAATAAACCAGTCCAGAGTGTACCATGATGGATGGTGAACCACCACCTAGAATACTGGCCACATTGCACACACTTGACTGATAGAAGTCAGTCAGCCTGCACCAAACAAAGAACTATACACATGACACTAGTTAGTTAGTTAGTATCCAATCAAAGTGTTTACTACCTACATAGCAGTTCGCTCTGTCCTCATGTATGGCTGTGATACCTGATCATTGAAAGTGGAAGATATGAGATGAGAAAGCTAAATGTCTTTCTCTTCAGATGTTTGCATCCCATCATCTCCCAAATTAAATGATACACGTAGGGCACGATAGAGTCAGTCGATGGGATCATGAAGCTACATCGACTGAGAAGGGGCTAAGACACATGCTACGCAAGTCAAGCCATTACACTCCTTGACGAGGAGTGTTAACTGACATAGCCATTGATTGGGAAAGAGTTCGAAGTGGTCAAAAACAAAACTTGACAGCAATCCATGGTTACCTGATTCTCAATGGCGTAGATGTATTTACACTTTGAAATCTAACATATCCTTTTAAAAACATCGTGTTTTTCTATGTTATTACTCTTTCTCCTGTGCACTTCCACTAATTATAGTTCGATTAACCCCCTCTCCTTTCTCTCCCTTCCCTATACAATATGTACTACATGATGTGGAAAGTTGCACCACTGGTGCACTTCTGTGCAAAATTCTATGTTAAAACTCAGTCAGTTAGTCAATTAAATCTAATCCAGTATGTGAGCTGAACACAACACACACACACGCGCGCAAACACAAAACACTCACCTGAGCTAAAAATCTTCTCCACTATTACAAAATGGAAACATAAAATATTCAATTAACAAAACACAACCGGTTAAGTTGTTCGGTGTGATGGCGAAAAAACGCAAAAGGGCTCCCATATAAAAACGTCAGACACAGAGAAAGACAGAGGATTAGCCATAATGGTTAATAGATATCTTAACGAACGATGTGCGACTTCATTCGTTCGAAGAAATAAAGGTGAAGACAATAACCGGTAAGAAAAAAAAAGAGAATCAAAGAGCATTATGTTAGATGACGACGTTACAGATAAACAATTCTTCTTAAGAAATACACTGCGAAAGTATATAACACACCTTTTGATTTCTATCAGATTCCAAACAGGCCTCACTATTCTTCGTCTGTATATTGCATTGTTTCTCTCTACATTTATAGTCTATCTTTGATGAATTACGCTCGGATGAAGATCTACGGGCTAAAACAAACAATTTTACAGTAGAGCCGACAGACAGCGAAAAAGAAGGACTTCAAGTGAACACGGAGAAGATAGAGGTGACAAGAAGTGGGACAACAAAAAACAACATCAGAAAGACTATGCCTTATAACGCAGGATGTTAAAGGTTGTCAGCAGGGTAAGCAACGTGCCACTTAGCGAGCTTGTTAATATTCTGGTCGACAGGCACTTGGACTCATGTGAAAAATGGGCTAAATCAATCCATTCTATCTAACTCACACCACCCTCTTCATTCACAACCCTCACCTTGTATCTCATCAGGCAGGACCAGAAGCCTATATAGAAAACTATATGCTCTCACTAGTAAGTACAAAAACTCACTCAACCATACCCTACATAGCTCGTGTTCTGTGCGATAAAGAAAACATTAAGCGCGATACCTATAACTTCTTAAATAGTCAGTAGAACAATTGGATCTCGTCTTTCCAACTCCTCATATCATTTATAGGTACAACGTTTTCTTTCTTTTCCTTTTCTCTCTTTTTTTTCTCTGTTATGTGCTCCTTTGTTTCTTTATTCCTTACAAACTTTACTTAAAACATTCTCCTTCGTTCTCTCAGACTCTGTTTATCTCGACCTTCTGTTACCGCTTACGCCAGTAAATATACTATCATCTACTTTTCTAACACCTTCAAACACTCTGTTGAATTTTGGCTTTGCTACCGACATGCCAATATGTTGTTGTCATAATGAACTGAGATTTCCTTAATCTATGTAGAATTTTATTTATTGATAATGTACTAATTGGATGCAATACTGTAGTAAAATGCTGAGAATTCCATTCTGTATCAAACGTACTGTTTTGGAATAAAGCAAATTATTATTATTATTATTATTATTATTATCAATCTCCATCAATGGGAGAAATTTAAAGGAAGACTCTTCTTTCGCTTTTCAAGGCAGCATTGTTTCAACTGCAGGCAGTCGCCACGGATAAAGATATTCAAGCCACCAATGATCGGAAAAGTAAGACAGAGACTCGACGAGCTCTTCATCGAAAGTATTTCACATAAGCTGCTTAAGATTTCCATCAATAGCTGCCTTCACTCCACACTGAAAATCCCATGGCTGGACAGGAAGGATAAGAAACATGGAACTCTGGGAATGACCTAATCAAAAAATGATTACCCAGTAAATACACAGAAGAAAATGAAGATGGATCAGACACTTGCTAAGGAGACCAGGTAGTCCCTCGGCTAGAACCACAATGGAAAAGGACGAGTTTGACATGGATGCGACGGTGAAATAGAAGAAATGAGGGATTACAGTCAGTCGTGGAGTCAGCTGAAAAGGACTCCTGGGAACAGGATAAAATGGAGATTTGTCGTTGAAACTTTATGCTTCACCTGGAACCCAGGGGGGTTAAAAAATATTACTAATAATCAATTATGCCATTATTAACAATACTTAGTTTCAAAATCTAAGGTTTTAGGAAGTTATTCAGTAGTCAATAAGCAGTAACTAGTCAGTGCATTCATTACCACCACAACAACAACAACAAAACAACACAAAAACTTACATTTGATGCATTTTTAGCATCTTGATCAATTTCCATATCAACGTGTACATAATGCTCTAACAGACGATGAAGGAGTTTGTTTAATTTTGCTTGACCTTGCACAAATGTTGATATATTTGCGAATACATTTATCATAGCTTCAGATAAATGCCTATATACACATATATATATGCCAGGAAAAAGGATCAAAATGTTATACAGAAAAGACATAACAAAGAAATCCAAACAACTAAAACCTTGGTTAAATTGTGTGACAACCCTTATCATTGTGAACAGTATAAATATCAGAGAACATGGCTTTATTACATATCCCCGCTAAATGTAGCGTCATTGTCCGTTGCTATGGTGATTTTGTATACTTTTTTAAATGAAATTTTACATTAAAAACATCTTTTGTGGCATACATGCTATCAGTGGCATTATATTCTTGAACGGCGTAACATTTGTTGTGCTTTTATCAAAAAATCTGGCTTGATACTGATATTTGCGCAATTTAATGGATCAAAAAAAGGGCGGTAAGTTCAAAAGTTAAACGTACATTATTGATTTTTCATGATATCATGCCGGTATATTTTAGCCTATTTATTTAAACGCCCTAATACTGATAGGATCCCACATATTTTGGTATTGACTGTTTAAACTTGCATAAATGGTATGTTATCATTCACACGCATTTTGGTAGTGACTGTTAATTTTGTATATATGGTATATAATCATTCCCACGCATTTTGTTACTGACTGTCAATGTCGCACATATGGCATATTATCATTTCTCACACACTTTGTTATTGGCTATTAAGGTCAATTATTTCAAATGCTGTTAGCTGTCCATATTGTTGTAAAATGTATAAATACCATGGCTTTCTTTATCGTTGTTGCACTTCAATACACAGTCACAGTCCAGCCTTTGTCTTTTGATATTTGCGTGCTTTACTAAGTCGGAAGGTACGACGAGCAGATAGACAGATTAAGTTCAGGCGCAGACAGAGCAAGATATAACAAATTGGCGACGGGGTTTACCTTAATTCAGTACAGTTACAACAATTGGCGACGTGGATTTACTTAATTCATCGCAGTTATAGCACGCAACGACGACAGTTTTTATTCTGTTCAGCGCAACTATATAACATTTTTGACTGTGTAAATTACAACCCAATTATAATGTCTATCTCTCTGGACGATCTTCCGGTGACTGCAGTTGAGGTTGCCAGACACACACTGCGTGATCCAGTTTTACAGCAAGTATCAAAGTTCATCCGATTTGGCTGGCCTCCACATGTTCATTCAAATGTTTTAAAACAGTTTTACCAGCGACGCAAATCCCTATCCATCGTTAATGGATGCATAATGTTTGCTGATCGTGTTGTCGTTCCAGCTAATCTTCGTGACCATGTGCTTCGGCAGCTTCATATATCACATCCTGGTGTTGGGAGAATGAAGGCGATCGCTCGCAGTTATGTTTACTGGCCCAACATCGATGACCATATCGAAGACCTCGTTCGCAAGTGTAGTAAATGTGCTCAAGCATCAAAGTGTCCACGCAAGACAGAACTATGTTCCTGGCCACGACCGGACAAACCATGGTCCCGTGTTCATGTTGACTTCGCTGGACCGTTCAATAGTATGCATTTCTTAATATGTGTCGACGCGTTTTCCAAATGGCCAGAGATATTTCCTATGCATTCTGCCACATCAATTGCAACAGTGTCCCTCCTACGTCAACTATTACTGAACGTTTCGTCGACACCTTTAAGCGTGCTTATGCAAAAGCGAAGGGGGAGGGAACAACAGAAAAAATTTTGGATAAATTCTTGCTGCATTATCGTACGAATGAAAAAGGACAGTTATGTGGCAGACACACAGATCACGCTCTATCCAGTACCACGCAAAGGTCAACTCGACAAAGAAGAGCTCCGAAACCTTTTCAAATAGATCCAAAAAGCAAGTCCTACACTCTTTACGGGGGGAGGTGATAGGATCCCACATATTTTGGTATTGACTGTTTAAACTTGCATAAATGGTATGTTATCATTCTCACGCATTTTGGTAGTGACTGCTAATTTTGTATATTATCATTCTCACGCATTTTGGTAGTGACTGCTAATTTTGTATATATGGTATATAATCATTCCCACACATTTTGTTACTGACTGTCAATGTCGCACATATGGCATATTATCATTTCTCACACACTTTGTTATTGGCTATTAAGGTCAATTATTTCAAATGCTGTTAGCTGTCCATATTGTTGTAAAATGTATAAATACCATGGCTTTCTTTATCGTTGTTGCACTTCAATACACAGTCACAGTCCAGCCTTTGTCTTTTGATATTTGCGTGCCTTACTAAGCCGGAAGGTCCGACGAGAAGATATACATATAAGTTCAGGCGCAGACAGAGCAAGATATAACAAATTGGCGACGGGGTTTTACTTTAATTCAGTGCAGTTATAACAAATACCCACTTACTTCAAAAATAAAACAGGATACGCAATATATATTCGCCCGATAGGTGAAGAATAAAATAAAGGCGGAAACAGATTATCAATATATATGCCCTTAATTTTATCCCACTTATGGCTGATATTATTAGCCTATAACCCACACATAACTATACTTCACAAATGTCCAACTACATATGGCACTTTTTACGTACTGACCATTTTTGTTCTGAAGGTTCAGTTCGTATTTTTCTGCTAACTCTTCAAACTTATCAGTGAATAAGGTGCTCGTTGAAGTCATTTAAAATCTACGAATTGAATATCGTTGTCACACCTGACCGATAGCTGGTGGTCCGGCTTGCACATTGTGATGACCCAACAAGCTACACTGGCTTGAACCAATGTTCCCGCAAGTCTTACCATGCCAGGAAGGTTGTTAGGATAGCGATTAGACTAAAAGCAGTTACCAGCATTGTGTAAGAATCATTCTTACACTATGCTGGGGGTCTGAGGGCGAAGTCGTACTGCTGAGGAACAGGGGTGTAACAGCAGTGAGGTGTTTCCCTCAGATGATCATCATGCCAGCCAGCTATGCTGTCTCTTCACTCTGGAGCGAGAGACAGGGTTAGAATAAGTCGACCCCGAAAATTCTACATCCCGACTTACCCCACCTACGGTGGTCCGTAGCCAGCGGTAAGTTTACTAATACGGAACCAATCTCAGAAACCAGTTCATATAGGCCGTGTGTGACTGGCCGGCCTCAAGCAGTTGTCCCCTGGACTCTGCGGTCACGCAACACTAACCCTCTTTCTGTTTCAGGTACCCGGAGAATCAATCAACTTCCACGGTGTGGGCAGTCGGGAAGCAACAACCGCCCACACATTTCCAAAAGCACATGAAGCCTACCTGAGCATCATGCATCGTTTTCACATGCTTCAACTGTTATTGAGAATTACTTTTCAGTCGTTTCATCTCCTCTTTCCTTCTTATTCTTCTTCTTCTCCACATACTGATATCTTTTAAAAATCCATTGAAAACCAGAGAGTACTGAAAAAAGTGTTTCGCACCGGTTCTGGACTCTTCAGTACCATGCATCCATCAGGCCATTGGGTCCATTAAGCCGAGGAGCTTAAGAATATGCAACAACTCCGTTGACTATTCAACCACTGGGATGGAGTCAAATGACCCAAGAGTTTTAACTTCTTCCAATTGGCGATATACATAAAAAATTAACGCCACAAATCCAGCTATCAACTCTACTTCCTTGCTTTCAATGGATCTTTAAACAAATAATGCTTAAAAATCATCGTATTATACGCGCACGGTAAGAAAGAAAGGTAAAAACTTTCAGATAATAGTAATAATAATAATAATAATACTAGTAAAACAAGGGTGAATCGAAATCCCCACCGTTAGATAAAAACTTTTCATTCAGGTCACCAGAGAAATTTGTTGAGTATGTGTGTGTGTATGTATGTGAAAGGCTTTCCTTTCTCTCTCTCCCTCATAAAACGATAAGAACTTCTACTCTTTAAAAAAAGACGAAATATTTATACTAGCTGTGTTCAAGTTTCACTAGAGATGATCTTAGACTTTCATAGATTTATGCCGTTTTCCTCTCTCAGAAATACACACGCACACAGACAGAAAAACATGCTACTGAAAAAAAATAACCCCGATTTGCAGTGAATTATACATAAATTATATACATCTGCTGCTGTACGTGTTTTTTTTTGTTGTTGTCAGAACGATAATCAATGCAAACACTTAAGTGCCACCGTATTGTACTTGAACCGATCGATGAATAATAATAATAATACAATCATAACCCCTAAGCAATTAAAAGTAGACTGTGAACTGAACTTTTCAGTCGGCATTTCAACTAACTAAATAAATAAATAAACAAATAATCTTTGAAACTTTGAAACACAATGAGTATACCAACATTCTGTTCATATCTTTTGACTGATAAATGCCATTCAGCCACTCGGACCCGATCCAATGGCCAGTCCATGAATTCTAACTTCTACCAATACGTGATTTAGCACGACCACCAACCATTGTCGTCGGTGGGACATCCACTCACACACGTGACATCTTATTGGACCTCACTAGTCACGACTTCTCACTAGAACCCAGGAAACTCCATCCTGTGGCATGTCACTAGCGAGCATCACATTAATTTTCTTTAGTTTGGTTTGTAAGGGTTAGTTATGTTTTTTCCGGAACATCCTGGGTTCGAATCCCAGTGACTGCGTACTGCCGATGATTCCCAAACTAGGATGGAACAGCAGCTGTCCAGTACTCCCTGGTTTTCAATGGTTCTCAATACGTGATCAACTGAAAAAAAACATAACTAACCCTTACAAACCAAACTATAGAAAGTGATAAAAATGTATTCAAATATTACGCAAAGCATGAATCAATGTAAAAGCCTGCATTGCAATGATTATTATTACTGTTAATTTAATTCCTTGCCGTTCTAAGTGGAACATGCGTCTTCAAGCTTGATCTTTGAAGTATCAGTAGCAGGAGTGTTGTTGTTTTTAAGCGCATGGAAGTTGCTAGCTTCAGATCCCCAACCATCTCTATTTATTGGTTTTACTACAGGCTGAACAAGGTCTACGAGTGTATCAGATGGGGAGGAGATCGAACTCCAGGCCACGGGCATGGACTCTGCGCAGTATTCTACCGAAGAATCACCGATGCACAATGCAATTCAATGAATATGCGGAAGATATATTTATATAAGACAAAGAGAACTGAGTGGAATGGAGCGATGTGTGCTTCTGAGACCCTCCTCCTTTCGTATATTCCACTCAGTATATACAAGCAATGGATGATTTAATAATAATAATATCGATTACTAACTCACCTCAGCCTAGATGTTTTCATTTGTGGATGTAAAGCCATTTCACGAGTACCACGTACACGAATTGCAGTTAATATATCCATAATTTGATCATGAACTGCTGACTGGAATAAGTAAAACCATTTTAAGAATATAAACATATTATTATCATTCATTGTAAACCCTCAAAAACCGCGTGCACTTCATACTGAGAAATTTTAACAATCAACCCAAACATGATCAAGTGGAACATAACTCGAATACACAACGTAACTGATGAGTTGCAGGCTGCAGCTGCACATGCCAAACACACCAGTCTGCGTTAAAAACTATTTTATGTATTACGCAACTATTTTCTATTCCATAAGTAATTTTGTTTCGATGCACTTTTTTTCCTTCACGTTCCCCAGTGGAACATAGGGCTTCAAGCTAGGGGCTTGAAGTTTCTTTAGCAGTGTTTGTTTTACAGGATGGGGTTGCTAGCCTCATGTCCAACCTTTCCCCTTTACCAGCATTATTTCTTGCTTAGCGAGGCAAAGGAGTGCGTCGGCCGGGGATCGAACCCCAGACCATATGCATGGTCGACGAGCGTCCTAACCGCTATGCCACCGACACACTTCGATGCACCTAGTGATCTATAATCGCACCTTCTAACTTTCATATCCAGCTGAAAATTAATGACTCGTTTAATCTTCTTTCATTACTATGTTGAATGAAACAATGGTAATTGCAACTATTTCAACTTATGTATGACAATGCGCGATTTTACAGCTGCTTTTGAGGATGACATCTCTTTAAAGATATATTTGTTGAGCTTCTTGATGTTCTTTTTACTCTGATAGCCTGATGAGTAATTTTCAACAATGAAGTGAATTAATTAAATGAAATGAAATAGCTATCCCGACAAATTTATCAAGAAACACATAAGAAAGAAAGCGGAAAAGGACTACTATCAGTATTCGTAAACAAGAAGCCCCTTTATATATACGACTACAATTCAAGGGTGATATACCAAGTGAAATAATTACAAAGACGTTAAGAGAATCTGTTCAAATAACTTTTAATGCTGGCGAACTACACATCTTATTCTCCCTACACGACCGATGGTGATTCCTCGACTGAAAGATGAAGTACCTACACTAGTCACTTCCAATTGTATCTACCAATTAAGCGGCGCTTGTGGTGGAGCGGCCGTTGCTCTAGGAACTTGATTTTTCTTGCTCGTTTGGGAACATCTCCCACTATGGCTAAGTATAGGTGTGGTAAAAACCATCAACAGTTCGATATTAGACCATCTGGTACAAACTGGACAAATAGTCAGTATTGAAGAATCCTTCTCCATCATCTACCGGGAACCAAACAAAGTGCCAAAAACATCAAAACACCACATGCTTCAAACAGCAGAGGTTATCACGGTTCGCGTGAAATAATCAGTGTTTTGTGTGCAAAAGAAGCAAGTCTAGCCACTACAACTGCCTTGGTTGGTCTTCAGTAGAGACTATAAATTAATGAATTTGTATTATTATCTTTCCTAATTTTTCTGACATTCAGCTTATTGCTATGTTGTGCTATTGAAGTGTAATCCACTAGTATTGTTATTGATTCGATGTTATTTAAACAACAGTATTAATAACACTAATTCATTCATTCACTATAATGTTTATATAACTGTAGAGTCTGATGATGAAGTTGTCGAAAAGAGTATTCTTTGTTCAGTAGCTATTCTTTCGAAATTGAATTCATCAAGTTAAAGACTTTTTTGACAAAGACAATGAAAGGGTAAATTCTCATGACTACATGGTATAGGTATTTGAATATGATGACAAACCAAGTCCCCTTGAACTATGCCCTACACCTAGCAACCGAAACGCTCCTAGCTGCACTTTCATGATTAAGCATTCATTTCACCAGAAACATACCATTATCTGCAAATACTCTAAATCTCCAATAACGAGAAATGATGCAAAACACAGAATACCACACGCTGGACTACCCAGTCCATTTTGAATGAGTTCATAGAGGAGGCAACGCATGGGGGAGGGGTGAACACAAATCCATGATAAACAATACCCACCACCGATGATGACGATAATGATTAAAAGTAGTTACTACTAATAGTTCATCACTTACCGATCCACTAATCACCATACAACCCAACTGTTCCATTGATTTAATCTCTAATTCAGGTAGTAATTTTACAGGATTTAAATTTTGTTGTAGAAATTGTAATATCAATTCTTGTGCTTGAGGCAGCTGTGCTAATGCAACACCCATATGACCGAGACAATAAACAGCATTCAAATACATTAAATTGATATCTCTAGAGGAAGAGAAAGAAGAAGAAGAACAAGAAGAGAAATACATAATGCAGTTGTCATATACAATAGTTACGATGGGATTCTTTGCCAGTGGGAATGAGTATGTATATACCAGCATAACTGGTGCATATCACTGAACAACAGTGCTGATTGTAATGAACAAATTGTTTGAAAAATCTCCCCCTGGATGATCTGTTTATGATATATTCATACTTATTTAGACGTTTCAATTAACTCTGCGATCTGCAAATGTTTGACATGTGATTCGCTCCCGCCAAATGTAAGATGATGTTACGGCACTGGACTACACTGACTCATTCCTAGTTTAGAAATAGGGAGAGAAGTAGTAGAGCATGTTGATCACTTCACTTATTTGAGAAGTTGCATCAACCAACGCTAGGGGGTTGATCTCTGACGAAATTTCAGCACGGATACAGCAGGCTAGTTTCGCATATGTCAGTTTACGCCGTCTCTGGCTTAGTAGACGTGATATCCGGCTGGCTATCGACCAAAGGGCGGGTGTACTGTTCATCAGTCCAATCCGTCCTCCTTTATGGCTGTGAGCAACACCTGACCATTGAGAGTGGAAGACATGAAAAGATCAGCTGTCTTTGATCATAGGTGCCTGCGTTCTATCTCCCGTGTGAAGTGGTATATTAAGGTGAGAAATATTGAGGTTAGGCTTCGGTCGAGTTCTAGGTAAGGAGGGGAAATCAATCGACGATATTGTGAATTTACATCGACTGAGATGGTTAGGACATGTGTTACGTATGGCAAGTCATCGCCTTCCTCGACAATGGGCAATGTTAGCTGACATAGAGTCAGGCTGGAAAAGAGCTAGCGATAATCAAACCAAAACATGGCTTCATCAGTCAACAAAATCCACTATAGTTAGTTTAAGCCAGCCACGTAGGAAGGTGCAGACCTCCTGGTTGAGGTCCTCGCGACGGTAAAAACCAATGAAGGCTGGAAACAATTGGTGATATGGCTCAAAATCGTTCTCAATGGCGCAGATGAATCCACTCCTTGTGATTTATGATTTCCAATGAAACTACATTGTTCTTCGTTATTACTATTCCTTTGTCTCACATCTCTGTTTACTGTCTCTAGTATGCATCTCTTCTACTTTCATCTCTTGCTTAGTGTGCTACAAGAAAGGAGTGTGGTGACTTGAACTGGTGCACATCGGTGCAAAGTTCTATATCGAAAACAGACAGATAGACAGATCGCCTATCATTATTTTGACATTTGTTGATTTTGATCTTTACTATTTGCCTTTGCCTTTGTTTAAATTTTAATTGTAATACTTGTGTTTATTGATAGTGCCTACACTGACAATGCCTTGTTTCACGATATGAGTTTGCTTGAGTGAATAAAGGTCATTCTGACACGGGACTGTCTACAAGAAGCATTGGTGTATGATTCCTGTAGATCGAAGCTTTTAATCCCAGCTCGTTGGGAATATTCTTCTGGATTCTAAGGTAATTTTATACAGTACTTATCCTGTATTTAGAAACCTACACTGCCTGTATAGCAGCTACCTCACGACACTGTTGAGGTAAACTTGAGTTTGATGTTATTACAGTTGTTTAATAAAACCGCTAAAATAATAAAGAATAATAGTCTTTTCCTTCCCTTTGGAACGTTTCATGATAGCAGGTATCTCTCAACGAAGTTTTGTCGGTCATACAGTAAAACGCAGAGATCAGTTTCTTGCGCATAGACAATAACCGAATAATATTGGTCCTTATACCATCAACAACATCATACGTGTATACACTTAACTTTCAAACCAAGTTGAGGCTGTGGTTCATTGGTTTAGACACTCCAACTTACAGCAAATCGGATCTGACAACAAATGTTAACTATAGGCAGGAATTCATGAATTTATTGATCAAATTTCGGTAGAATTCATCGGCTAACAAATCAGCCAGAGTATAAAAAGTGTACCGTATATCCTGGCGCACAAGATCTCTAGATTCGCGGGTCAAACCAACCAACACACTCTTGTGTTCAACTGTAGATTCAAACGTCTAAGGAAATTTATGTCATCATGAGTAGTTAGTTGGCATGTTTTCCCATTTATTATCACATAATACAAAATACTACGTCATACATGTGCGCATACATGCGTAAATATTACAGTGTGAAAAAAATACAAACAAAGTTCACCCATCCATGAAAAAAAACTCAAATGAAAAAATGAAATATTCAAGATCAGTATTACATCAAAACAAAAAGAACTCAAGGAAGGTGAATTAAGACGAGAGATACTTGAAAGGACTTCCTCTGGCAGACAGTAAACCAACCAAGAACCTATGAAGTCAACAAATTTATGCTGAAGAAAATGAAGAGATGAATTGGACAAATGCTCAGGAGACCACTGAGTGGTATTACAGGCCAAGCCCCCGAAAGGAAACCAAACGGTAAGCGAGTGACGACCCGGGGTGTCTTGTGCTTGTAATATAATCATGTTCGCGGTTAATGCGCAAATTGGATTTTATTCCGTCTAATTATAGACTTCATATGACTGACTGATAAAATCAAAAACAAGGGGAGAAAAATGGGGTCAATTTTGTGTGTGTGTGTGTGCGTTAATCAGTAACTATGGATAAAATTGGTTCATAAAACTATAAAGATAGAAAGGAAAGCGAATATCACATGAAATGAAGGATAAAGGAATCCCTGTATACAAGATCGTAAGAGTGGTATCTAAAATACGTAAATGCTTTTCATTGGACTCTAGCCCGTAACTATTTTTATTTTTTTTTTTATTTTTGATTTACAGCTTGATTCCACACCATATTTTTGGTACAAGTATGGAATTTTCAGCATGGATATCGGTAGCCCAAATTTTGCAGGCCGACTATAGATATCGGGTGTGCGTCGGCGGGGTTCGAACCTCGGTCCATGTGCATGGTCGGCGAAAATCCTAACCATTGTGCCACCGACGCACCTAGTTCTGTCTTCGGTGTAGACTGAAATCGTTATCTGTCAAGTTTTTTAATGTGGCCAACATACCACTAGGTGGTTCGCAATCACGGTGCACTGTGAATTGTTGATATTGAATGGTTGGCGGCCATCGGCAGGAAACCTTGGACCTAGATTTCGTGCTGGTTGGCACTCGTCATAATTCAGTCTGCACCAAAGATAGGACTAGACACATTACACTATTTACTAACTAGCGTTCAAACAAACACATTCCATACAATGCTACAGGAGGTTAGTCGCGACCCCGAATAGCTCAGCGGTAACTTCTCCGACTGCAACACTAGGTGGTTATGTGTGTTCGAATTTCAGATGGAATATGAGATGCGGTAGCAGATAAGCCAGAAGTAAGACACCTGAGTCAAAGCATCTTGCCGATCGCCGCCAACCAAGAAATGTGACTCTGTGTTATTTTAAAAAAAAACACCAATGTTGTTAACACTGACTGTAGAACCTGATAAAGACGAAGTTAACGAAAACCATCATATCTATTTGTTAAATAACTAACGAATATAAAATATAACTGACGACAAAAAACTGTTTTACAAGGAGGAACAAAACGTAGGTTGATTGGCTTTTGTCTACCACATCATTTCTTTTCAACGACTTCATTTTCAAGCTAGCTTTACAGTCGTATTCGTATTACGGAGAGAAAAGGCATTAAGCGGTACTCAGTGCTCAGTCAATAATGCACACATATGATAAAAGTAAAAATAATTAAAATGATATACTATATACACTCTACGCATCGTTATCGAACAAACCATAGAATGGCAGACAAACCCGTCTCAACTTCATAGACTTTGAGAAGGCCTACGATAGGTAGCGTTGACCGAGAAGTAATTTAGAAATTACTTCAATACTACGGCGTACCTCAAAAGTCTCTATCAACCTCATTCAACAGCTGGCTATATGATAATGTCACGTGTCAGGTGATCCACAATGGAAAATTCAGCGAGGCGTTCAAAGTGAATACAGGAGTAAGACAGGATGGTTGCCTATTACCACCGACGATATTCATAATTGTGGTGGACTAGATTAAGCGCCAGACTGTGACTTGGGAGCGAGGAGACAGGAACACTCTGGACTACCAATGAGAAGACTCTAGAAGATGTGGATTTCGCATGTGAATGATTTATGTCTAATGTCATACAAACTCGAAGACTTGCAAGCGATAACCAACAAAACTAGCTGAAAAGGCAGCGGAAACAGGACCGCAGGTGAACAACACAGAGAAGACGGAGGTGATGATGGAGATAACCAATCAACAGCAACAACTAGCAGGAATCGCCATGAACGCGAGAGAGATTTAACAGAGGTTGCCTCCTTCACTTATCTGGGAAGCATAGTTTCAACTACAGGAGGAAAGGACGAAGATGTCAAAGTCAGACGAGAATCTGAAAGGCAAGATACACCTTTCTTAATCTAAAACCAGTTCGGAAATCTTCCTCACTCAGCATAAGGAACAAAACTCGCAATTTCAACACCAATGTCATCAAGTCGGTCAGTGCTTCTGTAAAAAGAGGTCAGAAACTTGCACTGAGAGTCACGAAGAAATTTCCAACAGGTTGAGAACTTTCATCAACAGCTGCCTTCCCTGGCTCAATACTCTGAAGGTCAAATGGCCAATCAGACAGAAACAATTAGCTAGTAACCACTCTGGCAACAAACCAACTAGGAGCCGATTGCTCAACAAATATGTAGGATAAAATGGAGATGGATAGGGCATACATTGAATAGCCCGTCGAATGACATCGCACATCAGGCCATTCTTCTAGTAGAATCTAAATGGGAAGCGACAAGTGGATCGTTCTAGGGTGACATGAAGGAGATCGCATGGCGAGGAGGAGGGTGAGGGATTTTGGGCAATTGTGGAGGTACACAGATGAAGTGAACAGCACCAAATAGAACAAAGTGGAGATGTTTTGTTGAAGCCCTATGTCCCACTCGGAACGCAAAGGAATAATGGTATAATAATAATACTAACGGGGTAGAGTTACGTTGGATGAATTAC